ACCCTAAGACTCGGGTTCCTACTATTAAATCACTTCCGTTTCCTCGAATTTAGTCTTTCGTCTAATCAAAAGATTATTTTATTGTTAAAAGTACAACTTAAAATTCAACATTTTTACCTCTTTTGTTGCAAGTCGTTCGGGAAGGCGGCGGTTTTCCCATGGCACTCTTGTTTACTTTGGCGTTCCGTTTGATGCACGTTTTGTTTGATTTTAGGACGTCTTTTTATCGAATTTTTGAAAATGGCATTTGTTTCAAAGATGGGCTTTCTTTAGCGGGCATTTTAAGATCCCCGCCGGAGTGGAAAGTGGCGTCTTTGGGTAGAATTTTTTTGTGTGAGTTCTTAGATTCAGAGAAAATTAGCAATTAGAAGATTTTTGTACAAGTTGGCGCAAGCATGGCCGAGATTTTTAACCGGAATTTAAAAAGTCTGTTGTGCAAAGTTTCTTCCACAGGCTATTTACAAGTTTAGCCTGCTGAAAACCCCCTTTTATTTCAAAACAACCCTAAATTTCATAACCCCGAAAATGATTTCCTAATGAGTCAATATAAACTGTAAGCAACTCAACCTTTAATACTCTGAATCCATACTAAATCCTTATTTTAACGGCTTATCTGTTCATCAAATTTATCTAGTATAACATCAACACCATCTTTTGTTGTCCATTCCTTTTTATGATACGCATCCTCGATTACTATGGTATCATAGCTTAATCCTCCATCTAATCTGTTAAATTATATTTGTTACACTACAAAGCGAATACCAACGAACTTTCCGTTTATAACCTTTCTGTCTTAATTGGCACAGGACGGCCAGATTATTGAATGCCCTTAGATGGCAATGTCTTAAGGATTGCAGTCATGCCATTTTCGGACGTAAAAGGCGAAATCTTTAGCGTTGAGGAGTATTGTGTTTAATACATCATATTTCTCCCTCTCATTTTGGCCAAGTTTTCAATTGCTTCGCCGGGAAATTTGAGATAAATTTCCATTACACATTATTTTCCACAGAGAGATCTTTTTCAGGCCTTTTTCCTATCATTTTGCAACCCTATAGTCGTCCAAACATTTTCATAACTAGTGATAGTTTCATCGTAAACCTTCGCAACCATTTTTTGCTGGCTTTGCTTTTTTGATTAGCCCAAATTTATTTTCGACCGCGAAAAATTGCGACTTTTCTCGGTATTTCATCCATTTTTGCTTTTTTTGTTTGCTTAATTAGTAATCAACCATTTTTGGGCCAATCATGGACGTGTAGAGTTTGATAATATTTGACAAGCTGCTGCAGACCTTTGTCGTGGTTTTTGGGCAACTGGATATTAGTTCGTGGATCGGAGGGAAGAGGTCTGGCGGGACTTTGTTATCCTTGCCATTTGATGGTAGTTTTTGGATTTCTTGATTGCCTGCGGGGAGAAATCGCTGGAGGGCGAATAATTTTGTGTAGTGGCATTAAGCGGTCTGTCGGCTATGAGGATTCGAAATTTTAGGATTTCTTAATGTTTGCATCCTGGGTTGTAGCCTTTTATTTTATGCGTAGTCGAAAATTCCCTTCTTTCCACATTTTCAGTTATTTTTGGCTTATTTTCTCGAAAACAGGCCCAATAAACCCTCCAGAATTTTCTCCGCAACATTCCCCTTTCCCTAGGGACTACTGTAACCTAATTTCTGGTCCGAAAACACTCATTTCAAAAATTATGTCATCCCGATCCTTGCAGATCCCCTTTCTCGTCTCATGACTTCCGCAATTCCATTAGGGGCGCGCGGTATTGTCTCCATAGCCCGGTACAATTCGTCCTAGCTTCGCGACCCGCCCCAGTTCCCCCATCTCTGTTTAATTCGACGGTCCGGGCTGATATAATGTTTACACAACGGCCGTCGCATCGCCGCCGCCGCGCTCTCTCCGGGCGGGGACCGAATTTTGTGGCTGCATTTATGCCAGTTTATTCTCGTGTTGTTTTAACCGTCTAGAAAATAAAACGTGTTTGTGTCGGCGCTCTCAGATAGTTTTTTTTACACCTTTGTTTCTTTTTAGAGATTCTTTACAGATAAAAGTTGATACAAGATTTAATTTTTGTCGTTTTGAAGCAAATGTTTCCCTCAAAGAGCTCTTTTTTCGCGTTAAATTTTGGTTTATTGCGCTAGCGAGACTAAAAAGTCTTGCCCTTCTTGTTTAATCGGTCCCGCTGGCTCGTTAGTCAACAGACACGGTGCAAACACTGTGTACGAGCCTTTCGAATCAATGACATCATTCTTGGGGACTGCGGCTTTCGTTGATCTTCGACCACGAGTAAACACAGCGAGCTGATACTTTCGGGGGAGCTTAATCGCGGCTTCAGGTCATAGATTATGACTTCAAGTAGTTGCGGCCGCGCTTTGAAACAACTCTAATCCGTTTTGAGCCCAAAGTATAAGATTTGGTCGAGACTTTCTTTTCTTCAAATCTATGGAGGCGATGTTCGAAAATTTAAGCTCTTGATTTGGCCGCGGAAACGGCTTATCAACATCTTTTTTTACGTTTTCTTACTGTAATATAAGTCTGACGTAATCTAAGCAATTTGGCGATTATTGAACCTATTATTACCCAAAACTCCCACGAGCCTTGCGATTCGTCCCTTCTTCCCTTGACATACTACACTCCTCACATCTTATGTTACACATCATCAAAAACCGTTTTCTTAGCTCTCGGGCCTCTTCAAACATAACGGCTCGCACAATCTTATAGTCGCATTTGTATTATTTATAAAGGTGCTTCATTTTTCATATCCTAAGGATTTATTTATTAAGTAACCCTCAGCGGAGTTGTGAAGTCATACGCTTGGTGTAAATTTATAATAGGGCAATTTCGGAGGGGTAAAAACTAGAGTCGTGCCATTCTCGAGATTTATCTAGGACGAGGGCCTCTGTGAGAATGGGGACTAAAAAACATGGTGATTTAGAGAGTATAAAATGGGAAGTAATCCAGTATTATACAAATTCTTGTGTTTCTAATGACAAATTATGACACTTTTCTACCTCCAAACGTCTATAAAGACTTTCTAAGGCCTTTGATTGTCTGTCTATTCCCCGCAGACACCTACTAAAACATTAAACTACCTGTATATGATGATTAAGTAAGTTCAAAAGTATAATTATATATATAGTGTAGCATAAAGTAATTTGTTTCTTATATCCAACCATTAACGTCTGAAACAAGGTCCTAATGATCTCTAAAACGCGTGCTATCTGTTAAACAACAAGGACTTTGAGTTTCAAAACTTTCGATAAACTGATAATTCTTTTCGGGCCCGCGACTGATTCTTCATTCCATATCAGTCCACTGGCACGTTTAGGGTGACTTTTTCGACTATTATCTACACTCAACGGAGGGAAGGGTTTAGGGTGCGAATGATAGAACTATAAAATTTATAGATCCTCTAATTTATAAAGCTTTGATTGTTTCTTATTTTTTTTTACTTTTCACGGCAAAACATCTATTTGTTTCAAATCTTCCCTATGTTCTTAAAAGTAATAAAATTTGCAAAGTCCGCTCTCCCCTTTGTCTTAGCCTTCATTTCTTGAGTAACTTATGGCCAAAGAACGATAATAATCTTAGCTTTTTCGTTCAAGTCCAAACACCAACTAAGTACGTATTACTTTCTGGCATACTCCCCTAAAGATTCAACTAAAATTTTCAATAAAAATTTTACCAAGGCATTTTTACCTCCACAGAAAGTGAAAAATTTTTTGTTTCAAAAAGTTAATCAAAACTATATTTTGTTAGTTCTCAATCCATATTTGCCCACTTACGTGAGCATCATGCAACGTTTTGCTGTGAACAAACAGAAAAAAATGCGAGCGACAGAGTGGGAATTCATTGGTTCTTTTGTAGCTTTTTATCTCTGTTTTTATAGGGCAAACTTATTCCTCCCATCAGCTTGCTCTTCGTAAAAAGGAATCGATTTTTTCGAGAACTCAAATTTTTCTCCTTTTTTAGCGCACGGTTGACGATTATTTTGGGGATAAAATAGATTAGATAGCCAGGTACAATTTTTGGGATTCTAAGGGTGACCAGATGCTTTTTTACATGTTTTAGAACTTGATTTCAGATACTTAATTACTATTTTATACATTTTTAATCAAAAAATCGCTCAATTTCTCCCCAAGCCCGTACAAAATCTGAACTTTCGTTGTCTTTTCCACTCTTTGTGCCCTTGAAAAGTTCTGAATAAAGAGGATCCGAGATCCTGATAAGCCACCAAACATGGGAGTCATTAATAAAAACCGTGTGGAGGGGGCGCTCTCTGCACGCGCGAGGTGACACTACTTTAACTCCAAAAACTGATTTTTGATTTACTCCTAAGTTCGTGATGTTTTTTTGCAAATATTAAAGCATTTTTGATTCTCCATGGTACGTTTTACTTCTTTCAAAACTCAAATCTTAATCAAATTTTCCCAACCAGTCTCATATATCAATAGGCTCTGAGCGTCAATAACAGTACAGCGCGTACTCTTAGTAACCCAATAACCCCAATAAATCCCGATTTCAACCCAAAAGCTCCAAAATTAGCCCAAATTTTAATTTTTAATCAAATTTCCGCTAAAAAGGCTGGAAATATTACCGTATATCCTTTATTTACGACTATTATCTCCTCACCGGTAACGTAGACTCGCAGTCACGTTGCGGCAGCCTTAGAAATAAAATTTAACTCAATTCTCCACTGCCTAATTCAGTCAATTTACCTTGTAAATCGTCATTCTCTAGTCGTTGACAAATCAACTCGATTATGAGCTACTTGAAAATTTTCGTTGTCTTAACCTTAACCAAAAGGCCGCTCCTATTCTATTTCGGTCCAACCTGCTTGCACAAACACCATGGCCACGTTGATGTGGCCCTAAAAATACCGAGCAACCTGTTGACGTTAATGCTGTAGTTTTACAATAGTTATAGTGTGGTGTCCGGAAACTGAATTACACTCGAGAAAATTATATTTTTTTCGTTTTTCGACGCTTCCGTTGCGGTACAATGAAATTAAGTACAAAACGGCGTAGCGGTATCTTTATTGCCGGGATACGAAGCAAATGTATGTGCATTGTGCTCGGTGGGAAGGGCGGTCCTAACGGGCTTGTCGATTCCCAAAAAAAAGCTGTAACCTTTTTGGGGCTAATTGTAGAGTGAAATCTACTCATTAAAGGGCAGGATCGTGGTTTATCAGCTGTTACCTGCGCGCATTAGCATTTCAAATGGAATTTGAAAGTTTGTTGTAACACTTTAGAGCACAGGCTCTTACTACGTGCCCAATTTCAACCTCTATGCGATCCAGCGAAGCAATCTAATCCTCTAATTTTCAGCCAAAATTCTGCTAAAGGCAAGAACCTGTGATTTGCCGCTAGCGGCACGGCATACCCAACGTTTCCATCCCTACTCCAGCCCGTCTCAGCTGAGCCGTCTGTTGATCCGCATGCGCGACGTGATGATGAATAGCTGGGAGCACACCGACTACCTGAAGAGTCAGAACTCCGTGTCCAGCAATGAGGACAGTGGACCCTCATCGGCGAGTGGTGTCGGCTCGTCCTCACCGTCGACTTCTTCCCAAATCAGCGACATCACAACCATGACTACACTTCCGTTGCCCGCTCTTTCGAATGAGTTGGTGGCTATGGGATTGCTGAAAGATGACGAAAGCGAGGTCTCCTTCACCAGAAGTCGGTATCCAGCCGGACCGCCGACCAGTTGCCCGATTTGCGGAGATTCCGCGGTTCACCGACATTTCGGCGGAGTTGTTAGTTGCAATGGCTGGTAAGCACTTTTATTCAAGAACCTGTACAGCTGCTTTTGAATAACAGAGTTCGAGGAAATGTTATAATGAAACAAGTTTTGTAGTCAGTTCGTTGCCCAGGCCGGTAAAGCTCAATTCAAACGCATTAGTTACTCTTTACTTGATATCAAGAGGATTTTATCTTCCTTAATTCTTGTGTTGCTAATATAATAGATCATTGAGAAATACGCATAAACCGTAAACTGTTTCTTCCGTTTTTTGGCCTCAAAACACTTGGTCCAAGAGGATTTACATTCCAAATTGGATCCCAAATACGTCGGCTCGATGACCAAAAATAACACATTTTTAATCACCTATTGCCAACTTGTAATCCTCTTGAAATAATGCCACGATATTGTGAGATAATTTCCGTCTTTTTTCAGTGCCGCCTTTTTCCGCCGAACCATCGTCGAATGCAAGAGCTACAAATGTCGCAAGGGAAACAAATGCGAGCTAAAAAAGGGTAAAGACTGTTTATAAAAAAATAAGCAACTAGCCTCCTCGTGCCTCAGCGATTTATCGCTCTCTCTATCGCCAACTTAACCCTAATTTTTTCAGTCAAAGGCTCGTCCATCTGTAAATATTGTCGTTTCCAAAAATGCCTCGAGATCGGCATGATTATGAAGGCCGTGGAGCCGAAACGGATCGAACGCTGTGTCGAGAACTTGAATGGAATTCTCGGCCGACTCCTGCGTTGTCGACAAGCCGCCTTCACCGATCGCTACAAGAGCACAATCGATGTTTACGGCGGAATCAAGAGCTATAAGCCGATGGCGAATAGGCAAAAGGACGGAATAAGTGCTTTGATGGCCTCTAAAGCCGAATTCTCCGTGTTGAGAGCCTTCTTCAGGAACAGCGACTTTACCAGACACCTACCTCAAGGCTATGATGTAAGTTTTGAGCGCAATCGGGGCTAGTTTTTAGAACTTTTGGGATAAAAAAATATATTTTACAACCATGAATACCAAACAAATCACATTCTTGACAAACAGAATTTGATTACTCACCAAAATCATAGCAGTTTCATATATCCTAACGTTTTCAAAAATTAACCAAAAATTTTCTTATTCAAATTTCTTCCGTTTCAGTTGCTCCTTTCGCAGCGCCAACTCCTCACCTGGATCACCTGCGAAGCCGTGTATTCGAATATCAAACATCGCGGTTTCCACATCGGGCGCTGTTATTATGTGGACGAGTCTTATATGGTTGTTGACACAGCCACCGTCAAAAAGTATTTAGACAGTTATCCCGGCCTCACACACACCGAAGCCCTCATACCGTAAGTTGAGCGAACATTCGGCGATCGTCAAACATTCGGAACGTTTTTAGTGCGGCCAAAATGACATCAGTCTTATTTACGATATTTCTTGAGATACCAAAGTGTAATAGCGATTATTTTCAGATACACCCTGCGTTTCTATTCTGCTATTGCCAAAGTGTCTGAGGTGATGTATAATGCCCATGTGGATGAGGAGGAAGTCACCGCATTGAGCGCTATCATAATGTTAAAAGAAAGTAAGCACAATCTTATACCGTACTAGGCCTAACAACAAAAAAATCGAGAAAAATCTAGGATTTCCCTTTTTTCTTCCCGATTTACAGCTACTATTTACTTTAAGTCACAGACGTTAACTCTGATCTTTCAGTTTCTACCCTGGTCGGTCGAAACAAAGACATTGACGATCGTTTGAATCAAATTTTCCGGGCCCTGAAGGACCATTACGACAACAACTACCACGATGTCGCGATTCGCATGGGGAATTTGATTGGATTCGTCGATGTTATGATGGTATGTTTGTTTTGGGATCAAATTTCAATGGGATTACCGGGTTTCTGGCTATGTGAGAAGGTTCTGGTTTATCAATTACACTTTGAACTATAACCTAATGTCCTCAATGCTCTTAAAAACCTAGAAAATGGTGTTTATGAAACAGGGAGAGCAAGGGTTTTCTGACATGAATTGAAGAATTTTGCACGTAAACAATAAAAATCGAGCTACTTATCCACCTGAGATCTAGTATTATAAAATTTTTCATAAAAGGTCGCAAAGCCGACAGGAATAAGTTAAGGATCCAATCTTCATAGCCTTCAGACCTAGTATTGTCTAAAATTTTGGGTACACTCACGAAAAAACTCACATTTCGGCCTTTTTTGCCCAGTACAATATAATTTTTCCCTCCGTAATCTCCCGCACCCTCCAAATCCTTCATTTTCAGAGCGAAGTTGCCGAATGTCGTGACGATTTGATCATGATGATGCGTTTGAATGACCAATCACAACAAGATCCGCCAAAAGATTCGACCGGCTACCATGAATTCCTGTATCGGCAGTCCATTCGTTCGCAGTACCGTTAAACGTCCGTCCCCAACAAACAGAAACCAAACCAATCATTACTACCGATTGACCTCAGATATCGCACAAAATATGTATAACAAGTTTTTTAATCGTCCTCTCTCGTTCAATGAAACAAACCGCACTCTATTTGTCTCAGTTTTTATAAGTTATATTTTAATAAACAGTTTTAACAAACGACAAGTTGGGTTTGGCATGTTTAAAGATCAAAATCAACACCGGATTTGCCTTTTTTAACACCATTTAACAGGGATCTTATAGTCAACATATGACCGATATCGATTATATAAATCAATATAATCACATTTATATGACAATTCGTACCATACAGCCTTACATGGGAATGGCGAGCTGTCTATAGACGTGTTTCTTGTATTCTTCAAGCCCACCGTCCAGTCGGGTTACAGTACGATCCTTGACAACCCAGAGTTCTTTGCAGACCAAGTCGATGAGACGTTCGTCGTGGGAAACCAGGACAACACCGCCCTAAAAAAATGTTTTTATGAAGTCAGAAATAGCTGAAAATACTGGGAAAGCCGAAAAGTCCGAAAAAATTAATGTTCCTATAACTACCGATTAGGTAGCTGGATCTACAATATGCCCCCATGCGATTTTCACATTTTGAGAGAACTCGGAAAAAGCTTGGATTCGACTTTTCTATGACGAATGCAGATGCTTGAGTAAGCGTTTGCATAAAGTTTCGTTCACAAGGAAAGTACTTCTATTGGGTTACAGGTCAAGTCATATATCAAAAAAAAATCGCAAAATTTTTCTTTTTTTTTTTTTTTTTTTTTTTTCTGATTCAGAATACGTAAAAGTTAGCTGCCTAATTTTGGCCTGTAAGGGTAAAAAATCCTCAGAAGTTTTCACGCAACACCACGCAAATGCCTTTTTGACAAAGTTTTCACCAAATCAAAAGCTTTGTTTTGAGCTAAAGTGAACCCTTGCATCTTGACAAGCCTTAAAATATCAAATTTGATTAATACTACATCTTAATTAGTAGTTCCAATATAATCAAAAAACCACATTCATGGGGCTTCAAGACCGCTTCTCCACAAAAAGCTCACATTAAAATCATTCAGCGCGACTCCCAGCGCATCCACCGTTTCCACATCCAAATGGTTAGTCGGTTCATCAAGAATCAAATAGTTCGGCTTCTGCAGACCCAGCATGGCAAAGGCCAATCGGGATTTTTGACCTCCTGACAAGGTTTCAATCGATTGGAAGACGATATCTCCGGACAATCCGAATCTGCCCAATGCCGCTCGGTATTCTTCTTGCGTTCCGCCGGGGAATTTCTGCTGGCATAGCTCAAGAGCACAACAGTCCATTTCCAGTTGGTCTACGTGATGCTGAGTGAAGTATCCGATATTAATTCGGCGATTTACATGACGGGTTCCACTAGTCGGGGCGAGGTCTCCCAAGAGAATTTTTAACAATGTTGTCTTACCGGCACCGTTTTCTCCGACCTAAAAACAACATAAAATTACGTAAACACAATTCATTAGGTATAAACACTTTCATTTTTGCTCCAAAAAACAAACCATTTGAACATTTTATACTAACGTCAAGTCTAATATCACAAAACTTACAATACAAATCCGCGAATCCGTTTGAGACCCAACACAAATGTTCTGGAAGATTAGACTGGACTGTTTGTTGTACTGGAATGATACTTCATCCAGTTGAAGAACTGGATTTCCCAAGGGTTCACATTTTGGGAAGGCGAAGGTCACATCTGCTTCTATGATGACTGGTTGGAGAACTGGCCTAAAAATGAAAAAAATAATAATCACTCTGCAAATAAAATCAAACCACCGACACCTGGTTGCATCAACATAAACAACGAACTCACATTTTCTCCAACATTTTTATCCTACTTTGCACCATCGACGCTCTCTTGGCGTTGTATCGGAATTTGTCGATAAATTCTTGAACATGCGATCTGAGCTGTTGCTGAGCCTCGTATTCTCTCTGTTGTAGTGTCAATTTTTCCTTCATCGTCTTTTCGAATGTGTCATAATTGCCTTTATATTGATCTAGTCGATGTGAATGATGATGAACAATATCAGTCGAGATGGCATTCAAGAACTTCCGGTCGTGAGAAACAATAACAATCGTCGACTCCCATTCCTATAATGGAAATAATAACAATATTCCGGCATCTAAAAACAAAAACATTATATTACCCACCTGAAGATGGTTCTCCAACCAATAAACGGCTCGCATGTCCAACATGTTTGTAGGTTCATCAAGTAGAAGGAGATCTGGCTTCATGAACAAGGCTCTGGCCAAGGCTACACGCATTCGCCAACCTCCAGAGAACTCTCTGGTGGGTTTTCTTTGCTCATCTGGCTTGAATCCAAGACCATAAAGGATCGTGGCAGCTCTGGCAGGAGCTTTCTCCACACCCAGGGCTTCCATTTCGGCGTACACTTCTGTTAGACGGCCTGTCAGTTGAGACCGTTGATCATCCGTTGAAGATGGGCTAAAATTTGGGGTAATTTAGCATTGCACTAGCTCCGTACCTAAAATCATAACAAAAATATATAAAAGACCTACTCGTTGATCTGACGCTGTATTTCCGCCTCCTCAGCCAAAATTGCGACTCGCTTTTTGTCACTTGCAAGAACGCTGTCAATTACAAGGGTATCATCACCTTCAACTTCTTGTTCCACACTCAAGAAAGTGATATGGTTTGGAATGATCAATTGGCCACTAAAAATACAAATTAGTAAATTCATAGCGCAAAAAGCATTTTATAAAAAAAACTTGCCCTGATATCATCTTCAACAATGTTGTTTTACCAATACCGTTTCGTCCGACCAGACCATATTTGTGTCCATAAACCAACAACAACTCGGCTCCACTCAGCAATTGTCTAAAAGTTAAATTAAATCAACAGAAAAGCACCTTACTTTGTTCCAATTGTGATATCAATACCTTCCAAATGAATATCTTTGGTTCCACCGGACCCATCTTCTTTCACTCCGCGTTTGTTCATTATCTGAGAAGCTGTTGCAACCTGTTGACCGCGTTGCTTCTTGACTGGTTTGACGACCTCCTCATCAGCACGTTTAGCCTGCTTTTCAGCAGCCTTTTGATTGGCTTTGGCTAATTTCTTTCGGTCGACTTGCTGAAAGAGGTGGGCAAATATAATTTAACCAAAAATCAGATCACACATTAAAAAAATAAAAAGTTTATGTCTCCGAAAGCAAGTCTTCTTACCATGGTTGGGACATCTTTCGCCTGGATGTTCCAGATACTGTCGATATTGTGGAGCTTCGAAGTGGTCTCACTCATGTCCACGGTTTTCTCCAACTTCTTCGCGCCGAATTCGCGAACTTGCTTCTCTACTTTCTTCCTAAACGCAGAATAAAACATAAAGAAATACGCTACATACCCATTGTGCAGAATGATCAAGAATTTCTCGCAAAGCTCTCGAACATCGTCCTCTTTGGTATCCGGTTCCCAAGACATCAAACTGTCAGAAACTTGTTCAAAGACCTCATCTGCTGTCGTGATTTCTGCGGCATTTTCTACCAGAAGCTCTGAAAGAATGCATAATAAAGGCAATAGAAACAATAATTCCAACAATACAGATTGTTCTCACCAAAATCCTCAATTTTGCACTAGAAATCAAGACAAAAACAAAAAAGACTTACTACTCAAGTATTCGGCAACTTCTTCGGCGATTGTTGGAATAGCCTTCTGCATAAAGTCGACAAGACGGTTTTCCACTTGAACGTCAGCCATGATCCTCGACTTTTACTTTAATTATTCACAAACAAAGAAAAACTGAGTTCAATCACAACCAAGAAGAAGATTGACGCTGGGATCAAAGAGAATAAGCTCAGGATATAATAAGCAGTCGAACTTCCAAACAATTCAAGAGTTGTCTCGTCTACCCAAGATTCTGGGAGCATTCAATGCCGAGAATTCAAAGAATCCGGCGGAAATTCAGCTCTAAAAATTGAAAAATAATAAAAAATATAATGGAAAAAGTATGGGGTAATCGATAAGTAGATGGTATGATCCTTCTCGGATCAAGAAAAAATTATACACAGCAGTTTCAACGGTATTTTTGCATGAACATCAAAAATTTTACGAAAAATCCTAAATAAAATAAGTAGAGGGAGAGTTGACACGTCGCGTCACATGTTTCCCTAGCCGAGAAAATTTTGGGAAGGCGAGAGTTGCAACTAGTCGACTATATTCGCGTGCCTAAACCGAGTTTTTATATTTGTCTAGATTTAAATGTTTATTAACAAAACTGCGAGACATTATTTCTCATTTCTTCAATAAATCTTTGCAGAAACAGTAGTCATGCGTCGGCGAGATTCTATGGCCGTTTGCATCAAACAGACATTGAGTTTGTGCTCGGGAAGCATTTTTCCTGGTCAGCCATGTAGATAGGACTGTTATTGTTTGGTTTGCTGACACCTAAACGGAATTTTCGGTAAAAGTTTATATTATCCGTGACATCTACCTGCAGGAACGGCATGTAAAGTCCTCCGCCGGGATAGGTTTTGAAGGTTACTTGATAAATCGGGTCTTGATAGAACTGTGGCCGATATTCTTCCACATAAGGGATGAATTCTTTCCAGACAATAAGATCCACGCAGTAACTTTTCGCCCATGTTTGGTTTTTAACTAGATTCATTTTTTCAACGGATGCTTCCGCTAATCGCCAACCCAGTTTCTCAACATTTCGGCCTCGAACTGGTTGGAGATACTTGTACATACATCCTTCGAAGTCGATGCTTAGGTCTTTGCAGGATCGTGGTTGTTTTAGGGGTCTTAGAAGACTTGACCCATCGAATTTTCGAAGAGCAGTAGGAATCTCTGCTGTGAAGTTGTAGTCCTCGGTCATCATTGTTCCATGCTGAAAGCATTCCACTTACTAAACCAATGATAAATGGTAATTTTCGATTTTTGTTATATTTTCTAAGGCAACTTGCCTTTAGAATATCGATAAAAGTTGTGTAGGTGTCGTAATGGGTCACTATTTGTTTTGTGTTATCTTCCAGTTGCGTTTTTGCTGTCGGGTTTCGCCGAAGTTCATCAGGAGGTATGTAGACGAGTAGTGGATTGAAGGCTTCAAACTTGTCGGTAAACATCGTTTCGTCGTCGAAGAGTTGTATTCCATGATCTGCCATGAGGAAGGTGTGAGAGTTTGCCGTCTGAAGCGAGATAATTTCATAACAATCTACAGTGGGGGACCTGATCCAGCGGCAAAAAAACGTACCATTTTGCATCCGGGAAGGATCAAAAATGTGGCAAAATGCTTCCCTTTCCAAGTGAAAAACTTTGTTTTGAAGGGCCCTTTCCCTCACAAAAAAAGCGGGCGCGCTTTTGAAATCGGTTTTATCACTTGGAAAGGGCAGCAGCATTTTGCCTCATTTTTGATACTTCCCGGATGACAAATGGTACGTTTTTTGCCACTGGATCAGGTCCCCCACTGGATTAGGCGCACCTCATTTTTGAACTCCTGGAAGAATCTCAAAAAGTCGTCGTCGTATTGAAAGATATCTCGTCGGTTATCGTGCGCCAAAACGCGCATCCAAGTCATTGACAATTTTGGCTCGTTATTATATGATTTGACGAATTCCTTGATGTAATCAAACATAATTAAATGTCGGTCATGGCAATACTTTCTCCATCGATTTGAATGGTAGAAATCACGACCAGTAAGATTGGTAGATTTGACGATAAAACTTGAAGGAAATTTTTCATTTTTGTAGGTCCAGTAGGGACTAGAACAAAATATAATTACCCTTGTTGACACTTGTCTCTTTTTGTACCGAATTTTTTGAGATAGACTTACAATGAGCTATGATCAAAGACGTCTCCATCGGTTGAGATGCAATTCCGATTGATCTGAACAGACCAATCCTCGTTTATCATCACTCGATAGCCTTGATCTTTATACAACTTTCCAATATAAGTGCTGTTGTCAGCACAAGCATCGAGATATTCGACGTTTTCATAGGGTATATTGGCTTCAGTAGGATCGGTAAATAATTTTTGCGTTAGTTTGTTCATGTATAATATGAAAGCATTAGGTTCGCTGTTGTAGGCAGCTTTGTTGTGGTACTTGAAAAAATGAGCACCCAGATCGTTCTTCAAGAAATGAGCTGTATTTGGCATTGCCCGAAGGAAGTGGGGCATTGATACGGCGTCGAGTAAAATGACATGGACATTGGGTTTGCCAGGGGTTTGTTGAGGTGGGGGATTGTAGGGTTGTCTTCAAAAAAAAACGTCAGAGATAAGCAGAATGTGATATCAAGAGGTATCTCAGAGATTATGTTTCTGTGAGATACCTTTTGATATCAAATTCGGTGGTATCTTTGAAAAACATTTATGCATGAGAAACTTACCGTCTAAATATTTGTTGATGCAGGAATTCATAAGTTGTTTTGTCATTTTCGGTGCATTTCACTTCGATTGTGTCGCATTCAGGGCGGACTGTCGAGGCATTAAACGAAATCCACGGTTGAAATAGAAGGCTATTATTTTTTTCGGTTAAAATGCATCTGAAAACCAAGGGGGTGCAATATTCCCGCCAGGCCTTACCTGTATTGGCAATCCTCGTCATCATTTATTCTGGCCATCCTTAGTTCTCCATTAGTCAATTTGCTTCGTTCGAAGGCATCCGGAATACATGCTGGTTTCTTACGTCTTGCATTTTTGTAAATTTTTTGGATTTTTGGGTCATAAGGATCAACACTATGTAGCTCGCCATCTAAAGCAATATAAATAATTCTCCGCTATTTTGGCACCTTTTACTGTTAGATGCGAATAAAACTTGGAGTAAAGCTGTAGCGTAAAATGTAAATGTGATGGAAATAGTATTGTAAAATAGATTATTAGACATAGGACCTTCCAATACGAAAGTCGTAAATTAAATGGGGTCATTTGACTCCGGAATTTCGTCGAAGTAACCCAAATGAATTTTGACAGCTGTTTTTTGGGTACCTTTGACCGTCTTCAGATTTGATTTTTTGATTGTGCGCTTTTTTGTTACTCCGGAAGAATAGATAGCAGGTTCACTATGGTTGAATATTGAACGAAAATATGGCGCTAAAATGTTTTAACATGGGCATCATGCATTAATTAGTCATCAAAAACTGAGCCGCATAAAAAATTATCTTTATTATTTCGTAAGTCTTATGAAAATACCGGTTCTGGCTATATACAAATAAAAAAAGTTGCACTGAGAATCTGATTCACTCCGTTCGCTTCTAAGATTCGTAGTCCACGTTGGGGACGACTGTTGAGTTCCCTAACTGCTTCGCGATCTCGGAACATCGCTCCAGTTTGTAATACTTTACGTAAACTGTCTTTGGTCGATGCTCACTGTGGATGATGGTGTTCACGGGGGGATCGCCAACACACATGTCAATGTCGAACTGAAATAAACTCAGAAATTATGAGTATGGGAATAAAAATAAAACAAAAACATAACAACAAGGTAGCTTACGTCATAGCTGATTCCAGCAAAGCCATTGACTGTGATATTTAGGGACTCTGTGACGATGCCAGTGAAGAAAACGTCATCCATTTTCATGAAATTGTGATTTTTCATGTCTTCAAAAATCTTCGTGGCTGTCTGGCTTGGCATAAGCACGGCATAGCCATTGCAATATGGGGGATACCAGTCTTTGGCGAATTGAGTTTTGGGGACAAACCTGAAAATTTTTTAAATTTGACAAGGGCACTACAACACCTTACAAGGTGAGATATTTAACGCTGCTATCAGGCGAGAGAAAAGCTAAAATATGTTACATTGAAACACGGCTCTTTGACAACGTGCATTTTTTATATTTTCAAATTCAAAAGTTATATATCCCGATATAAAAGCAGTCCCCTCTTACCATTTATTTTTTGGGTCCCTGACCGGCTGGACTCCATGTATTTTCTGACACAACAGCCAATCATTTTGTCCTTTCGTCAGCCCTCCAAAGTCGTGTTCAATCCAATACAGTAGCCGCTCGAAGTGCACCACCACATCGTCGTCGATTTTCATGAAGAAAAAGGCGTCCTTGCAATATTTCTGATGATATTGATGCATGGCATTCCATTTGACTGTATTGTTCGCATATGTGTCCATCGTATTGATAAACACAATGTCATCGTATGCTTTGACCTCTTTGGCCAACAAATCAGGGCGACTTTCGTTGCTATGCCCGATGAAGAACTTGTAAACAACGTGCAGATTTGTGGCCTAAAAAAGAATTGTTATGTCATGAAGCGTATATCTTATGTTAGCAAATACGCTAGACAGATGTGTGATTGTGTTTTTGTGATTGGAAGAAAATTTATGTATTATATATCATGAAGTCATAAAAAATTTTATGTCAAAGGCCAGGGAATCGCCTCTGGCTTGAGATAAAGGTCCATTTCGAGTCATTTGCACATAAATCAGACGGCTAGACAAATAATCGAGTTGACAAAGACTGCAAATGTACATTGGCTATCATTTTCAAGGCCAGAAAGTCAATTTGAGAGCAATCTTGATAGAATTTCTCCTTGCTTCGGAAGAGCTAGCACACATAGTATGTCTAGCTCATATAAAGATTCCAAAAAATTTTAGTTGTTCTTTGTAGGCGCAGCTGAGATGTTCAGTGGTTTTCGCAGACAAAAGACTATGGAAAACGAGGAGAGAGGGTTAGAAGAAGCGCTCACTAATTCCTAATTTTTAATTATTTGAATTTACCTTTTTTAGGAACGCTCCTCTCAATGCATCCCTTTGAACATGCGCACTCTTCGCGCCAGTGCTCATAATGGCCACAAAAATTGTCGAATTCTCGCAGATTTTCTCCTTGGGGACAGTCATTTTATACGGTAGATGCAAATCCTTCAACGTTAAATTGAAGTTCTCGATATGAAAATCTAAATTCTCTAAGGTCGTGGCTCTTCTTGCTTCCGGTATTGGTTTATCTGTTGAATTGATGGCTACTTTCCGTGGCGTGTGACAAAGTTCGGTTTTATGGCAAATCAGGAAGACCCAAAGCGTAAGATTACCGAGTAAAATAAAGTAAATGATCGGCGGTGAACAACCATCGCGTCTTTTGAACAAACGACAAGGCCGTTGTGAGGACAACATAGCGCTGAATAGATAACATCCCAAAAATGGGTGGGCTTATAAAAGGCTCGTCGATGTTACAATCGTGCAACTGGGCAAACGAACAAGTCTTTGTGTGCGCTGTACATTATTGTCATCGGGGGCGAAAGGAAGTGCATATGTTAAGCAAGGTTTTGGTTTGTGATTATGTGCAGACTACCGTAGGATGGCGGCTGCGCAAATTGGTTAGGAGCCGAAGTCAAAGAACGTTTTCATATTTTGGAAAGTCGATATTCCGAAAGTTCATGTTTTTGGGGGCATAATCCAAGCGGAAAGAATGAAAAAATAATGGCGAGGGCCAAGAAAATCGTTGCAAAGCGAGGTGTTGAGAAATTTTTGGTTGGCTCCTCCTCCGAAGCTGTTCAATTTGATGAATTTTATCTTCATTATCTATGTGAAATCATTGTATGCATGCTAAACTTAACACGTTTTTCAAGTCTTCTTTTCGGGTCTATTCATCGAAGCTTATCCTAGGGTTGGACTCAGATGTTTCAAGGAGTCTACGAATAGTCTGTTGACGGCCAATCAGCATGTATTTTAGTACCAGTCGAAGAATTCTACTTTATGAAACCGCCAGGCCACAGAAGTTGCTTTGTCTTTGCCTACGTTTCAGGTCAGCAAATTTCTTTCAACGGAGTTAAACACCAGCACTTGAGATCCACCGAACAAATAAAGTTTCTTTACTGATGAAAAGTGAACTTTCTCTGGTACAAAATGTAAATGTATTTTTTTAAAACTCTCATTTGCATAGATGAAATCTCTTGCACTTACCCACACTCACAATCTAAACAAACATGAGGCTGTTACGTATCGTTTGGGCGGATAAATTTATGGGGGTGTTTGTTAAAACTTGCAAATGAATACAACTGAAAGTCCAAAGTTTTAAAATTCAAAAAATTGTTCATATGATTCCAAACTTCACAAGGCAATGGCACGTGGCTATCACAGGCTATACGAATCTGATAACGCTTTTGTGTAATTTTGAAGACGCCCTTCCATACCTGTCGAATATGAAGATTTTAAACGAGATCCCTCCTGAAATGGAATGAATGATCACCTCGAGAGCAGGTACGTCGTCGACTTCGGCGCTTTATCTTTTGCGATTCCTTGGAGAGTTTGGATATAGAATCCGCCCATCCAGTTAAGGGAGCAGCGGATCATTTTCTTCGGCATTCGAAAACAAAATCAATGTTAGTTGAAGAGGCGTTCTGGGGTTGTTTAGCGATCGGTTGGTATGGGAAAATTTGAAGGGAAAGCGCAATAAATACGCTGCCGAGGTTTGGTTAAAATTTTAAGCTGATATTCTAATATACAGGCCATATGCTCACGTAGTTTGCTCATTTTTTTAGTCATCATTTTTGAGGCTCCTCCTCCACTACATGTTTTATATCTTGCTCTTTGAAACCTCACTTTTTTCGGGTACAATCTCGGATTTCGGCATTAAATCCCGCAAGTTTCTTCCCTGTTCGTTTGAACTTTTAAAATACCTTCCCGTATTCCTAATCCCGACGTGCTCCAGATCCCCTAATTTGATCATAAAATTTCACGCCGAGCCTCTGACGTGCCGTCCCGTTTTCGCTTTGCGCCCGCCCCAGCCTGTTTTCTCTCTGCCCTCTGCAATTTTTCGATCGCCAACCGGAAGAAACAAAACAGAAGGCAGCGGAATCTTCAATCCCCTGCGTATTTACCATCCCGTTTTCGCTTTCACTTAGCTTTGCGACTTTCGCCCGAGGGATCGGCTTAATATTCGGATTGGAAAACGCGCCGAAAGTCACGGAGAACTTTTGCATCCGAGCCGTAAATTTCTCAACCACGAAAAAATCTTTTAATTCCCCTGAATCTTGGAATTTCTCCGCAGATTGGGAAGATGAAACGAGCCCTGCTGGTGGCGCTCCTAATTTTGGCGGTTAGTGCCCAAAACAAGGAAAAAGAAGATGATAAGAAACCGTCCAAGGTGATGAAGGACGAGGGATCGGCCCCGATGAGTGTCAAGATTATGGATCAGGTGGATAAGGCGTTGGAGCAGCCAGAGAGGTTCTTGGATGTCAGAGAGTTTATTAGAGTAAGGAGGCCATCTTTAACCTTCTTTGTGGCTAGACATTACAATCGAAAACGTTCGATTTTAGTCATATCTTTCATGTACATTCTAAAGAGTTCATAAATTATTCCTTAGAAATTTTGGCTCACGCTTTGCGGCTGTAGCTTTTCAGAAAGAGTTAGCAGGAAAGAAAACCCATACTCTTCTGTAAAGTATCACTTTTTCCGAGCAAAATTCACAAAGTTATTGTCCGCCAAAGTGATCTAACCACAAAGTCATCATGAATAAATTTCCCTGTCCACTTGATTACAAAAACTTTGCAGAGTGCCCTAGACATGATGCGGACCGTTCCCGCTCCCGATGCCCTCAAGAAAATCCCCAACGATCTTCAACGTCAGCAACTGCAAGAGCAATATGACGCTTATGCTCAACGCCAGCGTCAAAATTACTATCCTTCTCGAGCCTACTCCTCACGGACTTACTCTCCCTATCAGCAGCAACAACAATACAGCCAGTACGGCCCAAAGCCAGCTTTGCCAGTGCAGCCAGAAAGCTCGGACCCGGCTAAAGCGCTGAGTCGTATCTTTGCAACTCCAACTCAACAGGACATGGAGAGTTTGTTCCATTTACCCGCTGACATTATGCATCGTTTGGCGGCGGATGCTGGATACATTCCTCCGCACAAGGAGCCTGAAGAGTTGGCCGCGCGGGAGGGAAGCAAATATGGAAGGTATGCAGTAAATACCCATAACTTTAACAGAGGTTTTCCTTTATTCATTTTCAACTCTATAACCCCCAATACCACCAACTATTTCCTCATTTTAGCAGCCCCTCTTCTGGCGGCTTCAATTTCGGCGGTTCTCCTGGAACATTCAGTCTTGGAGGAACCTCGGACCAAGATCTCAACAGCTTCATCGCCCGCTATCGTGGAGAGCAACCAGCAGCCGTTCCAGAGGTTCTAACAACCCCAGAACCCACCACCGCCATCCCAGTCGCTTCTCCTCCGAAAATTGTGTTGAGAACTATCCAGAAAAATGGAAAATTGTAAGGAAATCTACTTTCCATAGTTCGTGGCCTGACTTTTTCAGGATTCAAGTCCCAGTCCTTGTGGTTCCTCAAGCCAACGGACAAACACGCTATATTCAATACGATAAGCTCTCGGATTTATCGGATGCTCTGGCTAAAGTCGTGTCCACCGGTCAATTGCCTTTGAATCAAGAGGAGCAGCCGGAATCGACTACTCCAAGAGTTGTCAATGCGCAATTCGAACAGCCGAAAGGGGGACAGATCTTCAACTTCCCAGAGAATTTACAGGTCAGATTTTGGGGAGGAAATTTGGCTTTTTTTACTGAGAGTTGAAATTTTTTGGGGGTCAAGTTTATTGTCAAATTTCAAGGTCTATTTCGCCCTAAAATTATCTCTAAAGCAATTTCAACCCTTGAACTTTCAGATTGAACCCCCAACCACCGCCCCACCTCCAGCTGTCCGCACCGAAACCGCTGAAGGTAGCTCCTTTGTCCAACAATTCGACGTCGAATCCAACGAGAACAAAGATGCTCCAGCTGAGGAAGTAAGTGAACCAGTTGAGCATCGATTTGCACCCACTGCACGAACTGTCACCGCACCAAGCTCGAATGCAAGTCAGCCAAGCGCTGAGCTGTTAGAGCTGTTGGAGAAATTGGGAAAATACAGACACGAATTGGATAAAGCTGCATCATTCTTGAGGACAACGAAAGGCCCAGAAGTTATTGATGGAATGACTAAAGAAGACGACTTTCCCAGACCACATGAAATGAAGGTTGAAGTGAAGGATGAGGAGATCGTTACACCGAAAGCCGTAGCGAGCGCTGAGAAAATTGCGTTTGAGGCGACTGAGGTTTGATTTTGCACATATTATTTTGCACTCACTAGAATGCTTTGTAATCACTTTTATCAAGGCCGGATTTTTTTAAATTTTGTAAGGATAGAGAGTATACATACATTACGTATTAATTGATAATGTTTTTTTCGCTATTTGCAAAGGCCGCCATCATTAGGGTACTGTGTATTAACAAGTACCCTAAAATTTTTTTTGCTTACAAACATATAAATCGAATGTAAAGTCCCAATTTTTTAGCCCACAACCACCTCAACGGCAGCCACGACGACTCAATCGGCTGGTGAGATCCTCTTGAACGGCCATCGTTACAAGCTAGTTGACGCTGATGATCATGGGAAGTCCAAGGAAGAAGTTACCGAGATTCCAACGACTACTGCTGAAACCAGCACCTTGAAGAGCGTTCCTCACATTAAACCGCAAAAGATCAGCATGAAGTCGAGCAATTTGGAGCAGGTCAGGAATCTGGCAAGACAGAACCGATTGAGAACTCCGACTATTAGAAAAGCGCTCCCTGGTGGTTTCAGCGATATGGTGAGTTGGGGTTGAACTAGGCTCTGTAATCATGTAACGTATCAGAGATTGACGTAGAAAGATACTGCCAAAATTCTGTATACTATATATAGCAAATTTAAAAGGACCAAAAATTTATTGGCTATAGATAGCTTTTGCTATTCATCATAACTTCCAGGCCGACCCGTCCAATCCCTCCTCGCCAAACCCAGAGCACCGTATCTACTCTCTCCGCGAGCTCGAAGACATAATCGCCAGTGAAACTGGCCGTCGTTACGATGACTCCGACGAGGTCTCTCGCTCTCCTCGTCGCCCGCTGACCTCGCAACAACTCCTGTCCGCGGGCCGAGTCACTTCCTCCGTAAGTAACTGAGAAGGCCTGATTCAACTATCGCTTATCCCCTATTTATTTGATTACCCCTCACATTTCCTGTATTTACCATAATAAAAAGGTTTGACGTGAAAAGTGTGCTGATCTATCACTGTTTTCAAATTGATTGTCGCCCTTTTAAACAGAGTTATTGCAAAAAGAATTTCGTCTAGAATCGCGCCGACTTACTGCGGCAGGAATACGGCTTGGAGAAGAGTGTGTGGCGAGAGCGAACCCGCGGCGTCTTCAGGAATTTCAAGATGAACGACGTAAGTGATTCGAGATTTATCTCTGTTTTTATGTTGGATGAGAGATTTCGGGGGATTTACGGGATGGGGCGGAAAGTCAAAATACTGTAAAAATTCGGCAATAAAACGATTAAGTTTTTTGACTTTTTAATGATAGAAAGAACGTAAAATTTTATATCAAAAGTGCTCGTGATGTGAGCTGCAGATATTATAAATGGAGCATCACGGCAAAAAAATCCACAATTTTTCTAGCACTATTTTTCCAGACCTCTCTGTTCGATCAGCAATGCGCAGTTTGCAATGATTTTGCCGGTCGATTTTACATTGAAGATTTGTCATCGTTCGCGAAAGAAAACTGCGATTTCGTTGAGGACTTTATTCCAATCAACTGCTTCGATCTGGCCGAATTTTACAATAAATGTGAGAAAAAGGCGTTGACAGAAGTGACGCCGAGCAGCCAGTTCTCAACGACGGATATTCAACTGCCTTCAAATCAATTGAGCGTCTAATTTTTGGCAGCAAAATCATTGTAATATAGCACTGTAAATATTAATTTATTGTCGTTTCTGTTAACTTTACTAATAAATTTATCCTGTAGAGTTACTCATTATTAGTTATAAATTAATAAAGATGTTGTAAATATTATTTTTAATGTAAAACACGCTGATTTTACCACTCTTCTCTGACATTGCCATCAACAACAAGCTTCGAATACATGTGCGGTGGGAGATGGGAGAGGAAATAGTCGTATTTTATTTGAGTCATCTTCTGCGTTTGCTTGCAGGAACAGAAGATCAACTAAATCACAGTAAATTGACCGTACACATTAACGATCAAGAGATTGTTTACATGCCAATCTCTAATTCGTATTATCATCAAAACTTACGCTGTTATCAGAAGTCTCAATGAAGAAGCAGGTTTGGAAGTACTTCCGATACTTCATCAACATGGCGTGTCGATGTCTTTCTGCTTCCAGCTGGAATAAAGGTTAAATAAAAATTTTGCTTACGATTAGTAAAATAAAAGTCATCTTTTTGGCGATTTGCTTTGTTAAAGCCCAGAACTCACCATTTTATCCAGCTCATTATGCCTCGAATACGTATTCAAGACAACTGCACATTCTTTGTTCATATGCTTTCTTAATTCCTTCACAAAGTCCGAAGTTGTAAAGATATCCACCGGTGAGATGAAAAGATGCAGATCATCAAAATAAGAGGTGTCAATGAACGCAAAGTCAAATTTTTCTTCTGCAAAATTATAAAAAAAGTGTTGAAAGCGCCAAAAAAATAAAATTTACCGTCAGTACTGCGATTGACAACATAGTCAAACCCATCGCCTTCGATGACTGTGTGATCCGAATTTCCGGGAACTCCAAACCATTTCTGGGCAATGTGAATTATCATCGGCTCCAGTTCAATCGAGGTGATTTTGTACTGGAAAAGCATTCGAAGTCAGATGGCTGTTTTCAGGCGGTATTTGACCTGGCAGTGGCCGTTGGACTTACCCCCAAATGCTCTAGGAAAGCTCCACTAGTCCCTGAGCCAAGCCCGATTTGAAGGGCGTTTTTACCAGTGACATTGAACATAAATGGCCCTTGAAGTGCTAAACGGGTATATTGGGCCCAAAGTATGTCTTGTTCAAGTCGCCCTGTGCCTGAAAACACAAATTTTTGTCAGAAATCTTGTATCTTATAGTCATCATATTATAGTCGCAATTTTTTCAAATTGTCTTTACTTACTGGTAACATATCCAGCACCAAGGATTGTGTGTTGCTGAGGTTCTTGTTGCAGTCTTCGAAGGATTTTACTAAACATTTCAGGCATCAATTTTTAAACATGCCTTACTCATGTGGCAAATGCAAATCAGTAATGTAATAACAATGGTCTTGATGTCTTCGGCAGAGAATTTCTTTCAGTTCCACATTTCCTTTTGGGGTCAACATCACATCGCTGAATGGGCGATCCTCTGGCTTGGCAGTGTACCAGTCAGCTCGGTTGTGAAGTTCGTAGTGTAGATAGCAAATTGTTCCGAAGAAAATTAACTGCAAATGGGAACATAGAAAGGTTATAAGCCCACAACGAATTGTTTTTATATAATAGTATTTGAAAAAACTTTATTGTCGTCAGAGAGGCTGATCTTCTTCGCTGACGTTGGCAATCAAGCCGAGCCGAGCTATTTTTACGGCCATACTGGCCCAATTTCGACCGCTGTACTGGAAACTGTGGTCAGTAATTCATAACCATGTTCCATTTTTATCCTATTTTATCTTCAAACGGGGCATGGCAGCCAGGACTCACCAAGACGATGGCTAGAATGATCTTTCCCTTTTCCTCCCAAAAAAGATCCGTTTGCCATCGCGGAACCTTCTTATCCTTCACAGTCTTGTACATGCTGAAGAGTCGTACTACCCAGATAAAATATAAATATACTAATATGGCCTAAAAGATGAAGAGAGTTATCGGCCTGAACAGATCAGAACCCAATCCAAGTCATGGCCGAAAAACGTGGATTGTCATGGCTGTTGCGGTCGTTGTTTGTCCAGTTGCTTTCGTTATTCTGGCAGTGGTTATTTCATGACGTTTTTTCTTGCAATGACGGATTAAATGACCTACAATACATGTTAGAAACATTCTTCCACATGACTCTGTCTAATCAAATTCCTATCCGTCGTATGTTTCGTCCTTCGATTACAGCTATTTATATCTTCGTCTGACGCGGACTCCGGCAACATTCTCCTCCCCGTTTCTCTCCTTGGTGTCGTCCCATTGTGACTCCAGTGCACTCAGCTTGAAACCAGAACAGACAAATGTCCCATCTCATTTACAGCGATGGCCCGAAAACGGAGGGAATCTTTCCCCCGACCCGAAATGAAGCCATCTATTTTGGAGCGCCCTCTTTGGAAATAAATGGCCTTCGAACGATGCGCTTTTTTGGGGCGTATTTAGTCGTCGATTCAGCGGGCACGCGGCCGACGGTCTGTGCGGCCCGACATGCATATTATATGTACATGGTGGCTTATGGGACAATTGGTCTTTCGGTCGGATTTTGCGGGTAGTTGTCGACGAAGGAATGGTTTATTCATTTATGTGTACCGCGGGTTCACATAAAAGGCGGTGGTCCAAGCACGGGAGTTTTATGGGTCATAGTCAATGAAAGAAATGGGTATTCTGAATGGGGCTACGACAAGAAGAGCCGTATTTTTCGACCTCTAATGGTCCTAATTTTGCAAGGCTGTGCTCAACGGAAGATGAATATTTTTTCTATTTTTTATGGTACAATTATTAAATAGGGCTTTTCCAAGAATTTATAATTTCCCTTTGAAAGTCCATTCTGTTCTATGAGAGTTCAACGTACCCCATTCTTTATGGGTCATTGCGTATTCTCATTGTTTTTAGGACTTCTCGAAACAGCGGTCGACATAATAAAGGCATAATTCGCTTTTTCGAATCGTTATTTTGACACGAGAAGTTGTCGAAGTTGCGACGGTCAGAATTTATCCTAATTGGGCTCATGTATTCTGTATAGCCTGTACTTTGAATGCTGAAAGTCTTAGCCCAAGTTTTGCAGTGGCAAGCGAGATATTCAACAGTATTTGCAGAGTACGGAGAATAGAGAGAGCGGCCAGAGAAAGGTATTTTCTGGCTGTATCTATGAATTCAGCGTGAAATTTTTTTTGTGAAAATCTGGCTGACCACACTACAAAAAATTTTCATTTTCCTTGTTTTAAATCTAATAGGCTTTCTTTATTTTTTTGACATGAAAATCTCGGTTGTTTCTGCAAAACGAGAGCTTAAAATTACGGTGTTGCTTATCAAAAAATACTGTGCCAAAGATGATCTTGATCCAAAGATCATCACTCTGAGCTCTTTCCTTTCGAACTTGCTGATCCTAAATCCCAAAAGATTAATTTTTAAACCAATTATTATCCAATAACCCCTCCAATTTCTTCTTCCAAAATTTCGGCCGTTTTTGCCCTGAGGCACCATTCGCTCCTAATTACTTTTCATTTTGCAGTCAACAATTTTTCCATAAGCCCAAAAATGGGGCGGCACGTGACCCATGGGGGAAAGCAGCTTTTCTGTCATAGCAACTCCTTTTCTGATACAAATCCCCGCTTTCGGTCAAATGTTTTACTCTCTGGGGTCGCGGCCGTGAGTGAATTTTTTTTCAGTTCCTCTGGGCGGAAAAAACAAATTTTCAGTTCGCAGAAAAACATTTTTTTGGGGATTTTTAGCGCCTTGATTTTGAAGTGAGTTTAGAGGGGAAGTGCCTGAGGTGTCCAGGTCAGAAGTTGACCAATTTTTTTTTGAGATTTTACAAATACGATAGTAAATCGGCATTCTCCTTCGAATGTAAGCAATAAGATTTTTCCGGAAAACCATTTTTTAACTCGCGAATTTAAAAAAAAAACGGTCAAAACGATTTTACTTTACCACTCTCCGCATTTGACACACTCTTTCGCCAAAAATTCAGACTTTATGCGAAATTTCATTCGTTTTATCAAAAAAGTGGCTGTTTTGGCCAAGTTTTGGCATGCGTTCCGTCAAATTATTTTTTCAAATCTCATTTCTTATCTCTTCAACAAATCTTATTTTGATGGCCAAAATAACATCCTTCAGAGCTCTCAAACTCGGCTCTATTATAGAGTGTGTTTATTTGTCTTGCTATTGAACGGGGAAAATAAGAAATCGGTTTGAGAATGAAGTAACTTGCGGTCTAATTTTTTGGATTACTTTAAAAAAATTAACAAATTTTAGCGACGGAAGTGTTCGAGATATGACGGATCTCAATGAAAAACGGCAAAAATTAAGCGGGTTACTTTCTATGGAACATGAATCATTTTTATCTCGCGATATGCTGCCTTTATAATCAAATAATCAAACCTTCAATAAAAAAAATCCTGACTCCAATTTTTTTAAACCTTTTGGCCCCATCGCTCATTTGATTTATTTGCTCCGATCAATCTGAATGCGTTCTAATTTGATCCATCCTTTGTTTTGGTTTGATCTTTTCTCTCACCTCTCTCCCAAACTCAAAGCTATAGTCATTTGACGTCATTTTTTGTTTATCCATCGTCCATATCATCCCATTTTGTGCGTATAATGTGATTCCCAACAGGTGAAAATCCCGCTTATCCCAATAAAAATGGGGATCCCGTGTCCCATAAGTCGGAGATATTTCCAGTTCAAGGCCCCTGAAGGTCGTTCTTTCAAATCATATTTTTGTTTTTTTTAGTTTGAAAAGGACTCCAAGGTTCTTTTGATTTTATTCCCTCTCCCACGCTGTTCCAAACCCTCCGGGTTTTGGTGCATTTAACCTTTTCCGCTGGTTTTTATGGACGTCGTTTTGAGACATTGCACCGGGTTTATGGGGCAGATACTTTTTATCGATCTAAAGGGCAGTTTCCAGTCTGGGAGTAGGCTTGAATTTGAGGAAATTTACATTAAAAGTAGAAGTAACATATCGAGGAATGTGTTTGTTATTTTGAAAAAGGTTATTTTGTAGGGTGTTCTTATCAATTTGACGTGTTAAAATCAAAAATACTAGAGAATAAAACGTTTGATTTTGGTTTTGAAGTGTCAAGAAAAGTTTGATAAACTTTGGTAGACGTTATGACACGAAGGTAGTGGTGTTTTTGCGGTCGAAAAAGTGCGTTGTTGATATGGGATAGATAAAAAAATTGTTTTTTTTAGTAAAATTATATCCTTCTCCGAGAGAAAAATGGATCTCATACTCATTACGATGATTTTTTCGAGTTTTGACAACTTTCGTTACAAAAAACATAACCGCAACCTCCTTGAAACGGGCAATTCGCCAAAAAAGAGGCGAAAAAGCTTTTTTGTCGGAGAAGAAATGGGGAATTTTTAGGGCGAGAGAGTACGTTTTTGCGCGTCTTTTATCTGACTTCTCTGTGAAATCAAGACGAAGTGTAAAAAACCGATAGCGAAGTGTCTATTCCGATCACCGGATGCTTTTTTTGGCTCAAAGGAAAAATATGTATATTTCAGCAATTTAAAAAAATTTATTAGCTTTTTTTTACAGTTTTGCCCAATCTCTCCAAACAACTGCAAAATTCGTGGCTTGCACGCCATCCGGAATAACACTTTTTTTCTCGGCGCATATCGAATTCAAGCTGTTTGTTTTGTCCTTGTCATGTTTTTAAACAAGAATTCTCCCCGCCGAAAGCAATCAGGTATTCGCTTTTTTATTGGGCATCCAGCAAAGCCATTTTTAGCGTTTTTACGAGCCTAACCGTGCTTCGGAAAAGTGTGCGTTCCAAGAGCGAAAAATTCGGGAAGTTGGAGAGGTAAAACTTGGTTTTTTACTTGGAAAGTCATCAAAGAATTTAATGAAAATTGACACAAGTTAAGATAAATTTTTGTAACACAAGACAGCACTTTACTTCCCATAAAAAAACTGGGATTTTTAGAGCGAAATTTGGTTAAGTTTATCGTTGAAAAATCATCGCCTTTTTCTTTGCATAGGGCAATGTTTGATACCCTTTTTAACAAAATTTCCCACCTCCCTATGGGTACTTTGTCTTTGAAATGGCTCGCTGATACCTTTAGCCCAGACCTCACTGAACGTTTTTTGATTTCCGATTTTATGTGAAAAGTTCCAAGGTTGTTGTTTACCTTCTCAGATTACCGGAAAATGCGTCACCAACGCATTTCCAAAGCCGCGTTTCTTTTCCGGGATGCCAAACAAGAATGGGAATATCCGTTTGTTTTTCGAAGGATACATCAGCTGATGATGATCTCGGGTTTCTTCGTGGCATCGTATATGGGTTTGTAGAGGCAATTTTATGCTAATCTTTGGGGGGACATTGCATTTTCGAGATTAAAAAAAAGATTTCTAAATTTTTGTGCTAGGAATTTTCCATATTTTATTTTTTTTTTCTCTTACCGTCTCTCCTTAATTTCTATAGTTTCTCGCGGTTCAAAGATCATGGACTATCTCAACTGTCCTTGTAATACACAACATAAAATTTTGAATAGTTGATATTCAGTATAGGTCCATCATTCTTACCAAATTTGAAACAATTTGAAAAAAAACTAAAGGGTTGTTTTTGTAGCCATCTCTTGTAAGTCGCTTTAACCCCCAAATCTCCTCATTTTACACTGTTCCTTACCGATTTCCCACTAAAATCTCTCATCCATTTCCCCATCTCCCTCTCTTCTCACCCACAACTCATTAGCATATTCGAATATAATCCGATCATTGCATGTTTGGGGATAAAATGGGAAAGGAAAACAATTCTTAATTGTGTCTTCCCTCACACTCTTGACCGCCTTTTGTTTACGTTGCGGCTTTCAACCCAGGTCCCTTCTTCGTTTCGGTGCTTTTACCTCTACCTTGGCAACCACACCTTTTCTCGTTCCCAAAAAAACACCCAAAATTTTTAGAGTTTTTTTTGGACTTCGGGACGTTAGATTTTGGCTTGGTAATTTATGGGGGTTATGTTTCTAGCCAAGGTGCAGGGTGTCTGTATATCAGTCTGTCGGAAAAATAACGGCGGATTGTCGCATCAAACTGTCTCGCCTCGCCGCTGTCGCGCACCAAATCCCAAGCCGCGGCTTGCTGTCGCAAAGCGATGATGGGCGATTCCGAGGCGCGATGATCCGCCGTTTTTTCCCGACAGACCGATATTTTACAGCTAACAGTTAGCTGGAACTTGAAAGCATCTGTAAAGCCTGTCTAATGGTTCTTTGCAAGTTGCAGCGCTTTAACAAGGTAAATGCGGCGCCTCAATTTTCTTCAAAGCTTGCGCAAATGCTGATCCTAACCTAGGCTATGTAATCATGAAAATTTTAGCTCGTGCTTTGCATATACAGCCGAGATGTTCAATGATGATTTTTTCGTGGAAAGCGCGGCTTCTCAGATCGATTTTAGGGCCGAAATTCTCAAAAAAATGAGAAAAGTTTGGCATACTTTTTACATACAAAATATTTAGGTTGTTTTCCAAATTCTTCCCAATTTTCATGAAAATCCAAGCGTAATGCTTCGTGCATCCTGTAAGAATTTCAATGGCTTTTTTTGGCCTATTCATTGTCAGATGGCTTTGAAAAACTTTGAAAAACATGTTAGCGTTGCACGGCATTTTGAACTTTTGGGACATAGGTCCCCATTTTTTCTATTTTTTTTAAATGGACTTCTTTTTAAAAATTCTTATTAAAATTTGTAATCTGATACTTCTTTTAACCATTGTCAATTACAATTTTTATACTCTTATTTTCCTATCCTTTTACTACCATTCTAGTCAGTTAGATCACTTTGATTATTGTAAAAAGTTCCTTTCCGATTACTTGTGTTCAAATTCGGAATTTTAATTAAACCGTTCCCCTCTCTGAGCTCGAACGTTCGGTTTGATCAAAACAAAATTTTCATCTGTCAAGGTGACGAGATTTGTTTTTTTTGCTTCTAAAATTATCTTGACCTTATGACACACCGGTCAGTCAAGGGGAAAATCAGCCCTACGTTTTTCGAGATATTTCTTTGGGATTTTTTCTATTACATTTATTTACAGGAAAAGAATGTGAGCATTTACGACGTTCAGATTTTCTTTAATTTTTGTACACATTGACAGCTTCTTGCCAGTTTTACGCCGAAAAAAATGAAAATCCCGAGCAAGTAAAAACTTTTATGGAATAAAAATTATTTTAATGATTTGCGACCTATTTGCGTGCGCAAAATTTTTGAGAAATTTTCACTCGCGCTTTGCAGAAATTTCCGATTTTTTATGACAAAAAGATTAAATTTTTCAAAAAAAATATGCGATTTTAGACGATTATTTTTTTATTTCATTACGCGTTTTGTACCCGATTTTTTTCACGAGGGAAACAATCGTGACAATATCATTCATTAACTATACCAAAAATCAAATCCATTTTTTCAGCTCAAAATGACATCAAGGTTACCTCTGATCAGTTTGGCGTTGTTCGCCGCGTTCCTCGGATCTCAGGCCGAAGTTGATCTGGATTTGAGTCTCCGGGACAGCACACCCATTTGTGTCGGAAAGATTTGCGACAGCTCTTCGGCGTTCCATTATTACACTTGCTGTGGAACTGTAAGTTACGAAGAAAAAATTTAATTTTTTTAAAGTCGACGCTTCGATACCCGTATTTTGCAATTTGTTGAGAACTTTCATTATTTACAAATTCCGAAAAATTTTATTGCTTGTGAACCCAACTTAAATTTTTTTATCAGACCTCAACTACAACCCCAAATTTTGGAATACAATTTTTAGAAATTGAAAATTATATCATAATGAAAATTTTATTCGAATCGTCCTTCAAAAATATCTTTTTGCGGCAAAATTCGCATATGACGTCATTGTGCATATCCTTTCCCAAAAAAATCTCATTTTTATTCCTCCAGATCGCCAACGAATGTTGCTTCCGACTCCAAAGCTGGGTTATCATCACTCTGATCGTTTGTGGAATCCTCTTCGTGGCCAGTCTTGTCATCGGGCTCGTCAAATGTATCTGCTGCTGCGATCGCTGAACAAAAAAGAATGCCTCATCCGTCTATGTAAATACCGGGCCCTCAAGCTTACTAACGATATATATACAAGTTTAATTTTATAGCTAGCTGCATTTTCTAGACATTAGTATAAATTTTTTCAAGGATTCTTTGTCTACTGCCAATATATCGACGCCTTTTTTTGCAGTAAAATATTTTTTATCGTTTTAATAAACTTTTCTATGCATTCATTTAGCAAACCACTTTATTCCCGATAATTTTTAGCCATTTCAAGATCAACAAATTCCAAATAATTGAAGAAATCAACCAAAATTCATCCAAGGACCTAGTGTAATATAAAATTTATAAAATACTCTCGCTAAAACACAATTCTCATACAAGCTAAGGTGTTAATTTGGGCATAAGAGAAATATGCCACAAGGAACCGAATTATTCATTGGAATTGATCATCTGAGCGAGTATTGGCATCTGATCTTGGATCGGCTTTCCATCTGATTCTTGGGGATCATTTGTCGGCTCGGGCCTGGGCTAAACAATGCAAAACGTCATATAACATCATATTTAATATAACCATACAGCTATGATCTATCCTATCCCCTAAACTCAAAAAAAAGACATTAGTTATATTACACTAGGTATGCAAATAAAAATTTGATGATTTTTGCAAAAAAACTTGCTTCCTCATGTTCGATACGAGCTTCCAATGCACGCTGGAACCATTATGCATCAAGATAAAGTCACACAAATCCATCAATTTTTCTAAAATCCAACAAAAAAATAAAATTTTACCTCACTTCCCTCCGGAGTCGCCAACTGATGATTAAACACCTGTAACTGTTGCGCAATCGCGCTCTCATGCAACATCTGCTGAGAAAATGGATGGAGAAACGGGTTCATTTCTCTTCTGATTTCTGGGACAAAGTTGCGACGCGGAACAAAACTTGGAGGATCTGGGAAACGAGAGGTACTGGTCGCCATTAAGGCTTGACGTGGGAGGCAGGGGGTCATCTGAAAAGGGTTGTTTATCAATTTTAGCACTTCTAAAGACAACAATTTTCTAAAATGGTATGACTTACCTGAAGATCTTGGCGTTTTGGTTGAGAGCCAAGCTCCATTGGTGTTTCTTCATCCAAGGCTCGCTTCCGCGGACGTCCTCTGCCTCGTTTCTCTCCCCCTCGAGGCTGCGCATGCTTTCGGGGTTTCAAAAACCTGAAAACGAAATTTTTTTACCAAAAATAACGTAAAATACGTATGATCAATCTTTGCACCTCAATAAAATAAGGAAAATCTGATTTTCTTCCAGAAAAACTATCTTCACCATGTACAATATCCAAAATATTCCAAAACTCACGTCTTTTGAAGCTTGAGAAGCCGATTGGCCTTGAGCAATGTGTCCAAACCCTCGAGAAAGCTCAATCGGTCTTCTAACGGAACATACTTCACCACACTGTTTCTAAATTCATTCCACATCACCTCCAGTGGATCCATCTCGCCAAACATGGAAGGTCCAGGGAAATTGTGTGGATTAGCATGGGAAACAGGTGTCACGGTGTTCAAAACGTGCTGAGGATGCGAGCCCGCACCAGAATGATGTTCATGGGAGGAGTGGCCGAAGGTAGAACTTGGGCAATGGATGAAACTGGTCACATCTTTGAAATTGTTGATATTTGCCGATCCATGAAGAGGAGCTTGTGAATAGCTGACTGAAACAGCAACACAGACGTAACTAAGGGCCTAAGAATGAAAAGACAAACAAAATCAGCATCATACTTACCGTTCTCTCCAGGTTTTTCACCTTGACCACTCGTGATCTCCAATTCATCGCTGAATTCTCCGCACTTCTTCTGAGTTTCACTTGTTTTAACACCCTCTGCGGCTGCAGGTCCTTGAACATCAATTTCTTCCGCAACTTCCACCACCTTTTCCTCACTATTCGCACCGTCTTTTTCATGAAGATCGCCAGATTGGCCTACCACAACATTCTCGGTCGGAACGGTATCACTTTCCTTTGCAACACCATCGTCCTGTTGAGCGGCAGCCGACAATTGATCAACATGATGAGCCGTAGAACCTTCTCCTACATCGTCAGCCATTTCGAGTAAAAAACAGAAGAATAAATTGACCACGTACTTGAAGGTCGAAAATTCACCGACTGAAAAACTTGCAACGCTCAACGTGGCTGCACTTTTTGCCCTAAAAGTCCACGTTGAATTTGAATAATCTTCAAGTAAATTGTGGAAACTCTCGTTTTCCAAAATTTGCATAATTTAGGTACCAAATTCACGAAAAGTCAAATTTCTCGGAAACTAGCGATTTGCGGGGCGGAAAATGTTGAACAACAACTTTTTCACAATCTCCTTTACCTATGCCCCTCTTCTGATTGAATGACTACAAGGTTTCTTCTAAATTATCTTCCTCATGGCGACCAAATTTTGAACATAATTATTTACAAAAAGTTACGCAATCACTTACCTCATTCAGCTTGATTATAATTCCAATCTGCGCATTCCGTTGATAGACGGGTTTTCGTACAGAAAACCGCGTGGATAAGGTCCACCTTAGCATGAACAACAAATTGTCATGGTTAATATACAAATTCCTGTAGAATGGAGAAATCACATTTGCAGACACACTAAATAACAATAATATTCACCTGGCAACAATAAACTTTCGGAGAACTTCAGCAAAATGTTGCGATTTGTTCGGCGTCATCACGTCTAGAAAATCAGTCATCTAAAATGGAACACAGAACTTTTATCCCTCTTTTCCAAGTGGTAGATCAGGTTACGATGAAAATCTGGTGTAGCATCCTTAGTGTTCATAAGTTCTCCGAAGACAATGTTTGAGCATACGGTTAATTAGCATGTTAGGATGACAGATTTTTTAGACAACCAAGATGGTGCAAGAAAAAAAATTCTCGACGTTTTTGTTGTTGCAGATGGTTGCCGTAGTAAAAATAGAGTGTAAATTGTAAAAGGACAATTATTTCTGTTGTAAAATACGCGAATCACCTTTAAAAATGAGTCTTTTCTTGGTTTAGACATCTAAACTCAGGCTCTTTAGAACTTGATCGCGTTTTGTATTTTTGACGAAAAACTTTCTGCAAGTTATCGTTATTTTTTTTGGGATGGACATCAATGATCGAGAGACAGCATGGGCGGATGCTTTGGAAATTATTCGAGATGAAGGTGCAGATCAGAATTCACAAAGAAATGGTAATTGAAACTTTCTTAATTGCTGTTCTTTTATCACTTTAGACTGCCAGCAGCTTATATTTGGCTTTTCAGACACACATATCACTTACTCACGGCCGTATCTTCAAGAATCGGTAAATCATTGTGCACCTAACATGACGAGCAGTTTTGCTCACGGGCCCTTCTCTGGGTTTGGCCACAGCTTCTATGACCAGCTTTATCCAAGTGTCAGCTCACCTCCTCAACTTATTCCTAACCCTCCGAGTACCGTTTCCCACGCCAATCAGCGAAATCACCCACCTGCATCCATGTTTGGCGAGATGAATCCAATTGAGAAGAAATGGATCGAATTCCGAAACAGTGTGGTTTTAAATGTCCCACTGGATGAACGCTTGGATTTTCTAGATGGTCTTGACACATTGTTGAAGGCAGGGAGACTCAAGAAATTGCAAAAAACGTAAGATTTTGACATTATTCTTGGGTGATTTATGAGATTAGGTGATAAACTGGGCGGTATGAGTTAAATTTTATTGCGGATGGGATTATTGGTGTCTTATGGAGATATGGAAGTCAGTAAATAGAAAGGGAAATCCCGAGGCACTTAGAAATTTACCTTATACCTCATTGTAGGTGTAATATCTTCTTTTAGGTTTCTGAAAAGGAAATTTCGGCCAGCAGACATGACTGGGTCTTCTCGAAAGCGACCTTTGGAAGACGACCGACCATTGGATTTGTCTTCTCAACCGAAGCGCAATAATCAGGTGAGTCTTACACCATTTTAGGTAATATTTCAACGTAATATTATCGATTTAATCTGATATAAAAGTTAAAATATACTTGCAGGTGACTCCGCACTTTCCGACTTTGGATTTTCAAGTTTTGAGCACCAGTTCTTACAATTATCAAACACTTCCAAACGCGATTCCTCAACTAAACTCTCCCCATAACTTTCGACGAGATGTAATTCAACGTTCAACCCCCATTCCTCAACAAATGATGCAGTTAAAGCCGGTTACAGAAGTCGCTCAGGTCAAAACCGTGTTAAGTGATATTTATTCTGCCATATTTTAGTTAGAATGTTATAGCACTAGCAAAGGAAAATATAGATTATTTGGTCATTTAGGTCTTTTGAACAGATTATGATGCATAAATGTGTGTTATGCGATCTTCAGCGTTTAATTATGCACAAGAAGATTTAAATTGGAGTAGGAAAATATCAAAAGGTTGCAGTGTTACGCATAAGATATATTTAGATGATATAGCTAGAAAAAATAAGATGATTTTGATTGTCTAATACAATATCGTTTGTTGTTTCGACCCCAAAACAACAAAAACGATACTCCGTAAGCCGGAGAAAATGTTCCTTTTTATTTTCGGAGGCCAGAGAGCAAGCCGAAACTCTCTGTTTCGCTCTTTTTTCTTGTTGATGTTTTTCTGTTCCTTTCGAAATTCGCGAAATAGATGTTCAAAGCACAAGAGGAAATATTGGAGAGAAGAAGAGAGTGGGCGGGGAAAAAAACAAAACAAGATTTCAATATTTTTGTTTATCTCTGGATGTTTTCGACTATAAAAGCCGAAGATTTCGCTATTTTGGCTTACACTGAAGTGAAAGCAATCTGTTGAAAGTGTTTGATTGAAGCCTATTTGTGTTCAAGATGCAACGGAATATCATCCAAGTCGCCCGAGCTTCATCCGATGCTGTCTCTATGGCTGTGAATCAAGGTGGGTAATATTTTTGTATTACTTTAGGCGCGAAGAAAATTCGTTTTTTTGGAATTTCTTTTTTTCGGATTTAGCTCTTTTCGATTCACAGAAGTTGTTTGTTAGAGGCTGTTCAGATTCTGAAATTGTAACGGATAGAGTTACTAATGAAAAATCGCTTACTTTAACTTTCTTTATCCAATTATTTTTTTCTCAGAAAGGGTTTTTCTTACCCTTTCTCCTTTAGGCGAACGCCGTTTCCTCTCGACCACACCAATCCAAGAGGCGACCATCGTGGAGAACGCCAAGCAAGCCACTTCTCAAGCCTGGGAGAAGACTAAAGAAAAGGCCGGACAAGCCGCTGATACCGTCAAAGAAACTTTTGGAAAGGCGTCGGATACAGCGAACGAAACCGCATCAAATGCTTATGAAACTGCAAAGTCCGCCGGTAGATCATCCTACACGGAAGCGAAGGAAAAAGGAGAAGCTGTGAAGGAGAAGGCCGCCGAACTGAAAGAGAAGGCCAAGGATTCCGTCTACGAAGGCAAGGAAAAGGTGAAGAAAGTCAGTAAGCAACGAGTCTCGCCATATATGAAAGCCCGTTTAGAATTAGACAAAGAAGACGCGGATAAATGGGCTCGTTATCAATAATTTGGGGATTCAACGGCCATAAGCAACTTTTACAAAGACATCTCGAACTCGACATCTCGGTCTACAAATCTCCAAAGCTATTTTAGCGGTGCTCAAGTTACTCTGTAGTAATATTATTGTATTTTTTATGCAAATTGAAAATGCTAATCTATGTGTTTAAAATAAATGGCAGTTTGTATTCTTTGTTTTTTGTTCAAGTGTCTATTGAAAAGAAGGTATGTATTGTATTATCAGGAACTGTCTGTTCAAAAAGAATGAAAGCAGTTATGGCCCCGTGTTCGACGTGATTGGTAATTGGAAGGGACTAAAAGGTCGAAGTGGTTAGCCAAAATTGGATTCGCCTTTTGAGAGCGATTTTGAAGATTTAGCTGCCAATCCCGCCCCCTTGGCTGGATATTTGGATGATTTTTCGAAATAGTCCAACTTTTTTTGTCTATGTTCTACAAGCTGTTATAGGTATACTAAACCAGCAAATTTTCCAAAACAATCTGTTGTTCGATATTCACTTATTCTATACATTTTTTGAGACCATTTATTATCCACTTTTTCTTACAAAGGCCCAAAGTATTACAATGAAAATAAATGTTGGAATATAACCGGGAATTTCGACTCAATACCAATATTTGTTGAGCAGTAAATTAGCCAATAATTTTGAATAATCTAAACATAGACCAGTCCGGGTGGGCCAGCCATTCGGCGTCCTCTGTAGCTGCTCGAGTACGATGATGGGTTGTACTGTTGGCCGTAACTGGAGCCATATTGTCCGCCATATCCGGAGGAGGCTCCATATTGCGACTGTCCGCCGTATTGTTGTCCGTAGCCGCTGTTGGATCCTCCAAAGTATGAGGGGTCGCAGTAGGGGTTGTATTGACTGTTATAGCCTGAGGCGGAGTATTGAGGATTCTGGGAGTAAGTTCCATAGTTGCTGGTTCCATAGCTACCGTACCCTTGCTGCTTAAAAAGTAGGTTAAAATTTGGAAAAAAAGTAGGTATCAAGTTCAGCTTTTATCTTTTCATAGTTTTACTTTTCTCAAATAGGTTACGGCGAACTGATACGTTTCAATGTTGCCCTTGAACTTACCGAGTATTGAGCGACAGCAGCGCTCACCAAAACAGCCAAACAAATTCTGAAAAATCGAAGAAGATTAGTCAGACTTGAACAACAAACTTACAATTTGAACATTCTCCTTGTTCCTCAAACTCAAACCGTATGACTTCACCCAGGAAAACCTTTTCTTTTATACTCGCCGTAAGACCTGCGCTTGAAAAAACTTGGCCAAAGCCAATGTCAACATGTTCCCAGTGAATTACAAAGGGTTGGGCGTCGAATTTTGAAAAAGGTAAAAGTTTATTTGTTGCGCGGATTAAACCCGGGTTGTGGACCCGGAGCATGAAATTCCACAGAACAGGGGATTATAAATAATACAAAATTTAGAAAGTAAATAAAAATTAGTCTGAAGCCACGTACAAGAAGTAGGCTTTTACGTCAATTATGACAACAATGTTTATTATTTTAAGGAGGAAAAAGCATAGTTCAGGCAGCAGTTGTAGTCGAATTTCTACGGAAAGGTTCGGCCACTTGTTCACAGGCTTTCCACAGGACCGAACGTTGGCTACTTTAGCTCCAATGCGGGCATTTCAAAAATGCAATAAAGGTACGCATAACATTGCCGGTAGTCATTTTTAAACTTATTTTGTGACTCTCCGACTGGGCGATTTTTTTTGGAAAATTGTCATCGTGGTTGGCATTATGGTGATTGCGAATTTTACATTTTATTGCGGAGTTGTCGACTACAAGGAAATTTTTTATTCCGGTCAATCAAAAGATATTAATACGTAAACACCTTGAGATGACACCAATGATCATTTAGTTTCCCAACCTTTTGGTTTGTTGGATGTATCAGATGGGTTCCACCGTTTGTATGCATAAGAAACACTACAACTTAGCGACAATGAGTAAATAATTTATTTCACAAGGAAAATGGCCAAAACATGGCTGTCGAAACACATATTGAGGAAACAAGAATAAATTACTATTCAAACATTCCTGAGGAAATACGCGATCGGAATTCATCGCTAGTAATAAATTACAGTGCATCTGTTCATATTTGTTTTCTGGTGACTATTCCTAACGGTGAGGCCAGCTTTTCCTAACGGAGTTCGATTTCCTAGTATTGTAACAATATTTTTGGGGTATGGCCTGCAGTCCCAACCGCAAGGTTGCATAAAATCTATAAAACTTGAATATTTTGCATTCCTTGGAGATGCTGTTTCGAGAAAGTCTTTCCTCAGAAAGAGAAGCAGAGAGCGAAGATTGTTTTTCCCATTCCTAAACAAGAGTTTGGCCATAGAAGTTGCTTCTAACTGGTCGCCGCCTCCAACGACTTCTCAACCACCTCTCCATGCTTCCTTTTCCATCTCCCAATTCTTCGTTTAACGGTTTTCCCTGTTTTTTGCCCATCTTCCTCCTCTTCGGACATGTCTTTTCTCTTATCATATAATGGATTGAGACTTTGATGGATATTCTCAGCTGTATCAGGAGTCTCAATGCCTTTCACGGGCGCGTGAATTAACACCGGTTTCTCTGTAGCGAGCACTGTTGCATTACCAAAGGAAATATGCCCGGGACTGCGAACGACCGGAGGCGGAGTTATATTAGTTGTATTTTCTAGCGATTCCTCAGCGGTTGTAGTTGTCTTTGGAATAGTGGTCGTCGATTTCATCGTAGCCGTAGTTGTTGTCGAACTCATGGTTGTTGTTATCATAGATGTAGCGGCATTTGCAAAAATGGGTTTCCATTGCCTTGTTGTGATAGCCTGATGTGTCGTCGTTGTTATAGGCATTGCCATAGCTGGCGGTAGTGTTGTCTAAAGCAATAACACTGAAATTTTATTTATCGTACCGTATGAGTATATCCATGGGGTTTCTTGTCTTTATTTGAAAATATGGCATGAGTAAACTGATTGCGAACTTGCGCATACTTGAAACGAACTCGTTCTCCAAATTCATTTGCTGGAAATTTATATAAGATTGGTGGAAATGTGCGATTATAAAATGGGAAATGTAACAGAAGTGGTTCTCGGCATCTCAACAAGCCCAGCAAATCTTCTTAACCTACCAACAGTTTTGTTGAGGACTCCCGTGTCCAAAAAGTCGAATCTTGCCAAGGTTTGACGTCGTAACCTCGTGATATTCTCTGTATCATCTGACTTCTTTGTTTTAGTCTTCTTCTTCTTCTTTTTTGGTTTTGGGAGGTCTTCTTCATCTACTTCGTCGATGTCAATATAATCGTAGACTATTCTTCGACGGGTTCCTAGAGGTGAAAAAGTGTTAGCTGGTGGCTAAGCCAAGTGCTTACCGTTAGTAGTTTTGTTTCCATTGATCATTCCTCCTCCATTGATTATTGTCCCATTGGTTCCTCCTCCATTGATTACTCCCCCATTGTTTCCTCCATTGTTAATTTGCAACCCCGGAGGGCACTGATTATTACAACTGCATGCATTTTTAATCACATTGTCGTAACAGTTGGTATCCGGCATCAGACATTGTCGTACTTTCATTGGGATGCATAGGTAAAATTTGCGTTCGCAGGCCTGTGGGCAGCAATGTAATTTGGCTCCACCCGCTAATGGAGTTGGTCCACAGCAGTTGTTACAGCAGGCGCATTGACAGCCTGGATTGCATATTCCAGCACATGGATTACAAGCTGGAACACAACATCCACCTCCACCTTGAATGCAGATTCTCCCTCCCGCTGGAGCACAGCATCCGCCGGCTGGAGCACAGGCTGGCACGCAAACTCCTCCGCCGCCGCCGCATGGTGCAGCACATCCTCCACCTCCACCACAGCATCCGCCTCCTCCTGCGCAGCCTCCACACGGACTGCAACACGGCTCGCAGGACGAAACTATCATGACTGGAGGCGATGTTGACGACGGTGGAGGCATTGGTTGGGGCATTGGGTTTGGTTGCGGATTTGGCTGCGGATTCGGCTGCGGTTGATTTGGAAACTGTAGTCCGGGAGGACACTGATTTTGATTTTGCGGACAAATGCACGCAATTGGGTTCAAATTCACTGGCATGGATTGCGGACAGTTGCAGCAACAACTACTGCATCCACCGCCGGGGAGCCCAAGTGGGCCACAGTTGCAGCCTGGAATACTTAAACCGCCGCCTCCATTGCAGCAGGCGCATTGTTGTGGCAACAGGAGGCCACCTCCGCCAGCACAACAACAATTGGAGTCGACTAGAAGGATTATGGCAAGAAGTAAAACTACCAGAAGTAGAGTCGAGGTACTGAAAACATAAACATAATATGAGGCGTAGAAGTTTGGCAGAATGTCAAGACACTAGTATCTCTTTACGTGTTAGCTTCTAGGCGTCGCACTTTTCTACAGCTACAAAAACCAAAACAAAAGCCAAGCTTACCTGACCTTTGCGGCCAAATACATGCGCTTCCGGTGTTGTTGTGAACTGTCTGCGTCCACTAAGCGCAGTTCGTCCCCGAATGACATCTACATTAATGGGGGGCCACTAACCCCGGCGGCCACTTGGCGTGATAAATGACACTTGTGGTCATTCAGATCAACTCCATTCAGAAGGTCGCCATTGTCTCGCAAGCTGAATGGTCACTCCTTTCACTGCGTTCAGGCTCCCCCGTCCATTGTGGAGGGAGATGTTTACATTGCGTGGGAACGATGGTAGGTGAAGATGGGCGAATGTTACATTTGAGGCGTATTAAATGGAACGCGAGTTGTCTTGTCAATCAAAGACTATTTTGAGTGGAAAACACTTTATTAGGCTCCTTATATCGGTTTTCAGAATTTTAGTCTGTAAGTTAGGAGGGTTGATTCATTCGTTTTTTCGTATTACGCTCTCATCTTGCGTTGTACGTAGAATTCTGTCATCAAATTTGATTTCAAACTTCCCACGTCGAACATGGTCATCACAGTGAAATGATTATCCTCGATTTGTGAAGTAATCTGAACGTAAATGATCATTAAGTTTGTAAAGCAAGCGTTTGAAGTAAGGAAATAATAAAAAATGACTCACTTCCAAATTGGGCACCAAACAAAGCAGGGCTGAGATCCTCTTCGTGACTTCTCTCTCTGTCATTTCCGGGTTATGCAATCGAATCACATCTTGTAATATGTGACAATAGAAGGACTGAGTTCGTCGGACGGTTCGTCCCCCTTCTTTAGAAAGGCCGGGGACCATGGTAAAAAAGGCGATCACTCGGAGAAGCTGAAGTTCAGAGTCAGTTGCTTTGAGTTCTGCTGCCAAGTCCAGAAAGTGTTCCCAAATCAGTGTTCCTATTTCTTGATAGGCTGGTGAGATGCTGAAGAAGAAAAAGATAAAAAACGCCGTATTTTCAACGGAAGGCTCCGTAACATATAAGCGATAATCGAAGTCTACGTCAAAAAGGAAACGTAGTTTGTCGAAAATATCAGGCTTGAATAAACTTACTACTGATCGTCATATTTTGCCAGATCCTCTGCTTCCAATGGCACATAGGCTCCACTGCTTAAAGGTACGCATCTTTTTCCCAGCCCTCTTGCTCTATAAGCTATCATATGATACAAAAGGGGGACGCATCTCCCCACTATCATTCGCAAACGGTCATCCACAGACAATTCATGCAATTCCGGCAAATGCGAAACCCAGTCGATGTAGTGCAACGCCGTTCTGCACCATATTTTACCAAAGTGCTCGGCTTTGCAAAAATAGTGTGGTTCATACAAAAGCAGCGTTCTTTCGACCAGTTTCCCGCCCGCTGTCAGAAAGGCCTCCTCGATGTTGAGCTCCAGATTATGCGAGACTTCTTGCGACAGGAGTGGGGCAGTGGATTCACAATAAGCATCGATAAAATGGTCCACCATGAACAGGTATTTCAGCACCGAGGGCGGCGCTTTGTGGTCGAAAAGCGGGATCATTTTTTTGACGCCCAATGGGAGATGCGATGGTTGGCAGAGGTGGTATGTGGAGGCCAGCAAAATGTTGCAGTCAAACTGGGCTTTTTCGCGGATTGCGATTTCCGTCGAACTTTTGGATCGAAAAACATCGAGGGCTTGGAGGTCGGGCTGATCGTCGTCTTCCTCCGATTTCGTGGCCACGAGGGGAAGACGGTCTTCTGGGACGGATAAGGTTTTCTTCTGGGGACCCCGTTGGAATCGCACGGCGTCTGCGTCGCCTGCACGGTCGCTGTGTACCACTGAAAAAATAGGTTAATTTTGGGTCGAAAAGTGAATATTAGCGAGTCCAACGAACAAAGTAAATAAAAAGTTAGAAACAAAGAGGACATAAAGGCCATAAGTTGACTTACAGACTGGCTGAAGTCCCTTTTCAAGGCAGATTCGCAACCGACAGGCACGGCAAGAGTTTCGGGCATCTGAAATTAAAATTAGGCTGCCGCTTCTTATGTCTGCGTTTTCTATTCCCCTCTCAAGTTCATTACCTTTGCCCTTTTATCTACTGCCGTATCCTTAATTGCTCAACCTGGCAACAGTAATTTCCGCCTCTAAGAACCTGAACTCACCATTTTTAATGTTGCAGCGACTCTCGAACGCACACACATACTGTCGTCGGAAGCGAATGGATCGACGGAAGAAGCCTTTACAACCGCTGCAAAACAAGGGTAATAACAGGTCAAGAGCTCAACTAGTCAAAGTACCAAACGGTGGTGAAATTATAAAGGAAATGATAGAGTAAATAACCTGAAGATGACTCACCTGCAGCAATTACGGCCGTAGTGTTTTGAAGCACCAAAATCTTCGCATACAACGCACTGCCGACGTTCTTTGCTCATAAGCTATGGGGCGACACCGCGATTCCTGAAATTCACGAGGAATTTACAAAGGTCATGCCGTAAACGTGTAAGAAATCAACGGAAAAATGCGACTGCGAAAATTGAAGAAAGTGTAATTTCGGGAAGCCCTGAAATTTTGTGATCGGATTTAAAAATGAAGCTGGGGATAAAGCATGGCTATTAAGACAATTTTTTAGTTGCGGCTTGCTCTAATATTTCTATTGTAGCCCTGATACCAAAGTACTAGCATCATTAAGGGACACCCTCTCTCATGATAGCTCTCTCGAATTATTTTTCAAATTTTGTACTTTTTCTTACACACCCAAACATATCTATTAATAATTTGACAAGGCCTTTTTGATGGTTCTAAACGCGTCGTTTCGAGAATGCACTACATCGTACTTTCCCGTATGTAGCACTTTCCCTTCAAATGTTAAAATTCAATTGCATTTCCACTCACTATTTTGAGTAATATTCTAATATGTAAAAGGCCTCTCATATGAGCCAACTTTACACCTGCAAGAAACCTTGTGGCATATTTGCGTGCAACGTGAGTGCAAGCCGGAAACAACTTGACGAAATAATTGTGAGTAAACCGTTTAGTGGAATACGGAGAACGTACAGGTAACGTGGAAATGGAAACGTCTACGAGTCACAGCGCACCGTTGTTAGAAAATATGTATATATTCATTTAGATTGTAGGTGACATCAAGGACAAAATGTGGGTCTGTACTTCGAGGGAAAATATTTTGTATGATGCTTGAAATTTTGTAGTGAAGTGTTTTTAAAGACAGGAAATGAAATCAGTATGATGCACAAATTTTAGCCGAAACACCCACACGAAGATTTAGGGCCTCCGTGACGTGTTAATATCTAATTGTTAGAAAATTAAATTCTCAATTTATGTAAATTTTGATAAGGATCTCCGAAGATTGATAAAATCGAACAAAAACCGGAAACTGCAGAAAAGAAAATGATGTTCAAAATGTACTTTTTTTAAAACGTCAAGGCTAGTCGAACGTTTTGTATAACGTTCCACCAAATTAAACAAGCTCAAAAATATTTGAAAAAATACACGTACAAAAGTTTGCTTCAAACCAAAACGTATAGAAAAAATGATGCTTTCAAATTGTTGAAAATCTACTTCAAAAAACTTTTGGCGACTTTGCAACTTTGTAAATAAAGCCCCATGAACACAAATTAATATCAGCTCAAAAAAATGTGAGACAAAAAAAAAACTCCCGCGACAACATTGCCCTTATCAACACGCATTTTGAATACAAAATACTTTGGGGGCAGCAGCAGGAAGGGGAGGCAAAACGCCCTATGTTTCGTTTTCACACTCTCTCCCCTGCCTCCCAACCCTTTCCCCTGCAGATAGCACCTGGGAAAATAATGCAAAAATGGGGCTAATATTGGAAATAATGAAAAGTTGGAAGCACAAAAATAAAAGGGGAGTTGATAAGAGTGCACTCTTCACCTACGAGTGATTGCTCATTCAGCAAGTTGTTGTACTTGTTGTGGCGTCCATGGATACAGAAAGGAGTTTTTTGAACAAAATATGGAGTCTCTGAGTTTTTCCAACCTTAATAAACGCTTTCCCAGTAATTTTTTGCAGCTTTAAATAGGGGTTTTAATTTTGCAGAATATTTCATAATTAAGTACCCCAAGTGCGACGCTCAGATTTTCTTTAAATTCTGCATAAACTAATACAAATTCCTGAAAGTTTTAGCTCGCGCTTTGTAAGCGCCGCCGAGATATTGAACGATCTTTGCCGCCTAAAGAGTACGCTAAACGCGAAGAGCGGTCAGAGAGAAAAACAATTTTTGTCTTGCGGAAAAAATTGTTTTTGTGGACAAAAAAAAATCGGAAAAATTTTAATTTTGCAATCAAAACGACAGAATAATTTGGCATGACGCAACCGACGGCAATTTGGCAACATGCCTGACGCGTCAAGCTTTTTTTTGTTTGATGATGACCTAGCTACCCTAGTTTTAACGTACTCCTCGATCACTTCATTGGGGGTCGATGTAGTTACAGTCATATGCCTAAAAATAGGGCTGCTGTCTGACAGAGTGTTAACGCCCTTAATGTGAGAATGTTAACGCCCTTAAAAGGCAAAATTACCAGACTGCCACCACCGAAAAGCATCAGGCCACGGTCTGCACATGTCGCTGAACACATGAACCTTGCTTTGTATATCTTTATTTACAATAGACATTTCCGATAATTGTTGTCAGATAAATAAAAGTTTGTTGAGATCAAAACGGACATAGGTTCATGAGGAACAAAAATAAATTAAACAATTAGAGGCCGGAGTTTGAGACTTTATGACTTTTGATATCACAAGGCATAGAATTTTGTGGAATTGTACGTAGACGCAAAATTATAGGGGGCAGTTACAAACGCATCTTGCGTCGGACGTAGAAATCATACATCAGGCTGGATTGTAGGTTGGCCAGGTTGAAGACCACGAGTTGAGTGAAGTGGTTGTCTTCGATTTGGTTGGTTCTCTGAAATGGAGACATTGTTGCGGTGAAAACGGGTGATAGCCGGGATAGTTATAACGATTTTTGATGACAAGAGAGTTATTAAAGTTAGTAGCGGGCCAGAGAAAAAAGTTATGATATTTTTTACATTTCACTTTCTTCTCTCATTTCTATGGTCTCTAGTCAGCGAAACTTGTTGAGTATCTCAAGTGAGCTCTCTAACAGCTATCGAAAGTTCAAAAAATTGTATGTACGCTCTTGTGATACTGCTACAAAACAGAACTCACCTCAAAAGGCGGTAGTAAAGTCATTAATTCCGCCATTCTTTTTGCAATATCGGCCTCACTCATACTGGGATTGACCTCGTTCAAGTGTTGGTGTAGAGTATTCCGGTAGAAGGCTTGTGCTGACCGCACCGCCTTCTTTCCCTCCGGCGTGAGTCCGGGAACCATCGTAAACAGGGATATAAGTCGAAGGAAGATCAGTTCTGATTTGGTGACACCAATCTCGACTGCTGGGTCAAAGAATGCGTCGTACATCCAGTTGCCAACGTCCACACAGAAATTTCGGATACTGGAAATGAGCTTTGATAAATAAAACAACAGTGGGGGACATGATCCAGTGGCAAAAAACGCACCATTTTGCATCCAGGAAGCATCAAAAAATGTGGAAAAATACCTCCCTCCCCAAGTGAAAAAACCCAGATTTCAAAAGCTCGCCCGCTCTCTTTGTGAGGAAAAAGGGTGCGCCCTTCAAAACGAAGTTTTTTCACTTGGAGAGGGAAGCATTTTGCCACATTTTTGATACATCCCGGATGCAAAATGGTACGTTTTTTGCCACTGGATCAGGTCCCCCACTGTATAGTTTGAAATGCGTCGCTCGCATTCCTACTTACATGTCCTCCACTTCGTCGATCATGTCATCTCCATTCGGGGTGAAATACGTTCCACCGCCGAGCAGCAATAGTCTTTTGTCAACGTAATCATAGGACCTCGCCGCGATTATATGCCAAATAATTGGAACGGACCTCCCAACAATCATTTTGATTCGGTCATCGGGCTGAAGGGCTTTGATCTCCGGCACATGCGTTACCCAATCGATAAAGTTGAGCATCACTCGACACCACATGGCTTTGAACGATTCGAGGGTTATGAACATCTTCGGTTCCCAGAGCATCTGAAATTTGAAGAAGAATGTATATACAGTCATAGCTTGATAACTGCTGCGCGTGCTATCTAATATTATACCACACATCATTCCGAACTTTTTTTGTGAGCAAAATCCGGTGTCAAAAAAGCAAATTTTTTTGTAATGATTTTTTTAACAGCTAGAGGCGCCTCAGACAAGGCGTAATAAAGTGCGGAAAAATATCAGAGCGATAAAACACATGTCGCTCTCTGACATTATGCAAATTTTAAGGATTTTAACGGCTTACAACGGCCGGGAAAAATGATTTAAAAAATGGTATTTCTTATTTTTGACGCCTCAGAACTGCACTTTACCGTACACTTTTGAAAAAACGAAAGTTCCTATTTTGTAGGAAATTTGATGCTGTATAACATAGTTGGGAATTAGGTCATTCCCTCCCATGGTTCCTTTTTTCTATGGCTAAAGCCCCCACTTTTCGGCACAAAATCGCGGTTTTTTTTGCCTAACTAGGGAAGTGTACAAACGAACCCTCACCAAATGGCAAGTGTTATACACCATTAGAAAGCCCTTGAAAAATGGTGAAAGGTACCATTTTCATTTTTTGCAGAATGCCTCAGGGCAAAAAATTATAAACGGTTGATTTTTCCCCTAAGTAGCTACAATATCTGCTGTGGGGCAAAATAAATCTTATTTCAAAACGCTAGATGGTACATATTGCTATTAGCTTGGCCTAAGAATCATTATGAAGTTTGGCGCTTGCCAGTAAAACCATTTTACATATGATATTTACTGGTTTTAAATACCCATAACGTGAAAAAACACTTTTCACTTTTTTTAATCTTGAAAAACTTGTAAGTTTGATGATTTTAACCGTAATCGACCGGTTTCTAGAAAAATTAATGCGTGTGTAAAAGTTTAACTCAAATATTTTCCTAACTGTAAGAACGCAAAATGTTTTTGCCCAAGCTGGGAATCGAACCTAGCTTGGTTTGGCTTGTCAGCCTGCTCAGCAACCACTGCACTATTGAAGCAACTCTCTTCGAGGATTTTTATCCGCTCAAGAGAAGGAAAGATTTTTGTTGCGAAATGACCTAAAAATAATATAATTTACAGTGTGTCGTCGCGGAAAGGCATTCTGCAAAAAATGAAAATGGTACCTTTCACCATTTTTCAAGTGCTTTCAAATGGTGTATATCACTTGCCATTTGGTGAGGGTTCGTTTGTACACTTCCCTAAGGTGCAAAAATCGAAAATTTTTTTGCAATATATTCTTCTTCACCCTATCAAGGAGTAGTGTACCAAAAATTTTGTTTCATGCCTTTCAGGTTGTTCTGAATTAGGAAATTTCGTATTCTCGTTGCGACAAGCAAACCGATGGACAAGATTACAATTACTGTTTGTTATCGTGCAAGCCGGATGACAACTTTTTATCAACAAGCATCAATTTAACGCCATGAGTTGAGTTGTGATCAAAACTTTCTCCATTTCACGTCTGAGAACGAAATTCCTTAATTCAGAACAACCTGAAAGGCATGAAACAAAATTTTTGGTACACTACTCCTTGATAGGGTGAAGAAGAATATGTTGCAAAAAAATTTTCGATTTTTGCACTTTAGGCAAAAAAAAACCGCGATTTTGTGCCGAAAAGTGGGGTCTTTAGCCATAGAAAAAAGGAACCATGGGAGGGAATGACATAATTCCCAACTATGTTATACAGCATCAAATTTCCTACAAAATAGGAACTTTCGTTTTTTCAAAAGTGTACGGTAAAGTGCAGTTCTGAGGCGTCAAAAATAAGAAATACCATTTTTTAAATCATTTTTCCCGGCCGTTGTAAGCCGTTAAAATCCTTAAAATTTGCATAATGTCAGAGAGCGACATGTGTTTTATCGCTCTGATATTTTTCCGCACTTTATTACGCCTTGTCTGAGGCGCCTCTAGCTGTTAAAAAAATCATTACAAAAAAATTTGCTTTTTTGACACCGGATTTTGCTCACAAAAAAAGTTCGGAATGATGTGTACCATTAAACTTACCACCGTCCGATCGCACATCTTCCCGGGTTCGTAGAGAAATGCGGCGTCGAAGCTCATCTCCAGGTCACACGCGATGGGATCGGTAAATAAAACATTTTTCGTCTCAAAATAATTATCGACCAGTCGATCCACCGTAAAATAATACTTCAACAAAGAGGCTGGCGTGTTGTTTCGAGAGAACGGTACCAAGTTCATTGCGCCTAAGGGCAAAAACGAGTTCTTTATCACCTGGAAAATGTAAATTTTATATGTGACTTCCAAAATTCTCGAAATTCTGCCGTAATTTACCGTTTTTCGAGCGGTAAGAAGGGTGTCGCAGTTCTTGAAAGCTTCCTGTATGAGGTCTTTTTCATCATTGACTGGGGATGTTGATACGCTGGGAAGATCCACTTCGTCCGTTTTCTCCTCCATTGACTCGGATTTTTCAAGTTTTACTGTCAGCGCTTTGCAAATCTTTCGTTTTGGCGCATCCACGTCGCAAGCACGATCACTGTGGACTACTGAAAAATTAATTTGATTATAAACACGCTTTTATTCGTGTCCCATTCTTGTGTTACAGCCCAAAAGATACTTACAAATCGGTTGTAGTCCTTGTTCAAGGCAGATCCGATATCGGCAGGCGCGGCAGGAGTTGCGGGCTTCTAAAAATGGATCATTACCTCCAATTTTTATTCAGTTTTGTTTGAGTTGTTATGAGTATCGATCAAAAATTGAACTCACCTCCCTTGATGTTGCATTCATTCTCGAACGCGCACACATATTGTCGGCGAAATCTGACGGAACGTCGAAAGAATCCCTTGCAACCGCTTCAAATTGGAGCGCTGAGATTAAATCAAGGCGTGAAGTGTGAACTCACCTGCAACAAGGTTTGCCGTAGTGCTTGGAGGCACTTGGATCATCGCAAACAACGCACTTCGAAGAGAAGCTGATCCTGGGTTGCATTTTCAGACCAATGACATCAACCTCGACCGTTGGGAGATGTCTGAAAAGGATGACTTTTAAATATATAGTTACAAAATATTGGGAGTACGGTGGAGATGGTGTTTTCGCGGATGTTTGGTGTCAAAAAAGCGTTAAAACTTTATAAAAAAATGAAAATTGTATTAAGAATTCGTTTAGCACAAAATAAAACGAATTAATGACTTTAGTTGAATGACGCGGAGACTGATAAAAAGTCATAATTGAAAACATTTTTTGGACAACAATTATATTAATCAATTAATTACGTATTCATCCTAAGGGCCGCGCCCATATTTGGATTGCCTTTGGATGCCCTTTTTTTACTTTTACTCTTTCAACGGACTCTCCCCCCAGGTCCCTGCGTATGTTAATCAAAATTCCACCTGTCATTTTACCGCTCCCAACGCTTTCCAAAATAACTGACCACTCTCTCGCAATCTAAACTATTTGTAGCCACGTTACATCATAGTTACGGTCCCAATGGGTTGTCAATGATCACCCAAGGTTTCCCGAGCAAAGTCAAAAAGCGGAAACCCAATCACGACGGCGGAATACGATAGGATTTTGATGGATGCTGGCTAGAATTGCAATCCATCTTATGAGTCATCCAAACAACTTTGAAAAAGAAGGTGATTCCTGCGGTAAAAACGATTCCATGACGTCGGCGAATTGCCGGAGGAACTCCCGATCTTTTGCAGTGCGAAAGGTCAGAAAAAGCGATGATCAAAGAAGAGAGGGTACTGTAATGTCTGGGGAAGTCCTGGGAGAAGGGGAGAAGAAATACGTTTAAAATACAGTAAGAAAAAGAAACAATATTGCTGGAAATGAAGCGATAATTAATGTTTAAATTGAAGTTCTTTGTGCAAGCATCGTTTGCTGACAAAGTAAACGTTCTTTGCAGTAAGGCAAAAAAAATGATTTTCAAGGAAACGGAAAACGCTTTGGGTAGGTTACCGCACAGTATGAACACACATAAAACAAAAAATTTAACATTTTTTTGAAAAAAAGTCTCCATTAGACCAATTTTATTATAACAACGAACTACTTTAACTACAGTGGATCCTCTCTACAACAATGAACCACAAAATTTGCCTGTTATAAAAAAAGTTTCGTTGTATGGAGTGGTCACTCTACGGACCTAAAAATTAGTTCATAATAGACAGGTTTCGTTGCACAGGAGCTTCGCTGCATTAATGTATTTTGCGCAACGATTTCACAGTAATATTTGGAAGTCTATTCAGCGATCAGTTTTTGCATTCATCATGGCTTCAGTAATGGAAACGTTCAAAGGTTAAGCAGGAGTGTCGTTGACACGTTACAATAAATGGGAAGTATCCTTACGATTGGACAACTGTGCTCCCCAAGGAAAATTTAAACGGAGTTTGACAAAAAAAATTTTGTGCTTTCAACGCGCAAAATTTTGAAAAAATTTCAGTGCCCCGCCTGGAAGACTTTTCGTGTTAAAAAAAGTTTCAAATTCTAAGACTCGCATCTCGAGCATCTGCCTAGTAATTTTTTGTGGCAACAACAAATCGGCTTTAACTACGATTACGGCAGCCCTAACTTTATGATACAAAAATTAAACAACAAGTTTTCGAAGCCCCTTGGAACGATCTGGGTCTTGTCTCTTCTCCCAATTTATAGCTTTATTTGCTTTCTTCATTTCAACGTCATCATGATTCGAATACAAAATTTGAACAATCGCCGCAAGGCAATCAAATCTGAGGGCGTTGAAAAATTCCGTCAAAGCATTGGAAGGTTGATTCTTTAATGTTTGCTCGTGTTCCGTGGCTATTAACGAAATTTGTCAAAAGTTTCCGGGCGTCGAAAAAAGGGGATGATCCGTTTGCTATGATGCAATTTGGAAGGTTGAATTATTTCGGTTACACGAACAACAACACATTTTTTAAAATTCCTCAAAATACGCCAGGTTTATTCGAAAAGGAGCGGTCTCGAGATAATCTCCGTAAAACATCTACCAATTCTTCGGAGCACACAAAAATTTCAGGGTTAAAAGAAGGGATTCCCTTATCGCTTTTAAACGAAAATTTGTTGAACGATCATGCTTTAGATTGTCAGTTAAATCGGAAGCTTTAAAAAGCAGTATTATTGTAAAACTTAAGTCTTGCCGTTAGAAACAGGCATGCCGTTTTTTGACAAAGTTCTCCAAGAAATATGCGAGATTTTCAGCACGCGCTTTTCTGAAGAAAATTTGATGCTATCTTGCTAGTTTATGCATAAAAAGTCAATCGAAAAAGATGACCTTTCCACAAAAACAGATCGAGCACGTCGATGTCTCACGTTCCTCCAAAATTCAAACAAAACAACCCGCAATTGCAAAATATTTGTCAGCCCCGAATTTCTCGCATGAAACTGTTCCCAATATTTTTTTGTCTCTCACAAAAACAGGGGAGAAAAATATGTTTTCGACGGCGCCCATTCAGAGAACGATTAAATAGTATTTATTAATTATTAAAACTACAAATCCTTATCTAGCATAGCCGCATTTGTAGAAACGTCACTAAAAATGGAAGATGACTTTTTTTATGTAAAAATTATTTATGAAATTGAAAAAACGATTCTGGGATTTCAGCAAAAATTGAAGAAGAAGTCGAACGGATTTTTTTTTTGAAAAGGTTGAGACTATTTTTGGGGTCGATTCGAGGCGAAATTCTGCGAACAAAGTGTGGGAAAAGTATTGGGAAATCGAAAGTTGTAAAGCAATCATTGGAAACCTTTACTGTACATTGTGGGATGACAATAACTTTGAAACAATTAATAAAAAACAAGTCCAGCATGACCTAAGATTTGCAATTTTTTTCGTGGACTTTATGAATCAGTGCTCTAATCAATCACTAAAAATTTTTAACTCAGGCCAGCCGAGATATATAAAACTATATTTTAGTTTCAAAACGATCGATCTTTTTTGCGAGAGAGTATGGAAGATGGTGAGAGACGGTCAGACAAAAAAAACATTTTTCTTTACACCTTGGCCAATTTCTGTGCCAAGTTTCATTGAAATCTATGTTTCGCAGTTCTAGTAATTCCTCTGTTAACTATAATAAATTTCCATATTCATCGTATAAGATGTCCCTCAGGTCCTCAAATTTATAAAAACAACCGATGAAAACATATTCGAAGTATTATAAACCCAATATCAGACTGTCGGGAAAATAATGGGCGCTACGTTGCATTAAAAATCGCATCCTCACCGAGAAAATTAATGGTGACTTGGAAAAACAAAAAATGTTTTTACTTCAGCGACATTGCGCTCATTATTTTCCCGACAAACTGCTATCAATAGGAGCGGGTCGGCTCAATAAAATTTAATATCAAAACACTCGAACAAATAAACCCCGACCGGCAGAGCAGCAGCAGAAGGAGAGGGGCTCCCCCCGCTTCCAGCTTATGAAAAAGCGAGAAAACAGTCTCAAACTTTCCGTTTTCTCAACCAAACCCTTTGCGCTTTTCCAAAAAAAGTGCAAACCAAAAAAATGCAGTCATGTGACGACACTGTAAACGGGAAAAAAATTTATATGAAGTGAAGGTAAAAGGGCAGAGAGGGTTCCCCGTCCTTCCACAACGGAAAATTCGAGCTCCGTTGCGGGTCGCAAACAATTCGAAAACGTGGAAAGAAACGGTTTTGGGTCGAGAAAAAACTAAAGAGAGGCGAAAATGGAGCTTATCTTCGGGTTAATGACCAAGTGTTTGACGATCAGGTAAATAGAGTTCGCCCTCGAAATATGATGATCTCAGTAGAAATACATGTCTATTCAGACCAGTAGAAACAAAAAAAAGCCATAAAAAAGCCTCCTTGTATTTTGCGGAGTCAAACTACAGGGACTACAGTATGCTACCGTAGCCTCCAGCCACATGTTTTTATCATATAAAATTAGACTTTAGACTCTGAACTGATACCCCAAACATAAATGGGTGGGTTTCCCAGAACTGTTGTAAACCCAATCGCATGCGGTTGAAAGTGATCTCGGCTACGCAACGGGGTCAGAAACCACCGTGCAATGTGTCAACAACACCCACACTCTTTTATTTGGATGAGTTTGGAAAACACCGTTTTTGCTAAAGAGGGAAGTCCTTCAAGTGCACCGCTCACAAGGGAAGTCACATTTCTCGCAGACGGACTTTGGAACGAGACCTAGAAGGGTTCAAACATGGGGTTTCTGCGGTCGTGAAACTGAATTTCATATCTCTTTACGGAGCTCCTTGGTCGAGAAAATCGACCGAAAAGTTCGACCGAAATGAGCAGATAGCCTCTTCAAAAGAAACAGCTTTTTTTAAAGTTGTATCCTAGAGGTCAATGTGCTCGTTTTTGCACCATAAAACATGCATCACGCATCTAACTTGCTCTGATTATTGTCATACTAGACTCAACATGAAAGCCCAACCGGACCGCAATCGAATACGACATCTATTGGGCACACTGTACCATAACGAAAACATGTAACGCCCAACAAAACATTGCGTGTTAGCATTCTCTTTGCAATATTTTGAATACAAATAAACAGAATTAAACTACATTTTCATTAAGTCTAAGTTTCATAGCATGCAATTTGAATTGAAAATGTGACCTGTTTTCGAAAAAAACGTGTTTTCCAAACTGTCTGTAGACATCAAAAGAAAAGCTTCCGTGTTTGGCGTAGGACACACGGCAAAAGGAAACAAAAAAATGTCAAATGAAACAGTTGTAAACCTACAGCCAATCTCTACAAATGTCCCAAGATTTCATCACTCCGAAAGCCGTACAGACTCCATAGCAACGCGCAAGAAACAATCTCCAACGTGCGTTTCGGCACGTTCGGGAAAAGTGATGATGAACGTCAAACAAAGAGGCAACAAATCCGGTGTATCATTGCAGAATAATGGAAAGGTCTAGACGTTAAAAAAACAAATAAAGAAATTGCAATTTGCTTGAAAGGTACGGGAAGTACTCCAAGTGCGACGCTCAGATTTCCTTTAAATTTTGCACACACGTCGGGTATGGACTAAAGATCATTTTCTGCAGGTTTTAGCCCGCGCTTTGCGGGCGCCGCCGAGATATCGAACGATTTTTGCCGCCGACAGCGCACGCTAATCATGGAGAGCGGTCAGAGAAAAAACACCTTTTTGGCCATAACTTTGGCAGTTTCGTGCGGAAAATTTTGATTTTTTGTAGAAACATTATCCTTTACGGTAGAAATAGGCATGAAACTTTTCATGCCGAAATTCGGCAAAAAGTCTTAAATTTTCGCCGACTTTCGATCTAAAAATCTCGGTTGTTTCTGCAAAGCGCGAGCTAGGATTCTCGCATATATCTTACGAGGGAATGGTCTGAACTTCCCCCAGCGTTTGGGAAAATGACTAGTACAGGTGGATAGAGCAGGTCAACTTTGGTAAAAAGAGCCATTTTCCAGCTGCGAAATAAGCCTAGCCGATGAGAAAAATCGACCGAAAGTTCCACAAAAATTTCTCTTTCTCTTCCCTCCGAAAAGAAGAGCGGTGTCCAGTGGTTCGGTTAGCCGAGTGGATAAAGCATCCGCTCGATATTCTTTTGGGGGTTGGTTCGATTCCGGGGTCTCCCGAAGGACCCGTGATCACGCGTGATAAGGCTTTGATGGGCAAGATGAAGCTCCAAAAAATATTTTGCCATTTTTATACGTTTTATAGGTATCAGCCTGTCGGGAAAATAATGGTGGATCGTCGCATCAAAGTGTCTCGCCTCACCGCTCTCGCGCACCAAATCTCCAGCTGGCCGCCGTCGCAATGCGATGATGGGCGAATCGGAGGCGCGACGATCCGCCGTTATTTTCCCGACAGGCTGACATATAAAAATTTTTAAACAATAACAAAGTGGGGTACAGACCGTATCAAAAAGATAGGATTTTTTGATAACCTTTTCTCTCACCAAACGAGTATAACTTCGACGTTTTATCGCTTTGAAGGTTCGGAAGCACCCAAAAAATGCATTTTTTTGACGATTATTGTTTTGGTATAAAAACGTATAAAAATGGCAAAATATTTTTTTTTTTTGGAGTTTCATCTTGCCCATCAAAGCCTTATCACGGGTCCTTCGGGAGACCCCGGAATCGAACCAACCCCCAAAAGAATATCGAGCGGATGCTTTATCCACTCGGCTAACCGAACCACTGGACACCGCTCTTCTTTTCGGAGGGAAGAGAAAGAGAAATTTTTGTGGAACTTTCGGTCGATTTTTCTCGTCGGCTAGGCTTATTTCGCAGCTGGAAAATGGCTCTTTTTACCAAAGTTGACCTGCTCTATCCACCTGTACTAGTCATTTTCCCAAACGCTGGGGGAAGTTCGGACCATTCCCTCGTTAGAAAAAATTATTCTAAATTTTTGCCAAGTTTCATCAAAATCTGAGCGTCGCACTTGGAGTACTTCCCCTGTGAGCAAAATTCAGAGACAATGTGTTTTTCGGGCATCGAGCAACCATGTCAGAGCTTTCCTAAATTTTTTTTCAAGCTTCTTTAAACATAAGCATACAGTGCATTCCGTATTTTACGATGCCATCTACTGGAGCCTCTGTACAAACACCTGCGTACAACAAAACGTATCTATAACGAGCCATGTCAGAGGCCCAGGGGGATGTTTCACGTACAAAAGGGGAACTAACTGGAGTTACCGGCATCACGCGAAAGCGGAGAGAGCGTGAGAAAAAGAGAGAAGGGCTAATTTTAGATCAAAAACCCCTAGGAAATAAAGTAACTTGTAATAATATGCAATTACTTATCAAAAAAAAATTCTAAATTTAGAGCAGGAACATAACCGAGAATTCCCCGTTAATTCCAATATTGAGATTTCTTACGGATTATATTTACGTGCTCTTTCAAAATTTTGTACTTTGACCGTACTTAACGCAAAGAATTTTCGTTAATCGTAGGCCAATTAATTTTTTGAACTTGTGAAATAATTTTTCGTCCGTCTAAATACGTTTCTCTTTGGGAATTTGGGATAATCCGCGGAATGGTATTATCAAAATTGAACCTTGGAACTTTAGGGTACGTGCCAAAAAATAAGAGAAAAAAATTTGTTTTCAAGAATGTAAAAAACGGAGTAGTAGATCGCAAAGAGAGGAAATTATGCGTTTTAAAAAACTTGCACTTTTATTTAACTCATTTACAGTTAAAAAAAACCAAGAACACCTTGCACTCCAAGGGTAAGATCAAGGCCGTTTGATGACGTGATGAAAGCAGAAAGGTTCAACGTAAATTTTTTTTTGACAAGGCCGAGAACAACCAGTCGTAACCTCAGTCAAAAGGGTGTTAAAATCCGTATGAAAAAGAGATCTAACAGGGGAGGTGATCGAAGTGCGAATCTCAAATTTTAATTAAGCCTTGATCTCCAAAATTCTGTGGCTCTCCCTCCCCTCTTATGCAACGTGGTTGAACCCCTTTCGCTCCATGATTTACATCATAACTTTATTAAACAAAAAATCAAAGTCACATGACTAACATAACAATTTTATTAAGTGTTGATTAAAGCACTGGCAAGAAAGATATGACAGGAATATTAAGTGATATGCTGAGAAGGGCTTGATTTTGCAGGGCATCAGAATTTTTGATTTCAAGCTAAAGGCGGTCAAAATCTCCAAAAAATCATACAAATTTCGAACTCGATCATTAATTTTAGTGTTTAAAACGGTGGTTTTCATGAACCCTAGTGTCAAATTTAAATTTTAGGAAAAAATGTCAAAAAGTATCAAAAAGTATCATGGATACCTTTTGACATATTGCAATTATTTTTTTCAAAATTGCTAAAATTTCTTGAAGTTCTTGATGCTTGATGACAAAAAATGCTTTTTAAATCTTCAAATTATCATATTCTTTCCTTTCTAAGCCTGCGATTGTGAATCCGGGACATTGCTTCTGGTCAAAGTCTTCTCATCATCCTGCCGAGGTCCCCTATTATTGGCCAAGTACTGTTGGAAGTCGTCTAACAACTTCTGATTCTCAGCAAACGCCTTCAAAACGTTGGCTGGCGGACTCGTGGCGCCATCGGCCGGCTGAGTGGATGGCTGCACCGAAGGCGGGCCGGAATTGCGGCTCACCGGCATTGGTGGGGGATAAATGCGATTGTCAGTGTAGTGGAGGCCCGGTTCGAGCTTAGCGCGGTTAAAGTCCAAAGCCAGAGGGGTCTCCGCGTAATAGTCGTCGTTTGGCCGTGGCTTCCGACGTTGTCGTACGTAGTTGGCACGATTCTCGTATTCGGATTGGTCTTCCATGGCTGAAATTTGAAGTTTAGACAAGTTGGCAGCAATTGCTGTAACGTAAGCACAGTGGATCGTCAAGAAATTGCAATTGAACAAAATTGTTTTCGTTACAAAAACGTTTTGTTGATAAGGTGTTTATTTTGGTCTATATGGGACCCTTGAGACGACTGAAGATGCGTGTCAAAAGCAGGTTTTGTTCTACGGAGTTGTTTATATCGAAGTTAATATTTGAACTTTACTGTGAACAATAAGTTTCTGGTTTCCATTTGAAAGAAGTTCCAGTAAAATATCTCAAAACCCAAACCCTACCCAGACTCATAAAGCTTGGCGGCGGTGGATCGAAGTTGCTTCTGATCTTCTCCTCAATCCCCAAATAACTCTTATAAACATCGACCAACAATTCCGTGCCGAAGATGACTCCGGCTTGGAAGACCAACGTTCTGATGACGAACACTCCATCCAGCCTCAGGTAGTCCCTGACGAATCGATGAACCAGCCTCGAATGTTCGTAGGTATCGCTGGGCAACTCGCTCATTTCCAGGTGCTTGAAGATGAATTGGCGATTCACACAGGGCATGACGAAAGTCCACAGCCAGAACATGAAGGATGCAAAGGTAAAAAGGAACAGGAAGAGGTACCAGAACCAAAGGAAGACAAAAACTTTTTCGTTGAGCAAGTTGATGAGGAGAACGCATTGAACGGTGTGCTCTTGGATGTTACCCATTACACGGACCTGAAATTAGAAGCGGTTCTACGGTGTATTGTTGGCTTGAGAGGGTAAAGTTTAACCTTAAAGATGATTTAGGGATCTATAAAGGAACTGGGCGTGCATAAAAATAGTATTTGACTAAAAATGAGGTCAAAATTTCGCTCTGTAAGCAAAAAAGTCAAAATAACTCAAAAAGTATCATGGATACTTTTTGATACTTTTTGATCATTTCTTCCAGAATTGTCAGAAAACCCCCGCATATTGCTTGCAACGGCTCAAAATTGGTTTTTTTAACTTACTTGACGCCCAAATTTACAAAAAAAACCCTTAAAAAGCCTTCATTCAGAAAAAGCTTTTGTAAAATACGCCACTGGTGCCTTATCCTTTTTACCTTGAAGTCACAAAGAGTTGATCTCGGGAAAAGCCCACTCTTATCCCAATTCCGGCCATTCAACACATCCATGACGGCATCGATCCCATAAAATTGATATCTGTTCGTCTCGAGGAACCTAAACTAATGTCATCATTAGCCAAGGAATAAAAACATCAAATAATCCCAAAAACCGCTTACATATTCATAGCATACAGCTGAATAAAAACATTGGCCAAGTCGAGGAATCTTGTGAGCAAAAACATCAGAGTGACGTAACAAGTTGAATAGGGTAAATTGAATAGGCAGAAGACCCGATGCGGTTGAATGTGGCGTTTGAGTAGGCGACGGTGGAAGTGCAAAGCGCCTTGAAGATGAGTGGATAACGCCTTGATATTGTTGGCTTTGATCTCGGGCTTCACATTATTGTCGTCCAAAGCCATGTTCAGAATCTCATTGACTTTTAGGCCTGGAAAATAGGTAAATTACGCTATGTGAAGTGTCAAGGTACAAATAAAATGACAATTTTTTAATTCAGCCCAAAAAAAGCAAAAAAGTATCAAAACGTATCATGGATACTTTTTGATACTTTTTGACGCTTTCCTAAAAAATTGTTGAAAAAGAGTCTATATACGGCTTGCAACCACTCAAAAATTTTTTTACATGCCTTTCATTTGGATCTACAGCAAAAAATCAAAAAATCCAGGTTTGTCTACCTACCCGACTGATCCGACACATATTTCCAGATCATTGAAGGGATCCTGAAACAAGCAGCTTGGAGGATCAAGAAGAATGGGACCCATTGATAATAACTGATCTGCCTTTCTTCTCTGTCCATTCTTGGCATGGCATCGACGATCTCGTCAATGGGGACATGATAAGTATCTTGAGCGAAGCAGAACATCTCCGTGTACTCTTCCCAGGGCTCGGTGAAGACGTCCGGTGTGAGACATTCGATTGGACTGCCGCCAAATTGCTGAAAAAGACATGGCAAAGCTAATAGAAATAGCTACCTTTTTGTGCGAAAAAAATAAGCAAAAATCTTGGTTGTTTCTGCAAAACGCGACCTAGGAATTTTTCGTATATTTTATATAAACAAAGTTGCAATTTGGACAAAAACCTCTCCTCACCTTGAACGAAATCAACACCGCGAACGCGATCAAAATGTTGACGGTGACGACGCTGTGCATTCGCTCCACAAAGTCGCGCTCATTCTGGCCCGCGACATAGCGCAGCATCGACACGAACGAGGAGATGGACATGGTGGCCGGGGATTTCTGTCAATTTTCAACAAAAATTTGATCGATATCCGCTCACTGCTCGGAGTTCTCAAGCATCTGAAACGAGCGACGGTCCATTCAAGGCTTAGTCATGCAGAATATGAGAAGAAGAGGAAACACGTGAGAATAGAGGTGTTTGTACATAATATTCGTAGGTTATGGGATGCTCGGAAATTGAAAATAACAACGAAAAGTCTTAAAAATATTTGATTAGTAAAGTATGAATAAAAGTTTTTTCTTGATTTTTTTTTGAAAGTACGATATTCGTTGCTCAGATTTTGATGAAAATGATGACAAATTTAAATTATCTTTTTCTGAGACCTCTGCAAAGAGCGAGCTGTATTTTTTTGTAAAAAAGGAATCCTGGCCAAAAATGGACTCATCTCCATAAAGATCTCCCTTCCCACCATCCCCCCGAATATTGTAATAACCACTGATCAAGAGCCCTATCAGCCCTCTGATATGGCTCTTATAAACACACAGCCACATCCGAAGCGACGAAAAATCGCCCTCAATAAACAAATCAAATAGGACCAAAAATGGCCAAAAAAGTGCGGAATCAATGTTCTGGAAGCTCGGAGTGATAAAGCCGGGATTTGTTTAATTTTTGCTATAAACTGTAGCAAAAAACGCACGTTGAGTTGCAATTTTTGTACGAAAGATAAACAGAAACTATTAGAAATTATGGTTTATGACGGAATTCAGAGGCTAACGGAAGTTTGAGATCGAATTTGCAAACTTTCAAGTTTTCGTGGTGGGACCCAAAAGATCAAAAAATTTCTGAATAGAGGTGACACCATAAATTCACAGGTTTGAAGAACTCATTTTACAAGTTTGGATCGAATTTTGCGACCTTTCAAGTTTTCGTGGCGAGATCCAAAATTTTTATACAGAATTTTTAAATTTACCAAAAATACCGCCATAAGAATATGAAAAAGTTACATCACCGATTAAAAAGTTGTCTGAAAAGCTTTCAATAATATCTTGCTTGACCTAAACCAACAGTGACCCCTAAAGCGACCGCCATAAATCCGAAAAACATCCATTGAATTTGACAATCAATAAAATTCTAGGCTAGCCGGCTCCATTTCAGGTCGTTGTTATTGTATTCAGCCGGACATAAATTCAAAAGAAAGGAAACATTTTTTATGACCCATTTACAGCAGGAGGCCTACCTGGCCTTTGATTAGCCTCACCAGGGATCTGTTTATTATGTGGAGTAGGTTTGAAAGTAGTTTCGAATAAATTGATGACTAAAAATTAGATTTTTGAAGCTCATTTATATAGAACTTAGTTTGATCATTCGATTTTTAAAATGCATTTATGATTGGGTTGTTATTGCATTGTCTGTTGATGCATCATGCTCTCGGTGAGTCTTTGAATGTATTTTTTAAAGATTCCATTTAAAAATTAGCTCGATCCGCTTGAAAAAAACTAACAGACGTGTCTTGGGTCAGCCAGATTTTACTCAAATTTCACGCTGGCCCTATGCCACATATCAACCTTCTTCTACACTTTTTTGCAATAGTTTCAAGAGCCAAGGACATTTTATTTATTTTCAAAATAAAATTTACCAATGTAACACTTCCCACCATCCTATTCCGCCAACGGTTAAACGTTCGGCAATCTCGTTAACATCTTTTTTCAACAAATAACTTTTTTTTACCACAAAAGTCGGAGGGAATTCGCCCAACTCATGTTTTATGATTACCATTCGGGCCTCCGCAATTGTTATTTTGGGAGCTGTTGAAAAGTGAGCAAAAAGTTCAATCAATGAAAACCTGGAATTCGGCAAACGGAAGGGATTCTCGAAGGAATCAATGGTTCAGATCAAATTGGTTCAACAAGTGACGTTGCATCGACGGTACGGTACGGGCTATATAAGGACGTTGATGGGGGCGCTGAGAATGTGAGTTTGTGTCTATTTGTAAGGTGGAAAGTCAAGATTGGAGACTGAAATTGGTGTTTTATGGGAGTTCTACCCTCAAAGGGGTATTGCAACTGAACTTTGAATGAGTCTCAACGTCTGAATTTGGAAACTAACTTGGATATTTTTTGGTAAGTGAAGCTGGACGACAATTTCGGATTTACACCTTATACTTTCTAAAATTTTTGAAAAGAGTTAATGGGGCCGTTTGACAAGGCTTTGCCAGCATAGCGGGCTGTACAGGGTCTTACAAAAAACGTGAAGGAAAGTGGAAGGCTATAACTTCCGGCGGAGGCGGCGCAGAGACTTCGTATTTGAAATATGTATTTTTAACAGACATAAGTTTTTGTCTATCAAATAACAAGCTTTTAAAGTGCAAACTGAGGTCGCTACGACCTTCTGAAATAGAGGCATCTCTACCCCGAAAACCAGGTTTTTTCGGTTGAAAATGATCGAGAAATTTCGAACTTTTTCGGTTGAAAATCACCAGGAAATGTCGGATTTTTTGGGGATTTCTTGATATAGTCTTTAAGAAAACGTCGAAAAATTTGCAAGTGTTGGCACTTTCCTCCTCTTTTTCAACATCACCCATATCGAAACCCCCCAAAAAATCCGACATTTCCTGGTGATTTTCAACCGAAAAAACCTGGTTTTCGGGGTAGAGATGCCTCTACTTCAGAAGGTCGTAGCGACCTCAGTTTGCACTTTAAAAGCTTGTTATTTGATAGACAAAAACTTATGTCTGTTAAAAATACATATTTCAAATACGAAGTCTCTGCGCTAGGTACTGGCACAAGGACGGGCGAGAAAAACAGCCTAGATCTTTTTTTTAATGCAAGTAGTTCCTAGTTTGGGCGGATGGTTGCTCGGTCCGGCCCGGTACGATTGATTCAGTAGTAGCCATTTATAAACAAGTATAGGAGGAGCTGAAAAATGGCCGTTTACTGCAGTTGAGTTGACATAGACATGTCATGGGACCGCATGCAAAAGCAGCGTAGGGAAAACCAATAATGGGTCAAGGCAATGAGGACGCCACCATGATCCTGTCTAGAAACCTGGCAAAATAATTGTCCCCGAGTACTACTCTCATAAATTTCTTGACTGAAGGTGGCAATGAAATCGTTTTTACTACTTTTGAAACCCAGCTAAGAATTGAAACAGCAGTGCAGATTTGCCATGCAGATTACTTCCATAACCATATTTAAACTTCCAATGGCTTCATCTTCTTGCTTTAGATACATCCGGCAACAGTGACATATCACAAGATCTTCCTGGTACGTATTTTAAAGCTCGAAACTCTACATAACTGCCATGGCATCATCAACAACCGTAAACATGTTGCTCTTTTCAATTCTTTTCCTTGCCTTCATCACCACCACTGAAGCCCATTGGGGCTATGGAATGGGCTATGGCGGCTGTGGATGTGGAGGAGGTTATGGCTACTTTTATCCACCGCCTCCGCCTCCTCCGCCGCCACCGCCGCCGCCACCACCACCACCATGCATGTGCGGGTGCTGCGGCGGGTTCTGGGGATGACGCCGCCGAAGATTTGTTTTGTAAGTATCTTCAGAGTCTTGCCTTCAATACTTTCATTGTTCTTGACATAGATATAGATATTTTTTTTAATAAACTGCATCAGTTCGTAAATTAGTATTGATGGTAGATACTGAAAGATAATCCGGTGTATCAGTTCTTTTGAAAGTGGCAAAATTTTGCAAAATTCGGACCGAAACTTGCGCCTTGAAACTTTTAGTTAGCCATAGGTGAGGTTATTGACCAGCACCTTTTGAACAAACATTTCAGAAAAAATTTTGATTACCAAATGTCATTGCAAGACATGTGCGAGACTGCTAACTAGAGGTGGTCAACGAGCCGGGCCTGACAGATTTCAAAAGACCCTTGGCCCGGGCCGTCCCTGCCGGATTGCCACCTCTATAGGTATACGATAGAGGGCCCTTACTGGCTCGTTAACAATGCGTATATAAAATTAGGGCCATTTGTGCCCTGCGCCTGGTACCTTCCCATGTAATTTTCTACAAACTTCTACCTAGCTTTTGTTTTTCAATATGGGTATTTCAACCGATCTCTGATACGTTTTCTATGTTATATTTACATTCGAAATCATTCCATTTATGATCAAGCCTCCAAATTTTTGCGCAATTCTCGATCTGAAATCGGCCCCAGTTTCCTAAGACTATGAAATACATGTGTAATATACCCTTCCTTATGATGGATGTCTTGGTGTTTTTCAATTTCCAATTACCCCACAAGGTCAATTTCAGGTCCTCATTGTAAACAATGGTTTCTTGGAAAAAAGGTTTTCTGACCGACATCTTTATAGGTTTACAGCGTCGAGTCAGCAGTTCCTTTTTCGAGAGAGGAACTTGCAAACAACGTGTATTTTTGGGGCGTTGAAAGGGGTAGTTTAATACGGTCGAAGTTAGATTGTCAAACAATCGCTCTTCCAAGGTCGTTTTACCGTCCTCCAGATGGAAGTGAGCAATGTAAAAGGTACCTTGGCATGCTTAAAATATGCTTTTTTCGATTAAAAAAATTAAACATACCATAGGACATGCCATGGTAAAAGTATTTCAAACAATATCCAAGAGTAACAAGTTACGAAATCTGGTCAATAATTTGTTTATTGCATTGATAATGGCTGATCATTCGGCTATTTTAAATACAATATTCGATCAGACGTCCAGTATAATAAAAAATTGATTGATTTGGTTGAAGAAGATCGAGGTTATGCTTGCAATTTACATCCCGCTTATCCCCACATGCCGTAGCCGCCACGGCCATAGCCTCCATAGCCTCCGTAGCCACCATACATTCCACGACCGTAGCCGCCATACATTCCACGGCCGTACCCACCATAGCCGCCATAGCCGCCTCGGTATCCCATTCCGTAGCCGCCCATGCCACCGTAGCCACCATAGCCCCATTGGGCTTGTGCGAACTGGAAGGCGACAGCGAGAAGGAGGACAACAAATAGAAGCGAGTTCATGGTTGGTCTCTGAAATGGATGGAATTAGCAATTCTATTGGGGATGATATATTAGATAGATCGCGAAAAATATGAGTGAAAATTGTGGTTGAAACAATCGTAAATCTATGAAATTTCAGTATGAAGTTGAAGACATCACATCTTCTTACTATGCAAAGAAAAGGCCCGAAGTTTAAAGAAGAAGTCGCCAAAAATTAATATTTCGAAAAGCATCCTCAATAATAGACTATAGACTTTATTTCTCCAAAAGCCCTTACCGAGATCCCTCTACAGATCTCTGAAATAACTTCAACGTTAAGACCATACCTTAATCTCTCCCAATACCCCACATACGACCCGCTTTGCCCAACAAACCCAAACTTATGGGTCGATGAATGCTTCAGATGGTCGATGGTTATATACAGGCGGACGGATCGTTGTTTATCGGTGTTTACGTCATGGGTTTTTGAAATTCGGCCGATCTGATTGTTGAGGCATGCCTTGTTCGGCAAAGGCTCGATTCTTTTCCTTGTCTTAACTGCTTTTCAACTAGCCAATGTTGTCTTGAAAGGCCTATTTCAAATTTCTCTAGCTTCCTTCTAGTCGATTTGTTGTAGTGTGCAGCATTTTTTTACGTCTCGTTGTTCTACGGGCCTCACGTTAACTATATTTTCGCTTGTTTCTCTAACCCTTTTCTCGTTCTTACTCCCACATAAAAAAGTTTTTGGGTTGATCAAGGATTCATCAAGAACACGCCCCCACTCGAGGTTTGTTTTTGTAAAATTCGCTGAAGAAGGTTCTTACGTTGTAAAAACAAGTAGGTTTGACTCACTTACGATTGAGAAAAAATAGGAAATCATTCGTCTGGTGACCTTTTTTCGGCCGATCTCAGATTTCTTCGTATTGTTACTTCTATGAAGTCGATTATTAACTGGTTCTTTGGCATAGAGTAACAACAGACTACAAAAATTATAAATTAGCCAATTATAACTTTATTAAATGGCGAAAAATTGGTTATTATGATATAATACAATGTAAGATCAGATGTGAAGTGTAATATAAAATTTGGTTGATTTGGTCGAAGAACACCAGAATTACGGTCAAATTTGATCAAATTACTTGTTTATCCCCACATTCCGTACATGCCAGGGTATCCTCCATACATTCCGCGGCCCCATCCGCCATACATTCCGCGGCCCCATCCACCGTACATTCCCCATGGCCGATAACCATAGCCAAATTGAGCTTGAGCGAATTGCAGGGTAATGGCGAGGAGGAGGATGACAAACAACAGCGATTTCATTTTTGGATTCTGAAATGCATGGGTTATAGTATTAATAATGATATTGAAGATGGTATATCAGATTATCAGATATGAGGCGGAAAAGCGAAAAAATATTGAATTTTAGGTATTTATAGGGCTGCATGACAATACTAGATTTCATGAAAATTCGAAGTTTTCAATAAAACATGTCCTAGGTTTGCGGTTAAAGAAGCTTAACCGGTAGTGTTGGCAAAAATTATCCAAAAAAGATAAAAAATGTCTTTATGAGGACAAACATTATTTCCGAATCGCCTTGAGGTGCAGCTGCCACTCGGCGGAATGGTAGCTGTACCTCACACTCGGTAGTGTGTCGCCAAACGTTTATAGAGGCCAAGGCGAGGCATCACTGCAGCTTTTTGGCAGCCATCTTCAAGGATTTCCTGGCTTTCAGCTGAAGGAGATTGGGGAAAAAAACTACTAGTTTTTTCAGCGAGGCCATAGACGTTTTGTTGGCTGATTGCCATAGGGACAAAAGGAGTGAAAAACGATCGTCAGATTACGCTCCAATGATCCACAAGGCCAGTTTACGTTTAACTGGGCTCACGTTACAGTAAGTAAAGTTTAACACTTCTTCCGAGATGAGTTTGCCAGCACGCTGTGGGCTATTTATACCAGATTATGCACGCCGTGGTTGATGTTTACTTCTAGAGTTTTCGCAAACACGCGTTGGTGTGGTTCGCTGAAAAAACAAAAGACTTGCAGCTCCTCATGCAACGATATTCTTGCAGCTTTCTCAAAGTCACGTCGTTTATTCTATTTTGTCATTGTTTTCTTCCTCTTCAGTTGTATTTCTTCACGGAATACCGTCAGCAATAACTTGCTTTACCGGGTCATCAAAATCTTTTTCCATATCATCACAAATACTATTTCTTACGGCCTTCAAAATGTTAACGTTCTCTGCCCACTCACTCTTTCACAAAGTTTTTCCGACGTTCTCTAGCCCCACCCCACGAAATTTCTTCAATAAATTCGCTAAATTCACTCTTTTCAATAACAAAATGGACCATTCGTTCGTTAAATTTGTTTACAATACCTGACAAAATTTCCAGAAGACGTAAAGAAATTGACAGGCAAAGTGTTTGATGAGCTCGTGAGGGCCATGAAGAAACTAGAAGCTATATTTTGCGCCCGAATTAGATGAATTTTTCAATTAGAAAAATTAACTTTATTGGAAAGTTTTGGTAATAAAAATAAGGTGCTATATCGCCATAAGCTTTGATAAGACCCAACAAAGAAAGATGATGACCTCCTGTATTACTAGGGATACAAATGAAGTCTGTATCGTTCAGATTTTAATCAAACATGACCCAAATTTAAATTAATTTCTTCTAATTTCTCTCATTCTTATGTGGCTAAAATTTTGTGGGCAGGCTCTTAACCAAGTACACAAGAAGCCCTAAAAGTTTCAGCTCGTGTTTTCCAGTAGCAACCGAGATATTCAACGATCCTGTAAGAGAACACGCCAAATGAGTAGAGTTGTCCAGACGGGGAAAACTTTTTGTTGCAACGCCTTCTGATCAAAAAAAATCTAGGCGGTTTCTGGAGAGCTCGAGCTAGGAAAAAACAATTTTTAAGCGAAATAGGGATACGGCCAAAAAGCCTTTTTTCCTCGGACCGTTCTCTGTGGTTTGCCTGCTCTCTCGTCAACAAAGTTCATGGAATGGCTGCCGTCCAAAGGGCTAACACAGAATCTATCACTTATCCAAAGATCATTTTTATCATAACTCGACGTCTTTTTTTTTGAGATTATTGATACCCGTGGAGTTTCTTCAACTTTGTATGTTCAAAGTAAACAGCCCACAAATCAATGGCTGAATGGTTTAAACTAACAGTTTCATCGCCATTTTTTAGTTTCTTGTCGTTCACGTCATGCCAGGCGACATTACACCATCGTAGGCGCGAGTTCCGGGTCGGAAATCTTTTTTTATTACAATTCCCGTCAAACCCAAAGATCGCCAAGTTTCAGCTGATTGATTGTTTATTTATTTCCACCCATCAATTGAACAAATCTTATAAAAAATCATTTCGAAATTATTTATGTATTTTTACATTCATCATCAACCGATGATGACAAAGACAAGTGATCTTTGCAGCTTATCGTCCCCACATTCCTCTTCCATAACCGGCGCCATATCCGCCACCGCCATAGCCTCCGCGCCCATACCCGCCATAGTTGCCGCCATAGCCGCCGTAGTTGCCGCCATAGCCTCCGCGGCCATACATTCCACCGCCATAGCCCATGCCGAACTGGGCTGTGGAGAGTTGGACAAGAACGGCGAAGATCAGCACCACGAACAGAACAAGTTTCATACTTCTGCAAAAAATGGGTCTTATTTATTTGATTAAGGAGACTAAGGGGGTGACAAATAAATATGTATGTATGTACATACAGTCAACCCTCTGAACAGCAAATCGCAAGGTATCAAAAAGACATTTTACTGTAAGCCATTTAGCAAACCTTTGAAAGCACGGGGAAGGCGGAAAAACGCAAAAAAAGATGTGAAAATTTGGCAGGTCTAATTTTTAATAAACCAGAAGTTCTTGTATAAAAATCCAAAATTTTCACCCTAAGTATTTGTTCTTTATTCTACACTTTATTGCGAGTTTTTGCGCAAAACCTGCAGTTTTCCTGGGCCCAATGAACGTGCAAAATTTAAAGCGCATCTGAATGTACGCCTACATGAATTTTCCATCTAAATACACACGTATTCTTACGACAGTTACACAAAAAATTCATGACTTAATTCAATAGAAACTGTCAAAACTTTCATCATATCCCACAGTAATTTAAAAGTTCCAAAGACCCGAATAAGCCATCAAAGATTTCCCCATCAAAACAACAAATATTTTCATGCAGAAGCGGATGAAATTGCAATGAATCTCTCCCGAATATTTACGGTTATATACGCCTAAGTTTTTGTGTAATGATGTGAACGCATATACTTGTCAACATACCTAGGAATCTTTTTGGTTCCCTCTCTTGCCCGGAATGGTATCGTATGTCTCAACGGAGACGGTTCTTTGTCTGTTTCTCTGGCGTTTCTTTCCAACCGGTAGACTGTTTTAGTAGTTTCTAGTTATGGTCGCACTGTTCGGAATGGAGACTGGTTTAATGACCTTTTAGAGCGTCGTCGGTAATCAGTAATATCGTTGTTGAATACCCGAAAAAATTAGATTTTTTGGATGAAAAAACTTTTCTTAAGGTTTTTTGTTTTATATTTTTTAAAAATTCGAAATGTTGGTGGCTAACTTATTATGATTATTTTAAGTTACCAAAAACCCCACAAAATTGCTGTTTAATCTCTATAAAAAGTAATGCTGTATTGACAAATTTGTCGACGCCATGACGCCGTTAGCCGATGACGCCATCGCTCCCTGCCGAATTCCTTAACCTTGAAAAAAACAATTCTCTACACCATGTGATTCAATGCAAGAAAAGTTCAGAATCGACTAAAAACTGTAAAATGCGAACATGTGATGACTGGAAAAGTAATGAAGTTTTGTTTAGAAATAAGTTTCCTGTTGATGTGGTAAATATGCAATTTAACCAGGCGATTTCAAGAATGATCGCTGGTTAGCGAGAGTTGAAAGCATATTTGGAATGAAGAATGCAGATGAAATCTGTGCAAAATACGAAGATCAAGCTCAACAAGCAAGTGAATCAAAAATTTCGCAATCCGGAGAGAAGTTGAGGGGGCATTTCAAGTCATCTTGCGACGGTAAATCGTATTTGGTACTAGTCCGTTCGTAAAGTCGCTGGAATGTTTTCGGCGACATGCACTCCGCGAAACCGAAGGTTCAGTTTGCACTGTGCAATTTTTGGCTTTTTGCACAGTGCAATAGGCTTTTTCGGGCTGTCGCCCGCACCCTGAGTTTTTTTGCACAGTGCACGTCGCCGAAATCATTCCAGCGACTTTACGAACGGACTAGTATCCTTTGCTTTGGTGCGGGTTTACGGGGCTCGGAGAAATCTACGAACTCCTGAAATTCCTGGAAGAGTCAATCTTTGTGAAGAGTCCCGCAAAAAAGGGCGCTACGACTTTTCGGGTCAGCAACAGTTTGGTTCAACGATACTGTGGATTGCGTCGGTTCGTCTTTGTATGCATGGGAGAGGCGAGGAGAAGGTTTAGTTAGTAGAAAAATGAAATTGATCGGGTCATAGGGTAGCTGATGACCTACTTTGAGATTGCAAGCCTTCGCCAAATGTCCGCCGAGCCTTTACCGAGCTTTCGCCAACAATCCAAAGGCTTTGCCAGGCCTCAAAGGAACTTCCTGCAACTTTTTTAGGTACTTTCCATGGATGATTTTGTGTGGACCCGAAATGTTTCGACGCGGAAAAAAGGCCAAGAGTCCCGCTTTTTTTATTTTCACGGGAAATCGAAAAGTCCATCATGGCACGTCAACTCCATTTTAAAAAAATAGGCAAACTTCACATTGTATAACATGTCCCTCTCTCTTTAAAACCTTTTTTTTTTGATAGGGAACTCTTCGGTCTAAGTCGCGGAAAAGCGATAGAGAACGATACTTTAGACCGTTCCTTTCCTTTCTTCCTTGGGTCTCTCAACTCAAAAAAAGAAACAAATTCGTGTTCAAAAACTACTCTTTTTGGTGTATAAAACATTCTTGTGATCAACTCTCCTCCACGAAATTATTCGCCACTAAACAATGTCGCTATTTATTGCATTTCTCCTAGTTTTACTTGCCCTGTACGTATCCCATTTCTACAAACATCTAAAAAACTTGCCGCCAGGCCCGTTGCCCATCCCTATATTGGGCAATTTACTCAGTCTACGGGGAGTTTTACGCTATGAAGACAAGTTTATGGAGTGGAGAAAGAAGTACGGCGATATCTACACGATGTATATTGGCATGCAACCGCTGATTGTGATCAACTCGTTCGAAAAGGCTTACAAATACATAGTTAAAGAGGGCGACGTCTTCTCTGGAAGGTCTGTGAATGCGTTCAATTTGATTATCAGAGGGGGAGATTACGGCATCATCGATACGGAGGGGCCGTTGTGGTTGGAACATCGGCGATTCGCGTTGAAAGTCTTCAGAGAATTTGGAATGAGCAAAACGCAGATGGAGGATCGAGTAAGCGATTTTTGATGACTCTTCGGATTGGAATTTACAAAAAAATAGGATGATAAGCAAGTAAACGTGTCATTGATGACCTTTAGATCAAAACAAAATAATTCTTTTTAAAGTCTCGTTACAAGATGCACTTTTGATGTGACTTGATGTAAAATGACAAGAGAAGTATCCGAAAAGCGATACTCACATTTTGAGAAAACTTGGCAAAATGAGCGTTCCAGTACAAATGAAACTTTTGGTTCAAAATTGGCAGAAATATGAAACTTTTTGTGAATTTTTGCATAAAATTCGGCAAACCTATGCTCATCGTAGAAGGTAATATATTCACAAAAAAAATCAATTTTTACCGCGCAAAACTGACAAAGAAATGGCCAAAAAGTGCTTTTTCTCTGACCGCTCTCCGCGCCTTGCATACTCTCTTGGCCGCAAAGACCGTTGAGTACCTCATGCTGACTCTGTAAGGCGCGAGATAAAACTTTTATATGTGTCATAGGTCTAGTGAATGATACAAAATATAAAGAAAATCTGTGCATCGCACTTTTCAAACCTCTCGTTTCAATTCCCAACATTGGACCATTACAGGTCCTCGCTGAAGTTGAATACATTTTCGATCGGATCGACCAAGATATTCAACTCAAACCCGACGATATTAACGTGGAACACTACACGGACATTGCTGTTGGCTCGGTTATTAACGCTGTGGTTTGTGGCTACCGCTACACCGATGGGAAAGAGCATGAATTCTACCGGCTCAAAGAGATTCTCGGCTCGTCCAACGAGTCTTTGGCCAACATATTTGGGCTCTTCGTGATGTTCAACGCTCAAATTTTTAAGATCCCTGGTTTCAAATTTATTGAGAAGTACATCGAGAATTCCTTCGGCACAGTAATGAAACATCTTCATAATGAAATTAAGCGTCATCTGGATGAGAATGATTACAATAATGAGTCAATGGAAGCGAAGGATTATATTGATGCGTATTTGCTGGAGAAGTTCAGATTGGAGAGAAACGGAGAGACGGACCATACTTTTACTGATCAGCAGCTGGTTAATGTCTGTTTGGATCTGTGGATAGCTGGACAGGTAAGAAGTGTCATAAAAAAGAATCCAATTTAACGATTGCCTGCGTTGAAATCCAACAGGATTATTTTCTAACGCCAGAATTTTGATTTGAAGAAGATCTTGTCTTAATTTTAATATAACATTAGCTCAAAATGTCAAATATACACAATCATTTCCTATCATTATCTTTTAGGAAACCACCAGTGTCACCCTCGCCTGGGCCATCTCCCACCTTGTCGCACATCCAGAAGTTCAGAAGCGCGCTCACGAAGAACTCGACAGAGTAATCGGTCCGAATCGACTGATTACCATGGCCGACAGAAAAGATCTCCATTACATCAATGCGATTGTCCATGAGTCGCAACGTTGTGGTAATATTATTGCAATTAATTTGACAAGGAAGACAAGCGAAGACATTGTGATGGACGGGATGCTGATCAAGAAAGGAAGCGTGGTTGTGCCACAAGTATCGGTGATAATGAACGATCCTGAGGTGAGCGTGTATTAGGCTATTTGACTACTGAAAAATCTTCTGAAAACGGTGTGGCGGCTTCGGAAGATAGGGAAAAAGCTGGGACTTTCAGAAAAGCGGCCCGAACCGGCTATAGGGCTTAGAATCGGACGTTTTTTTGAGGCCATACTCAACGTCTGACCCAGTTCGAAGAAAAATTGTCAAAGTCAGGAAATTTTAAGTCTGACTCTTAGACCGGTAGCCATCTGTTCGTGGACAAGACTTGACCAAGTTTTAAAAGTCTGGCGACTGGGTCTACAGCACTAGAACGGGCCGGAACCCCTCTGGAATAGCCAAACTCAAAAAAATTAAAAACGAATTTGGCCTACCGCGTCTCGTCTACGGCTTGCTAAACTTTGTATTTGTCATCATCCCGTATGGTATGTAAATCGTCTATACATACTTCTCATTTCAGGCCTTCCCAGAGCCGGAAAAATTCAAACCCAAAAGATTTCTGGATGAATCCGGGAAATTCCGTCAAATCGAACAAATGATTCCATTTTCCCTGGGGAAAAGAGCTTGCCTCGGCGAAGGGTTGGCTAGAATGGAGCTGTTTCTGATTACTGCCAATCTACTAAATCGTTACCGGCTTAGCGCCGGAAGAACACCACCAACGTTGCGTAAGGTCGCGGGGATGATGCCAAAGACACATCCGTTTACTTGTCGTGTGGAAAAGAGACATTGATGGCTCTTATAGTGTAAAATAAATGTTCTAAAAAATCGTTTTGGCGAAATACAATATAAACATAATTTTTTTTCTGTCGGCGGTAGAAATCAAGCTATCTAGCTCGCAAAAAAATGGGTTTTCCAACCGAAGGAAGTCAAAGATCGGCCATTAATTTTTTCGAACACAAACATCCCATAACTCATTCAAACATCGATATTCGATTATTTTATTAAACGCATTCTCTGTTATTACTGCAATAAAAAAACAATATTTACTGAGGATGCAGAGTGATTTCCTCGGTCTTGGTCCATGGCTGACTGTAGATCTTGGCTTCCACATGATGTTTATCGGTGACTGGGGCGTCGGAAGCGCAGACCGATCCCTAAGATTATAAAACATTATCTTACAACATCAATTACAGTAGCGGACCTAATCCAGTGGCAAAAAACGTACCATTTTGCATCCGGGAAGTATCAAAAATGTGGCAAAATACCTCACAAGTGAAAAAACTCCGATTTCAACGCCCTTCAAAACCGAGCTTTTTTAGCTGGAGAGGGAGGTATTTTGCCATATTTTTTGATGCTTCCCGGATCCAAAATGGTACGTTTTTTGCCACTGGATCAGGTCTGTCACTGGAACAACTAAATCGTCGAAAATTTTCGCATTTCAGCTGCTAAAAATCGCGATTTTGCAAATTTCTCACCTTCAAACAGTTGGTTTTTCCGAACTCATACTTGATCTTGTAGTTCATTCCGGAAACAACTTGCTGTTCCGCGCTGACCGCCTGCAGCGCTCTGTGGTGGTATTTGTCGTTGCTCTCCTGGTTGTACTGCTTCTCAACCTTGGTCAAATACTCTTGAACCACGGGGTCTTTCAGGTCCAATTTGGACCATCCACCGACAAGTTGACCGGCCATGATTGGGACGGAGACAAGTAACAGGGCAAGTACTACTTTCATATCTGGAAGGAATCGACTTCAGTAACCTGTTTTAAACCCATTCGGAATTGCTTTTCACGCCTTTTGGTGAGTAATGCGGGAATGTTAAATGCCGAGAAACCTTTGCAAAATGATAAATTTCAGTTTTAAGAATCAGTGTAATCACCAACGTAATTCGAAAAACGTTATGAGTCAGACCCAGCCTACAGAAAAAAATAAAAACAATTCCGAAAAACTGTAAGAAGCCCTTAGAAATGTCTGTAATCACAACAGAACTCCCGTCGGCTACGATCTTAGAGTATCTTGGAAAATCATGGAAAGCGGGAGCTAAAATTTTCAGGAATTGATAAGTGACCCCTATACGCAAAAAAATTAACCAAAAATTTTTTTAGAAGTTGTTCTTAAAATCCGCAAAATTTATTTCCACGTATAATAATCCACTTCTCCAGCAAAATACAGAACAAAAAAGCACTTCAATCCAATGCCCTCTGCCTTGCCCTTTGTTATCAAAAACAAACCGTCCGAAGTGAAACAAAGGAGATAAAATTTCACTTATTATATACTAGTATAGTTTTTAATTGCACGTAATCAAAACTCTAAAAATTACCAAACATTTCACATCGAATTTACGAGATCTACGACAAACTGTGTTTCCAAACAATTCGGGGGCTAGAAACAACGTCATGGCTATGTGATATCCACGCAAATTCACGTAAGCAACTGTACAGAAAGTTTTGAAACTTATTGCTTCATGATCCGAATGGCTATCCAACGTTCGTCATGGGCTGAATTTTGACAAGCCGTTCGAGTCATGGAGCAATAAATATCACAACATCCAGTGCAGTTGCTTACACAAATTTCCGTAGAAATCACATAGCCAGTCCGTTGTTTCTGGCCCCCGTATTGTTTGGAAACACAATTTGTCGTAGATCTCGGAAATTCGATGTGAAATGTTTGGGAATTTTTAGAGTATTACGTGCAATGAATGAACTATATTAGTACAAAAAGTGAAATTTTATCTCCTTTGTTTCACTTCGGACGGTTTGTTATTGATAACAAAGGGCAAGGGAGAGGGATTTCGGACATGGCAATTTTTTCTTCCGCACAGTACAAGGCACACAATAAGTAAAAACTATGCTATTTGCGAATGGTTCTTTCCATTGTACCGTTCACAACACGTCTTATCATGTTTTGAGCTCTGCAAGTTGCGAGACATAAAAGTTGGTATGGCCGAAATGCGTGGCTGAGCATCATGTCCGAAAAAAATTTGAATTCACCCGGAACCCCTCGTATATTGAGACCATGCCATACATCATAAAATAAAGCCAGCCCGTATTTGAGTTTCCCCCGATTCGAACTCTCATAGCACGTACTATCCAATACTATCCAGATCTAATCAATTACTACCTCTCTAAACCCACAACTTCTCGAAACTTTCCCTCGAACACTGACTTGTGTTATGAATCACAACTCAAAGCAACCGAAAAGACGGCCTCTCTCGAAAAGTCCGTTCTTTGGATCACTTTATAAATGTTGACGGACATAGAAAAAAGCGGAAATTAGATAGGGTCTTCTAACTAACGCTTTGCCCAAAAAGTGATATGTTTATAATAAAATACGATGACTAGATGCATTTTGTAAACCCTGATCCCTATTACGAGGCTGATGTTCAGTGATTCTGGGTTTCTGATTTTAAGTGGGCGGTGTTTAGGAATAAACAAAAAGTTTTGGAACAAGTCAGAATGAAGGCAAAAGTTTTGTCATCAAAGGGCAAATGGCCAAAAATATTTTTTGATACAAAGTGGACTTTTTATAGTTTACACGGAACGTCTTCAAAGTGGAAAGCTCATATTTTGATCGTGAGGAAGCCTCGGAAATTTAGATTAATTTTTTTGAAAGGCATGAATCATAAGAAATGCTTAGCTTACGCTTTGCAGGAACAGTCGAGATCAGCAGGAGAAAGGAAATTTTGTTGTTTTTAGTGACCTTTTCGACAGGCAAGATAAAATTTTCGCATGTCTTATTGTTAGAATGATATTATCACTTTCCAAGCTTGATCAAAATATTGTCTACACGCTTTGAAAACTTCCCCTATGAGCTAGGATTCTCGTAAAATATCGCTTCTACCTGTAAGCATGACGTTTAAACTATCATAATAATTCAAACAAACTCAAAAATCGCAAACCCCTCCTGCGTGTAGTCCAAATAAAAGTAGAAATCAAACGCTGCAAGAAGCAACTCTCTGTACACACCCTATAATTTCGATTCGTTTGTTCAGATGGCCTTATACGATTCTGGTTTCCCATTTATAACGGGGATGTTTGGCAACCTTTATAGTATAATAAAACGCGTCTAGAAGGCATTTCTATTAACATAGTCTGGAATACAATCAGAGAGAAATACTTTCAAAATAACGGTCAAAATTGAGCCGATTGATAGTCAACAGCCAATTAAAAAATTCAGAGTGATGTAACCAAAATTGTAAAGCAATCCATACTTACAAAATTGGCTGCTTAGAGACACAAGTAACCGGTTTGGCTGATGATCTTGGGTCTCTGCAATGAGAGACACGATAAATTGGTTTATTTTTCGCTTTTTTGTATAAAATTTGTCATCAAGACGCAATACAAGGACGATTTGTACCTCTATCTAGAAATTAATTCTAACGCTGCTCAAATTGATGAGATCAAGCCATATTAAAATTGAAAAAAAATCAAAAAAAGTGGAAAATTTGAAATATTTTTTTTTTGGTTTTACACTAGTCCTATATTATCAAAAAAAAAACATTTTTTACTTTAGCTAATTTACCAATAAGTTTACGACGACTCTATCTCATCTAAAGCACGGTCATAAAACCGCATTTTCTCACAAATCGACGATTCCCAGTCAAGTCTAAAGCCTCGATTCCCCTTACTCTCACGCCAAACATTGTCATCGTCCTCGTTTTCTCCCTATTTATACAAAAAAATTCTTAAGTTCATCCTCAAGTGCATCATGTCAAGCGAACCGCTGTTATTTTCTTTGCATTTATTGTAAAGTTGTTCACGACGCTTCATTGTAACAAAAGTGGAAAGGGGAATGGAGTAATAATATGCATTCAATAATCCGTGTTCGGTTGAAAACCGAAGACCAAACAAAAAAAACTCTTGACTGGAAAAAGAAAGAAGGGGTTTTTATTGACAAACTATCGACAAATGATATGAATTATATGAAAATCAAATACGGATATTGTTTAGATAATCTATACTACGAGTCTGACGATTTGGGATCGGATTCATCAAAGTTTCTTGAAGAAAACACCAACAATTCGTCGATGGAAGACTAAAAAGAGCTCTTGAGGACAAAAAAAGGATGTGGTTTGATGGAACTGCACAGATAAAGCTGATAATCTTACAAATTCTTGGGATAGGGATGTAGAAACATTTGCTACAAAAAGATTCACCATTTTTAGCCAAACAATAAAGTCGACCTTATCTACATCAACATAAAAAAATCCAATTTCTCTCTTGAATCTACTCACAACAGCCCTATTACATCCTAAAACAACCCAAGGGACTACCAAACACCTTCAAAACATTTCAGAAACAAAAAGAATATAACAAATTTCAAGTATAATATATAAATTATGAGAGGATGTATAAAATTAGCCGGAAATGTAGCAATTAGCAACAAAATTGAGTAGTTGTTCGATTACTCGGAGTGGGGTTCTATACAATGTTGCACTTGCAGCACTGTTTCTTCTGATTTCGGTTTCGCCCCGCTTCTGGGTATCGGCGGTTGATTTGACGGACCAGATCGTGGAAGACTTCATTTACATTCACTTTAGCTTTGGCTGAGGTCTCCAGGAAGGCGCTGTTGAACTGACGGGCCAGATTGTGGCCTTGGTCTTTGCCGACGACACGTTCATCCTCCAGATCGCATTTGTTGCCGACGAGAATCATGGGGACCTGAAAAAGGTCGATATATTTCAATTTTATGACTCGAGATTCTTTCTTCCATCTTATGAATTTTGTATTCCTCCTCCTAAAGGCAAAAACCACATAGAAAAAGATGCAAAACTCACATCGTCGGTATCTTTTACCCTGAGGATCTGATCTCTAAGGTCAACAAGGTCATTGAAGGTAGACTGTGCGGTAATCGAGTAGACAAGGACAAATCCTTGTCCATTCTTCATGTAAAGATCTCTCATAGCCGTGAATTGTTCCTGAAAATCAACCATCAATTACAAAAACATAAAACTAGGTACCTAAAAATATAAAATCATGTAAAGGCATAATTTTGTGTGAAAAAACTAGAACTAAAAGTTCAAAAAAGACGTGTATTTCTTCTAAAACCTAAAAAAATAAAAAAAAATTATAATAAATTTCCTTACAGTTCCAGCTGTATCCAAGATCTCCAACATGCATTGTTGCCCGTCAACTTCGACCTGTTTCCGATACGAATCTTCAATTGTGGGATCATACTTCTCAACAAAGATTCCTTGGACAAATTGGACCGTCAGGGCACTCTTCCCGACACCACCGGAACCCAGGACAACGATCTTGTATTCCCGCATAATTCAACCCAACGAATGTCCGCTAGACCTGCAAGAGTTAATTTAAACAACGAATGAACGATATTAGTTGCTATCTTCATCAATTATTTATGCGATACAACCATAAAATATTCAAAAGTCGACGAAATTCATCATGAATAATATAAAGCGCCGCTCGGAAATGCAAAATGGCCGTCTAAAATAAAAAACAGCAGGTGTAATTTGAGGAGAAAACAACAACACTTGCAAGGGACGTTTCATAATTGAGCTGGTTTTTGCACAATTACATTAAATTCGCGACGAAAATTCGCGAAAAATATTAGAAGTGACGAATAAGGGAGAGAAACGGAAACTGTTGAACAAACCGAAATGGGGGGAAAATTCAAAAACGCCGGACGATAAAAGTATATGTACCACTTCCTCCGGATGATTCAGTGGGTTTCAACAGCCAAAAAATTACTCTGCATATTAAACATGAGGGCACAGATGTCGAGAGGTGAGGGAATCTACATGTAATCAGACATAAATTAAACGGAAATACTTTTTGTCGCTATGACTAATCGCATTCATCCAATTTCACCCTTTCATTTCATTGATTTCGCTCAAAATTTGATACCTACAACATACTTTTTGGTTGAAAAAAGCAAATTCAGCGCTTATACTTGCTAACTCCATAACTTTTTACAACTTATGATTTCCGAAAATCTCCAAGATCTCTGCTTTAAAAAAAAAGTCAAAAATTTTTTTTATAAGTTGACGATTCATCCGGGAATCATCTAATTTATGTCAGACGGCCAAAAATAATTGCTCATAATCCCCTTGGCGTGAGAGAAAATGGAATATTCAAGTGGGCTTTATCAAGATAAGAACGGATGCTCTTTGAAGGGCAGGTGAAAAGCGGGGGAAGAAACCACGAAGTTCGTGGGATAAGCCATTTAGGTGAACAATTGTGCAATGCTAATGAAAAGTCACGTTTCCATGAGGACAATGCAATGTTCAACAGAGCACATAAAGTGAGGGACCTGATCCAGTGGCAAAAAAACTTATCATTTCGCATCCGTGAAGCATCAAAAATGTGGCAAAATGCTTCCTCTCCAAGTGAAAAAACTGCGGGCGCACTTTTGAAATCGGAGTTTTTTCACTTGGAGAGGGAAGCATCTTGCCACATTTTTGATCCATCTCGGATGCAAAATGGTACGTTTTTTGCCACTGGATCGGGTCCCCCACTGTAATACGAGGATTGAGCAAAACAATTTCAGCCCTGGAATCCCGAAGAAGACACTCCGGATCAGAAATCGCAGACTCAAATCCGCAGGAATTCCTCCACTCAGCGGCTCGGTCATAAACCGCAAAGCCCCTTGCGGATCCGCATTGCGGCACAGACGGCAAAAACGGGGCTGGAATGCGGGAAATTCGATAAACTTTGACAGTTATTTACAGCAATAAACCCCATTAAGTCAAAAGTTCTTTCGTCGTCGAAACAAAAAGGAATGAGCTGAGGGGAGGAAAGCGAAATCCGCTTCCATTTTGCATCGAATCCGACGGATTTACGAGCAAAAAACAGACAGGACATTCGTTGTGGGAGGTGCAATTAATCATAAAAATTGGAGGCGAGGGTTTTGAGGTGGACCAAGCAGCGACTTTCCGACATTCGAACGTGTTCGAGGGCGGCTTGGCTCGCTGCTTCATTATACAAATGAACTTCCGGCACAGACGAAAGGAGAGGAGGGCGAAACTTCGTTTGGCGTACATGACGCGTGAAAAGTACATTTACCCGAACCCCCTAATCCGCTCGTAATTCCCGCAGATCAACAAGAACCTGATCAACACTGAGGCTGGAGAAGTCGGGAAATAGAGGGAGAACGCCAGTTCGCAAAAAAAAAATCTCTGATTCGGTGGAGAGAATGAGCGCGAGTGACCCTCAAAACAGCGGTGTGGAGACCGAGTCAGGAGGTGGTGCGGAATGGGCGAAAAGAAAAGGTGAGAGAGCCCTTGTCTTCCAGACATTTCTCTGCACACTCATCTCTTTGTTGGCTCTTGTACCAACCGGTCAATTCTAGGGGCCCTTGAGAAAGAGCTCTCCTTACTTCCCACTGACCATTCGAAAAGGTTCTTGTCAGCAAAACTAATATCAACAATGTCGTCAAATCTCCTCAAAGGATTTTTAACAGTCTGAGCGCTCTTTCGTAGCCTTGAAAATACGTTTAAATTTTCAACCATCTGTCGACAGTCCTAAGACTACTTTTTAATTTTAAGCCCCGATTCCGTAACGGACTACCTCAAAAGTCCTACCCTTGAACTAATTCTTGGCCGTTTATTGAAGACGATTTCTCTAATCCCCCAGCTAATTAATCTTCGTGCCCTGAAAAAAGTCTAAAATAAGGGAGCGTGCACCGGAAAAAACAAAGATTTCGAAAAATCCATGTGCAAAAACATCCTGCAAGGTAAATTACCAAGATCTTCAACCTTTACGGGGCTATCTGATTCCGAAGGATCGAAAAACAAAGTGTTTTTACGAGGGTGGGAGATTTATGTTGGCTATACCTGACTACACACCACCAACAAGGAAGAAAACTGTGTGATGTTTAGAAAATATCAAATAAATCACTGTTTTCATCTCTTTTTGTCAAGAATGACTGTAGTCAATGTAAAAACAACCCCGATTCAAACCTTGTAAAGATTTGTCATCACAAAAAACAATAGAAAGGCCTAAATTTCATTAAAATTGACTTCCAATGGGAGTATCTGACACACCGAATAAACAAACCAAGGGAATTCAATTCCAGGAGGGCAGCGGGATCAAACGCCTATCAAAAAATAAAATATATCCCTCAATTCCAAAACCACGAACCCGAAAACTTCCAGAAAACTCCGAAGAATATGAAAAAGGTTGCACAGCCTGAGTTGACATTAATTCGGGAGGGAAAGACTAATCCCTTTACAATGGAAGTCATGTGATTAAAAGAGTAGAGAATGCAAATTAAGTTGGAATTGAAAAAAAGGAACGCCTAAACAGATAAATGGTTTTTGATTGAGAAACCCATGAAAAACAACTGAAGAAGCATCGAATCATCATTTGGAGATCACCGTGGACCTTAAAATTCGCAAAGCAATGATTAATAGGAAAGATAATGTCCTATTATGAATTAAAAATCTATTTCATGTAGAACACGGCCGTTAACAGCCTTTTAGGCCGCATTTTATACCTCATCGACTTCCTCAGACAACAACAAAGACATCCGAAGACCAGTCGCAACCTGATATCTGCACAACAAAACGCGGCGAGGACAAAGAGTGCCAAACAAAGGCGAAAGTCACTGAGTTCCTCAAGAATGACCATGAAACTCGGAGGCAACGAAAAGGACGTCCAACAGAGCCATTAAGTGAAATAATGAGAAAGACATAATGCTGAGTCCTCGAAAGCAATATAAGAAGGCAATCTTGGCTGTATAAATGCCAATACGTAGATGACCGAAAGTAAAAACGAAGCTGCTGTGAGAACCATGAGAACCTTTGCAAAGTCTTACCACAGGTGAAATTCGGCGAGGGCATTTTCTCATACGCAAACGCGTTTCAAATCGCGGGGGAGAAAGTGGGCACGCAACCATATTATAGGCAATTACGACCGATCCGGTCCATTTATGTGTAATCTATGACCCTTACTGGGAGAAAAAAGGTTAATGGGCCACCTCAGGGGACATTATGGGAGAGAGGATGGTAAAAAAATATTCGAGATTGCATTTTATATTTGCAACAAGTCTAAAAATAGTTTCTGCAACTTATAATAGCAATTATTTCCGACAGAATATAAAGAAAGAACAGCAAAAAAAATGTCGAAATCTTGACTCAAAAACAAAAAGTCCGTTTCATAGTCAACTCCAATGTCATATGTCCACTAATCACCCGTATTCAATGCCATATACGTTCAGTGCCATAAACTGCATTTTCGGGGTGATTAAACCAATTTTCCCATTGTAAATGGGGCGTGGTGAATAACTTTCGAGACAATAATTTTGCAAGAAAAAACTCTGGCATAGTTTCGCAATTATTATTCCCCAGTTTCCGACGTTGAATAATAACCCACCCATTTTTTCGGAGTCCGCATTTAAAGCGGTGGATTTACTATTTTCGGGCGAGGAAAATCATGTAGATTACATTTGCATGGGCCGGAAATGTGTATAATCCCCGGCTCATTTCCTCATAACGACATCTTCGCGAAGGGACGCGAATTTTTAAGGGCGTTGAGACACTTTTTAGGGCACGAAAACACAGCCAAGGGCGTAAAAACAAAGGTCAAACGACATTTGGCCCGAAAAAATTAGGCGAGGCCCGTTTAACACCCCTAATTTACCATTCATTTTGAATGTAAATTCAATTAAACTTCGCTGAGTGCGGTCTGCGTTAGGCCCAGAAATGGACAGAGCAAAGAAAATAAGTGTTTACAAACGCAGTTGAGAAATATCGTTAGACTCATTAGGAGGCGAGATTAAAGTGCGAAATCGCAAATTAATCCGCAAGTAAACGGGAAATAAATATCCGTCTTCAACACAACCAGAAAGGCCACCATCTCGAAGATTAACCGGAAGTATAGGGCGTGGAAAAATTACATTTTTTGAGTGGGGCCTTATTATAGTCTAATGACACATCCAAATTGGGATTATTATCCGCCCCGCGGTCTTTTTACAAGACTCTCGAAAGGCGCACGTAGTAAAACTCGGGGAAAAATGACCAACAATTGGGAAAATAATAAGAAATCATCAAGTATAAGGTAACACCAAGGTCAAGACCACGTAAAAAGCTTATGAAAACACATTCACAACAAAAAAAGCGTCAAATATTTACTGTCCTAAAAATATCTCTGTACAAAAATGTGATAAATACATCAAACGTTCAGCAGCTTTTTCGTCAACATATCGGGTTCTTTGGGGATTTGACCAGGTGAACCTCGAGGATCTAGGCCAAGAAACATGGCACCGCCAACCAAGAAGCATACTGTTGCGAACTGAGCTGCACACCGACCTCTCATGTAGTATTGAGCTCGCATTCTGTTATTGTTCAATGTTGCTCTACACATGCCTGAAAAATGTAAAAATCAAATAAGAAAATATCAATGGATTGTACTTGGCAACTCATAAGCAGCTAATCACCAATTTTCAGACATCTAAAATCACTACTGAGCAAGATCGAGCCAAATCAGTCTTAGGTGGCAAGTATAATATAAAACTAGTCAGCATTTGGCCAAAACACTTTTAATTAAGGATTTTCATCTTATGGTTCTATTAGGCGAACCCGCACAAAAAGAAACCTAAACTTGCCAAAATAAAAAAAATAACCTCCTTACCGAGTAAACATCCAACAGTTGCTGCCATTCCGATTGGAACCAATGGATTAATCGTCAACTTCTTATACATCTTACTCTCATTCACGTTGCTCGAAGAGCCACCTAACAAGTCTTCTGGGATCATGGGAACTCCCGCTCTTCCTAATGAATTGTTCTGGTAGATCTGCCGACGAGCTGGACTCTTTTGCTTCCCAAATTCAGGTTCATTCACCATCTTCCACAACATCTTCTGCTTCTCGATTTCGGCGGCCTTCTTTGCAGCCGCATCGTCGGCCATTCTTGACGGTTTGAAACGTGATTTTGATAACGCTGGATCAGAAACAAGGATTTCGCAAAAAATTTTTGATTTGAACACAATGCCAAAACATCTTGGCAGTCATTGTTTTCGTTGCGAAGCGTACGTACATCTGCGTCTTACCACGAAACGCCTGCCAAATCAAGGAATTTCAGAGAAATGTCGAGAAAATTATTGACAGATAATTTACTTCCTGCGCGGTTGACCACCTTCAATCGCGCATTTCACTTGGATTCAACATTGTTTTAGACGACCGCACCTGATCGAGCTTGAGTTATGGACGACGGCGTCGATGTTTCGGCTCTTCTGGATGAAGCCGTCAATGGACCAAGTGAAATAAATGGAAATACTCAAGAGAGTAATGGGAAATCGTTGGAAGAGAAAGTGTAAGTTGCATTAATTTGTTTTTATCAGTGCTTTTAGACGATCTCCTCGAAGTAGCGGGTCGAGCAAACGAGAACGAAGGTCCAGGTCTAGATCTAAAGATAGGAAAAAGTAAGGGCTCTACTTTTTTAATTTTGTTACTGTTTTTAGTGTGATTTTACTTGAATATGTTAAGTTGCATTTTACAATATATAATTTCTTATTCTTGACTAAAAATTGATTTCAGGGAGAACCGAGATCGTGATAGAGAGCGTGACCGAGATAGAGATCGTGATCGCAAGCGTAGAACTCGCAGTAGATCTCCAAGACGTCGATCTCGGTAAGTTTCATTAGCTTTTGACGTTGGAAGTTGAAACTTGGGTATTTTGCTTTGATTTTGGCTTGGTTGACAGGGTTCGATGTGTCTGAGATAATGTTCAAGGGGTCGTTCGACTATTTTTCAGTATCGATGATCTTGAAACACCGAAAGATACCTGAATTTATATATTAAACTTGGTCCTCAATGACACATTGAAAAGACCTGTCAACCAAGCTAACTTGCAAAATTCTTTTTGTAAATTCGTTATAAAAATTCTCATATCTCCAGATTAACTCATACACTGGCTGTAACTGTGTTTTGACCGGACTTGAGAGCTAAATAGAGAGGCCGGTAAGAGCATCAAAATTTGGACCAAAGTCAGCCTGTCTAATTCTAGGTTTCGGCGCGAAATGGATGTGTGGCACAATCCTCCGTCCTTCCAAATACCCCTCTTTGTCTCTTTTTCCCAATCGGGAGATGTCTGATCTATTTTTTCAGATTTCCACACCGAGATTTGCAAGGCCAACGAATATTGAGTTGCATTGTAATATTTTATCTAACTTTTTTCGATTGCAGGCATTCGCAGGTGTTGAGGAAGACGGAATTGGGCTTTATTTAGAACTGTAAAATATGTTTCGCAATTTTTGAAATTTGTTTTTTAGTTTTTGTTATCCAAAAATATCAAATCATATCTAAAATAAGGTCCAATTCTAAGCTTCCCGCCTTCTTCCAAAAACTATTGGGACATCACTCAAAACACATTGGATTCCAACAATCTTCGGCTTTGTTTTCCCATCATATTCGTTTATTTTCAGCTCAAGAGACAGGGACAGAAGAAGGTCCCCGAGAAGAGATCGTGATCGTTCCAGAGACAGAGATCGTCGACGCCGTAGCCCTCGACGCCGCAGCAGAAGTCCGGCCAAACCTGTAGGAGGTCGACTGCCAGGCCCTGAACGTCGAGATGTGTAAGTTTTATTTTTGTTTTTTCTTGCTTTTTAGGTCAGTCATGGATCATAAAAAATTATCCGAAAGAAATAAAAGTTTTACCAAAATTTTTACAGAATGCCCTTCTCAGCTCGCCGATCACCTCCACCCGGTGCGAATATTGATATGACGCCTGAGGAGAGAGACGAACGCACTGTATTCATCCTTCAATTGGCCAGAGACACTCGACCCCGAGATCTAGAAGAGTTCTTCTCGAAGATTGGTCATGTTAGAGATGTTCGAATTATCACGGATACTAGGACCAGAAGATCGAAAGGAATAGCTTATGTCGAATTTTGGGAAAGAGATGCAGTTACTTTGGCAATGGGATTAAATGGCCAAAGATTGCTTGGGGCTCCTATTCAAATCCAGCCAACTTGTGCGGAAAGAAATCGCCTGGCTAACAATACAGTAGGATCGGCCATAGGATTTGGCCCAACAAATTCGTTTGGACCACTGAAAATTGCAGTCTCGAATCTGCATCCAAGTATCAGCGATGACATGTTGAGGGCTATTTTCGAACCATTCGGACGTCTGGAGACCTGCAAAGTGGATGTAACGAAGCCTGGATGTGGTATTGTGAGCTTCCGCAACGCGGACGAGGGAAAGAAAGCCATGGAACAACTGAATGGCTTCGAATTGGCCGGAAGAAATATTAAGGTTGTGAATGTGGAAGAAGAAACCCAATCCAAGATTGCGTCGGGACCACAAGGCGGCCTCAAAAGCATGACGTTGACGGCGGAACAGCAGGCCGAACTAGCGAATGTCCCCCCATTCGCAACGGAATGTTTTATGTTATCGAATATGTTTGATCCGAGGACGGAAACGGAGGAGAATTGGGACGAAGATATCCGAGATGACGTGGTAGAGGAGTGTAATAATCATGGAGGAGTGGTTCACGTGTATGTGGACAGAACGTCGGACGCTGGAAATGTGTATGCGAAGTGTGCGAATGTTTTGGCCTCGTATAAGTCGGTCCAAGCACTTCATGGAAGAATCTTTGCTGGAAAGGTGATCACCGCGAACTACATTCCCCTTCAAAGCTACCACGACCTCTTCCCCGACTCCCGCTACTCAGTAGCGCCCCTGTTCTCACGACCAAGACAGTAATGTTGTTGTATTTGTATGATATTCCCAATAAATTAATCATTATTAATTTTATAGAGAATAAGATTGAAAAGAGGTGTTATCGGAGTATCCAGGAAGATATGAGATGTAAAGGGTTAAAATGGTTTGATTGTCAATGTTTAAAGCACAGCGTTAAAATCCCTGAAAGCTGATGTTTGACTACAAGTGTTAGAGGGGGATTATTTACAGCCATTTCAACCCACGGGTCACCAGTTTTAATTTTTTGCCAACTTTTTTTGAATGTAATTGGTATTTAGTACAATATAAATTGGAACTGATCAGTAACTCCGATATATTCCACTTTTGGTTATAAATTTTAGATTTATTTAGTAAGTACAATATAAGTTGTAAAAATGATTGGATTAACAAACTCAGTGACGCAAAAGTACGTGTTATGAATTCATCATCGTGTTACAAAGTGTGTGTTCTGCAATACCCAGACGAAAACTATTAAATCTAGCTATGAAATGTGAAAAGTTGAGGATAAATTGTAAGATATGGACATCGTCTAAGAGTCGTCTTCTTCGTGGATCTTTCCCTGTTGCATTTGGCCGATCATCTTTCTCAGGGATTCGGCATCCTGAGGGGTGTAGGTCTTGCTCAACTTCTTGACGCCCAAGCAGACAGTGCGGACGATGGCGTCAGTCACAGAGTAAGGATCACAGTTGGATGAGGGTCGACGGTCCTCAAAGTATCCGAACTGATCCACCTCGGTTTGTCGCGGGATACGGACCGACGAACAACGAGACGCCACTCCATACGAGAAGTTGGAGATGGAAGCGGTCTCATGTTGGCCGGTGAGACGACGAGCATTGTCAGCGCCGCCGGAGGGGTCGTAGTAGGCGATGTGCTCGTTGTGGGACTTTGACAGCTTCTCAATGGCGGCAATGATCTCGCTGAAATCAAAAATTTAGATATTTACAGTACAAACTAAATAATTTAGCTTCCAAAACGCCTCAAAAGGCTCTCACCTTCTCAAAAACTCACCTGTATCCTCCGGGTTTGCGCATTTTCTCGGTGGAGAAGTTGGTGTGGCATCCAGCGCCGTTCCAGTCTCCGCTGATTGGCTTGGGATCCAAAGTGGCGATCACTCCGAACTCCTCGGCAATTCTGTGCAGCAAGAACCGAGCAACCCAGAGCTCATCTCCCATGTTGATGCCTTCGCTGGGCCCGACTTGGAACTCGAATTGCCCGGGCATGACCTCGGCATTCGTTCCGGAGATGTTGATGCCCGCGTACAGACAGGCCTTGTAATGAGCCTCGACAATGTCGCGTCCGTAGACCTTGTTGGCTCCAACACCGCAGTAGTAGGGGCCTTGGGGTCCTGGGAATCCGTTCTTGGGCCTTAAATAGAATTTTTTACATTATCCTTGACATCTATCTCAAAAATGAGGACAAAAATAGGATAGAACATTTACAACTCTCTTACCATCCGAATGGATGTCCGTCCACATCCAACAACGTGTACTCCTGCTCCATTCCGAACCAGGGGTGCTCGTTTTTGGCGGCATTCATTGTCTGCAGACATCTTCTTCGGTTGTTGGTGGGATGGGGCTGCAACTTGTTGTCCAAGGTCTCACACAGGACCAAGATGTTCTCGCCAAGTCTGAATGGGTCGGGGTAGATGGCGACTGGCTTCAGGAACACGTCCGAGTCCGCACCGTGAGCTTGACCGGTCGAGGAACCATCGAAGTTCCAGATGGGGAGATCTGCAAATGCAAGGTATTTAGTTGGGAATCTCACGCAATATTACAGTGATTTTTTGATTTTTACAGCGACAGATCAAAAAAAATTTTCTATGAAACCACTTGGAATTGACCTATCGATATTTTCAAGGTAAACTAGGGTCCAAATTTTAAATGACCTTCACAAAAATGGACGAAAAAGTACCACCCAAAAAGTTGTATAAATTCACAAAGCTACAACAAAAAACAGACACCAGAAAGCTACATTTTGCGATATTACACTGGATAAAAGCGGACCTCGGGAATCTTTAGTTTTCATGAGGAAAACACAACCTCTGCAAATGAAAGATGGACATTGAGATTGCCAATATATTTTACTATCTAAAAATTCCAGTATCCTTTCGTGTTTAGCTACATCTCACCCATGGGAAGCTTTTTTCTTTCCCATCCGCTATTGTTATCTAAAACAATAAAAAAATTTGAAATCTCTTACCATCAGGGGTCTTGGGAGCCTTGTCCAAGGTTCTGGTCTTGCATCGAAGGTGCTCGGTGGTTCCATCGATCCAGATGTACTCGGCTTGCACCTTGCCGCGGTTGTCGAGCCCGGCGAACCGATGAGCGATCAGCTTGTCGGTGTGGAATTGATCACGAATGTTGGCGGACATCTGCAAGCCGAACATGAAGGCAAATTCAACAAGCAAAGAGGCACGAATGAACAGCGCTTTACAACTCGATCAATTTGTCCGAGAGTTTCGTGTGGCGGGTCAGCACATCAAAGTGCACATTTTTCACGTGAAATCGGCCAGCGGAGGGCAAAAACCGGTGATAAAAGGGACTAAATATCAATTACCCCTTGGGAACGGTGTGGTCATCAAAGAGGAATTGGAGAAAGGCAGAAAACGCATATTGCTTTAGGCAAAAGAGCAGGTTTGATAGCTAAAATTAGGTAGTTTGAGCAAAAAACGGGTGGACCCAGTGAAAATATCTACTCATCAAGGCTGTAAATCCTGGATAGCGGTTTTTACATATTTTTCCAACTGTGTTCATCCATTTTTTTATTGAAAATCCATATAAAACAAGGTAAATCTTCTACAATCCCAAATTTTCAGTTGAAAATCGTATTTCCACCTCTTACACTGAGCATATATCAACCTCACCGACCACCTCATACTCTACTCGGCCTTATCAACAAACATTTATCGATGAACTGCACAAAAATAAATAAATTTTGGGCGGAAAAAGAAATCGCCCAGCTAAGCTCCGCCCACTCTCGATGGGATGTGTAAAATGATGACTAAACGGATTTTTTTATGGAAAAGATGGAAAAGCAAGTTAGTAGAGAAGCAAAGTATTTTTTGAGTAATGATTTGGGTTGTTTGTAAGAAAGGGAAGGAACATATTACACTCGAACATATTACACTAAGATTTTGGTCAATTTTTTGGGGAAAATGGCGAATATTGAAAAAATTTAGTAATCACATAGGAAGTAATGGCCGGCAAAATATGTGTAAGGGCTTAAAAAATCATATTCAGGCTAAATTTGGCCAAAATAATTAAAACTTTCGGGGGCTTGAGCAAAATTTATATTGTTTTAGGCAAAAATTGGTCAAAAATCTCGAGTTTCATATAAAATCCTTTAAATTTTGATTTCGCTATTAAAAGTCTTGTCTGATAAATGTATTGACCTCAGACAACAAGCGTCCTGTGTCTGTTTTTAGACACCGCATGACTATGAGAATATAGAAAAAAACTGATAAGATAACAAAAATTTTATTTGAAAAAGTTCGAAAACGCGACAACAAGTGGACTAATGAAATTACTGGGGAACGAATGAACGGTCAAAGACGAGAATATGGCCAGAGTTCTTTGTGCCAGGCCAAATTTTATTTATCTATGGATTTAGAGTTGGCCAAGCGGCTTTAAAACCCCTGTCTATGAAGAAGTTTGGTAAACAAGAGGTCAAAAATTTAATGGTGGAAAGAATTATGACCATGTGGGTATAAAACTTGAGTTTTTGGGGTCATGGCGGTATGATTTTCCAAAGTCTAGAAAAGTAAAAAATGCCAAAAAAAGTCATCAAAAATTTTTTAAAATCTGCGAAATTCGTGGTGGATGTTCGCTTTGGCCACGAGTTAGTTGTACACAGGAAACTGTGTTTATACCTAGTTAAATTTCAAGAAATTTAGTCAGCGTTCTCCCAGCCGCTAAACGGCTAGGCCAGAGAACCTCTTGATCGTTGAAATGATCGCTATCCTCGCTACAACACCCTGTTTATATAGGGCTATACCGAGCTCTCAACTTGGTTTACCGATCCTCGGAAAGGCAAGGCCAATACAAAGAATAGTTTAAAGTCTGGAGTGAAAAAATGCGTCGCGCTTAAGCTCCGCCCCAAACTAGGCTAAAATGTGCCTGGGAAGGTTAGAACCATGGGAAGTTGAAGCACACTGTGACCGGCAACTTCCCGGAACCTTGTTTACAAAGATCAGACTTCTTACAGTCTGGACGTTTGAAGAAGCAGAAAAAAATCGGCCATTAGTTCCGCGTTGCCGCCGACATGTGGCGAAAAAGTGAAAAAGTTGGGCAAAGGGGAGGGCGATGAAAACACGTCCTTGTTTTTTTATAGCTTTAACGGTCAGATCACAATATTTGGGCTGTTTGTCTGGCACAGACCAAAAACTAGATAGGGGCGTTTTGATCAACGTTTTGAATCAAATGACTGTCGTGAAAAAAAGTCATAGGTTGCGGTTTAATATTCAATGACAGTCCTTTTTTCTTTCGGTTCTGCAAGCACAGAATTTGAAATGATTATGGGGGGTAAATCATTCATTTTTTCTGATGGATAATTCCTGAAATGCTCAGGGTTTTTCAAATTCGGCGTATAACCTCTAAATAGGCCACATTTCAAATCCCTGAAATTTTTGCCAACAGTTTGAACTTTTTTATTTTTTTTGTGAGTGTTGGCGACTTCACTGAAATCAACAGTGAGGTAAATTTGAAAGTTTCGCAAAGAAACATCGAATTTTACTCAATATCCCACCAAAAAATTTCGATGATTTCAAGCGGATTTTCGAAAGCAAATTTTTTGTTCCTTTCTCATCCCCAAACAATTTTTTATTGGGAACATAAACCCTGAGAAGTCAATACCATTAAATAAATTTAATATTTTCGAAAAAGGAAGTAAACAAACCGATAAGGAACGATAAGAACGTCTGAAATTAGAAATTAAAATTTTGGAATGGTTCTAAATTGGAAGAAGTGAGGCTTTGTATCATTCTTTTGTCACAAAATTGATAGAGACATGGCTGAAAAACACGCGTTGCACTTTGAGCAATTCGTATAAATTCGCCTAGTACAATATCAACTGACCCCTTTTAATCTTTAGAAACTCATCTTGAGACCCCTTTAACACTGGTCGTTTCGTAAAAAAGAAACGAACTTCTCTGTTGGTCACTTGTTTTTTGAACTCAACCTTTTTGAAAAGTTCATAAAAATCAACTGACCAGTGGCAAAGCACACTCCAGACCTTATCCATCAGATAAAGATGGATAAGTTCGGGTCCTAAATACGCATTGCTCTAAAAATAATTTTAAGGGCCGGCTCTTCACACATTTCAATTAATTTTCGGCCGAGCTCAATGAACGTTCAATTTCTGTTTCATTTTTCGGTTTAATTTCCTAAATTAAGAGCAAAAGTTTGCTCTTTAGAAGCAACAGATGGCATAGAAATGTTTGATACATCTTTTGAAAGTTTGTTGAAGACAGAAACAGTACTTTGAGCTTGGAATTTGAGTTGTCGATTTGAGATTAATTGAGTATCCATAAGTCAAAAAATAATCGAAAAAATCACGGAGCCTTTTGAAATAATGATGAGTTAAAGTTTGTATTCCTAGTGGACTGACCTTCAGATTTTCTTCAAATTTAGCATTTGTAATCTACAAACAACATATTTCAATTGATGAAAATTTTAGTTCGCGCTTTGCCACCGTAGCCTAGATACTTAACAATATTTGCAGGCCTATCATTATGGAAAAAGCCAGGAAAACGACTAATAAGAAATAACTTTTTTCTACAATATCTTTACAATCTTGGATTAGAAACATAATTTTTTATAGATCGAAGTTTTTCCGGCACGTGATCGCCGTATCACCGCGTTAGGAGAAGCTTATCTTCTTGAAACTTGATCTCATTTTGATGAGTCATTTAGCGACCTTTTATTGATAAATAGATTTATTTTTTATCGCTGCGCAATAATAGTAATGACCACGAGACGTCGAGCTATCAGTTGGACTTTAAATTGGAGACTTTTTACGATCTTCCAGCTAAAAAATTAAATCTTTATCCTTATGATTCAAAAAGTTATGGCCAAAAAACATCTCTCAGCTGACTGTTAATCCAGAATACGACTTTTATCTTTACCGCAAAGATTGTTGAATATCTTGGCTATTCACTTTGAATACTTTGTATGTTACACTTTTTTATAAGTCATCTTATTACGTTGCCCTTGAGCGTGCTTTCAACTTCTCAGTTCTCAACGTTTTCGATTTTTCCTTGAAAATACAGCACATCTTTTCATGTGAGAACTAATCAGGAGTAGTGAAAAACGTAAAGATGTAAGAAAAGTTCAGGGCGATTAACACCGCAGAGAACGTCAAATTTTCCCATGATTGGTTGTAATTTTGACGTCTCTTGCTTATCACAACATCCATCACATGACTGTTTGCAAAACCGACCTTTCAATGAATATACGCAACTTGGAAAAAAAGTGAAAAATTCTCATGGACTTTGAGACGGGTTTGAAAATTGTTCTTTGAAGAACACAGTGGACAATTTTCGTATTTTAATGGGTCAAGTATGAAAAAAGTGTAAAAAATTAATATTTACTCCGAGAGTTGGTGGATATCTGATACTGTTTTCCGATTCATAACAAAACAACTTCTACTCATCATTGGCAGATTTGTTTCCAAAGGCGTTTTCTTTTGGACCGCTCTCCGCATTTTGCGCGCTCTCTTGTCGACAATGATCATTGAATATCTTGACTTCCCCTGCAAAGCGAGAGATAAAACTTGCATTTATCTTTGCAAGATCTCATTGTGAGGTACTTCTCTTGCAAGCTTCATCCAAGCCCCGCTTCTTGGATCAAAACCCCATTTTTCATCGCAGCTACGAAAATCGGTTTCAAAATTTCTTGATTTACGCCATGACTCATGTCGTATAAAATTTCTTATCTCTCATGGTACGGGGATACCCGAGAAACGAGCCATCACTGGAGAAAGTCACGCGGTCTGGCGACAAATACGACACAAATGATCAACAGCTAAATTAGGCGTCTGTTTCGAAAAGAAATGAGAAAAACAAAAAAAGATTTCATTAGAAAGGGCAATTAAACTTATAATTGAGAAATATAAAGTCGGAATAAAACCGATAATTTTAATCAGCTGATAAGAATGAGACAAGACGATAAAAATTTTAAAAATATAATGTGACCTCACAGTAGAAGTGCTACATCTGTGAGTTTAGATGAGATCTCAAAATTTTTATATTTGGCAATACGCTAGCTAAACTTTCCAGGAGTTCATGTGTGGCCGAGGCGCAATGCATGTACAAAATAGTATAACATATAAATCGAAACCACAAAAAAAGGGTGTCGTTGCACAGAGATTTGAAGCGATGAAGAAGTGTTTGAATTCATCATTACTCCAAAATAAAACATAACAACAACTGATGAACATACTACAACGTACAAGGCCAGGTTTCAAGCCGGTAATTGTTTTGTAAACAGGCTTCACGGTGCGATCATTGTAAGGCATAATCGGAGATACCCGGAACCTCAACGCTGCTAAGAATTTCAAGGTATTTCTTTGGAAAAACGGAAAAACAAGAAAAAATACAATGGGGGAAAAAAGAAACATTTCTTGAGTTGATTGATGTACTGTAAAGATGACTTGAAAGATCAAAAAGTGTTTTGATCATTAAATCAAAGCATTAGTGCCTTGTCTTTCTTGGAAAAAATATTATCAGCACTGCATCCAATAAGCTTCTTCACTGAGGTTAATCGGCGTTAAAGGCTTAGTTTTTCATTGCCAGATCTTGAGAACTGTTTTGTTTGTTTGTTTCAGTAATTATTTCTGGATAAATTACACTTGCTTACCTCCCTCATAGAAGGAAGTATCAAATAACCTCTCAATCAAAGCCATAGTCGTTTTTCTTCCTAGATCATTGAGCCCTTAGGGCCTTTCTTTAGAAAAAACCACACAAATGCCCTTAGACCTTAAAGTTTACACTGGTTTATTCTGAGTACTCCCGCTTCTCCCAAGAACATTGTTTCGCGCTTCCGAACGCTGATCACACGATCAAACCTTCTTCAAATGTTCATTTAGGTTCTTGCGACGGCCGTTCCTCTCCCCTCTCTGTGAATGGGAAAAGGGGCCGTCTATATTCTCATTCCAACGATTGTGAATTTCTTTGAAACGCTCAATAAAGGTTTGTTTGTTGAATTGACAAGAGTTCTGTGGGCTTAGCAAAAAATTCAAAGGAGAAGGGAGAGAGATTCTCACAATCACGGGAAAATTGACGATAAACAAGTGGAATCAACAACAAAAAATGAAAGTAGGGGGAATGTGATGACTAGCTGCACAGGTGTTACAGTAAAAACTTGCAAAAATCGCGCAAAAATTTTGGAAATTGAAGTTCTAAGATGCGAAAAATTACACATTGTTTACACAAAATAAGTAAAAAATGAAATTGCTAAAGGTTTGATCAAAGTCTGACTACGTAAAAGCTTTTGTACAAAAAAATAAAGTAAAATTTTCAGTTTGAAATTTGCAAGTTTCAACTGGCACACCTCTAATTTGAAATAAATAAATTGAAGTAAATTAGTAAATAAGTCCTAAATAGTATTCACATATATCGATTTTTACGCCTTTTGGATATGGCATCTTGATCTAGCCACCAAAGTGCTGCTTCGTGTTGTTGTCAAAATAATTCCCAGTCCGTTGTCGACGGTCTTAAAGTCGGACACCAGGACCGTACACTGAGGGCCCTTCTGCGTCCTAAGTTCCTTGCACTCCAATGGTGACATACACAGATCTTCGGAGAGCTTCCGGCGGAGCTTTGTCACCCTGTAGCACTCGTAAAGTGCGGCGGCGTATGGCTTGGAGGTGGGTAAGCGCATAAAGGCCTGAAAGTGAGAATTTGAAAATTTCGGAAAAGGCAGTATTAAAGGCTGAAAAGTTTGTAAAAAATATTTTTTTTACAGAAACAGCCGCTACAATTGCCTTGTTTATTACAGGGTGCGGCAATTTTTCGGCCGGATTTGAATTGGCTATAACTTTTTTAGTTTTTATCCGAATGTTAAAATTCTTTTTTTCCCTGAATCCTCAGACAACCCCATTTTGTTTAATACCAAATATGTTATATATACAGGGACCTAGTTCATAGTTATTGGCCTTTCGGTCGTTTTCTCTGCTTTTTTGGCGTGTGTGAAAATCGCCAGAAAAAATGACTTTTTTTACGAATTTTGTCGTAAAAAGTTTCATGCCTGTTCATGCCATGGAGAATACCGTTTCCACAAAAAATCAGCTATCTCCGCACAAAACTAGCGAAGATATAGCGAAAAAGTTTTTCTGTGTGATCCACTCATGTGCCCTCCTGACCGCAAAGAATCGTTGAATATCTTGGTCGCCCCTGAAAGGTGCGGGCTGAAACTTTCAGGAATTGATGTGTGGCCTATGTGCGGCCCATGTGCAAAATTTAAAGAAAATCTGAGAGTCGCACTAGGGGTAATTCCATTGTCAGCTATAAAAATTAGAGCTTTTTCTTTGTCTCGAATTTTTACTGTAGTCTAATGAACGGGTATAACATATTTGGTATTAAACAAAATGGGGTTGTCTATGAATTCAGGGAAAAAAAGAATTTTAACATTTGCCCAAAAACTAAAAAAGTTATGGCCAATTAAAATCCGGCCGAAAAATTGCCGCACCCTGTAAACTTACATCCAAAACAACCGGATTCTTGCTCAATTTTTCCATAAAGTCCACCTGAATTGAATCGTATTGTGACAGATTCATATACAAATTATATCGTCCCATCTGACTCCAATTATTTTCGTACATAGATTCTCTCAAATGGACCGCATACGCATCTTGATAACCCAACTTGACATGCGTATAATTGCCTGCGTAATCATGGTCAAAGATGGGGAAGTGGATCAGCCCTTGTCGGAGTCGTTTTGGGATTACAATCGACTTGCCGTAATCCGCAATGGTCGTCACGTGAAGGTTGGAGACAATATCGCGAACGTTGTAATGTTGTGGGTTCTTGTCTGAAAAATTTTGAGGAATAAACATTTCAGCGAAAATCTCTGCAACTTACGCAATTTCAGCTGTGTTGTGGCCCACATGAATTCGAAGGACGGGGCATTTGGGAATTTCTGGTGGTAAAATTGAACTTCCTGCAACAAATTCTCGAATCTACGCGGAATGATGACGTCATCAATATCGCCAAAAATGATGAAATCGGCCGCTTCTCTGTACTCGTACAGGCATTCCGTCTGGCTTGGCATCATATTCAGAGAATCCGTTTTGGCGTTTGGATCGTAGAGAAATTCGGGCTGAAAAATACTGTAGAAGCATCTAATGCATCAATAAAATATACGAGTTATTTGCTAAAAAAGATATTTTTTGTAACAATATATGCTTAACAGTGGCTTACAACTCTTGGCAGAACTATTCCTTTCTTCAGTCGAACATAACCAAGCGTCTCATAATGCTTCAAAATTATGTGGAGTTGCTCAATTACGCTTATGATGGGGATGACGAACAAATCCATGCCATGGTGAAGGTACAATTCAAGCGAAGTCAGAGCGATCTGCCAGTTCTCGTAGTAGAACATTCGAGCAACACAGAACACCAGGGGGACCTTCTTCTTGACTGCTGGTGTTATTGGAACCTAAAAGAAAATTATCTTATAGTACCATTAAAGCGACAGCTAAAATTTTACGAAATTGATACATATGTATAACCAATTGTAAGCAAAAAAATCTAGGCAACGTTTAAAAGATCAAGAGCCCTTACAATTCTATTTTCAAAATTCAAAAGTCTACCTTCAAAATCTCAGCGCCATCGCCAACAAGTTCGAGCCGCTCCGACGGTCGTTTGAAGTGACAATCCAAGAAATAATCCTTCCAAATACACGGTCTTGGGCCATTCATAAACTGCCATTCACCCACTACAATGTCACCAAACTCATTGCGGCAGAAGATTGGAGGCGGACGACTTACAATGTCATTTCCTCGGTCATGAGTTGTAGCTAGCAGTCTAATGGTGTTTGTCGTATTGTCACTGAAAATCGAGGGTAAAATATAATTTTTCAAGATAGAATAAACTTTTTAGTCTTGTCAAATTTTTGGTCAAATTTGCAGTGGAGGTAGCTCAATAGTGGTGCTTCGAAATTTCTTGAAATTTTAGATATTTTTCCTAAACCAGCCACAACTTATTCTCGAAAAGATTACCTTTCAATCCCTCCAATATCAAAAGCGGATGACACAAAAATGTGCTGCGCAGGATCCCATTTACTGTCAAACACACTAAGTTGTTTGAGATTGTAGATCATCCGATTGATCTCAAGGTTTTGCTGACGTTGACTGATTAGCATGCATAATGAGAAAGTGACGGCAATAACCGCTGCTATTGTCCGTTTGACAGCCCTCGGTCGAAAGAACCCGGACCGAATTGAGATCATAACTGAAAATTGAGAATCGACAAGAAAGAAGCATAGTGATAAGTAAAGTTTTGCAAGGCAGCGCGCCAAAGAAATTTGCGATCAAGCAAAGGTACGTGGCAAAACTTCTACGAAAAATCGGAAAATTTTGAAATATGAAAAAATCACAAGAATAGAGCTTGGCGAAGGTAGGACTAGCAGAATTGTAATGAAAATCAGCCCAAGAATGATGTGACATTCCTAGTTAACGATGCTTCTTCAAAACCCCAAAAAGTTTTTTCATTTTTTTGCTGCAGAAAAAAGTGCTGTGCCAAAAACGTTTTATATTGGCTTAATTTCCTCATTTCATGTGTTACCCTACGAAAAGTTCGTGGAATAACTTGAACTTTCATGGAATACCCTGTGGCTAGTCCTGAAGTCCCATGTGAAATTAACAAATAATCCTCAGATCACCTGCTAAAATATACTGCCGTTGTAAGATGCAGCTTTCATTACCTCAAAGTCAAAGCCCAAGATCTCTAAAACAGTTTCATGCCCTCCCCATAAAAATACTTGGAAAAGGAAATTTAGAAAAATTATTGAGTAAAAACGTCTGCAGGCAATTTTCCTCTGGAAGTTTATGAAAATGAAGAGGCTTTCGGGATGTTCCTCGGGATTTTCCGGTTTCCGCGACGTCTTCATTTTTATTTTCATTAGATTCGAATCAGCAACTGTTGAGTCTTGTTTGTCGTCAACACGAATTCCTCGGCTAAATCGCATGGATTCGAATGAGATAAGCCCTTGAAATCTTTTTTAAGACCTCCTGGATCTACTCCAATATCCGATTTTTCTGGTTATATCTGACTCGAGATAAGGTCACGCATGCTGCAATAAGTCCCACAAAAATGATGAAGAGATCGCATTTATTGCCATTAGAATATCTTGAAAGACGTTGGAAATACTTGAAATTGAGAGATCTCCAAACAGAGAGCCAACAGAACCAATGGCGAGGTTTGAATGTGCTTAACGACGGCGAGTTCCGTCCTCGAAGAAGACGCCACCATCGATGGCGCAGTACTTGGGGCAGATACCCTTCTCTCCGCTCTGGCCTGGAGGTCCGGCTTGACCTGGCTGACCGGGCTGTCCGTCGTTTCCGGGTGGTCCTGGTGGGCCGGGTGGTCCCTTGGGTCCGGCAGGTCCTGGGCCAGCATCGGCTCCGGGCTGTCCTGGTGGGCCGGGTGGTCCAGCTGGTCCTTGCTCTCCGGGTGGTCCTGGTGGTCCGGGGACGATTGGCTCGCTGACGGCTGGGGCTCCTGGCTCTCCTGGGGCACCTGGCTGACCGGGCTGTCCTGGTGGTCCGGGTGGTCCCTTGGGTCCGGCTTCGCCTGGTGGAGCGTCGGTTCCTGGGTTTCCGGGCTGTCCTGGGGCTCCGGCGTCTCCGGGTGGTCCAGGTGGTCCTGGTGGGCCGGGTGGTCCAGCTGGGCAGGGTTTGCATGGTGGTGGGGTGACTGGCTCACAAGGCTGAGCTGGTGGCTTTCCTGGGTTTCCGGGGAGACCGGGAGCTCCTGGCTTTCCGGGCTTTCCTGGCTTACCGGGAGTACCGGCTGGACCTGGAGGACCGGGCAAGCAGCAGTTGTCGCAGCTTCCTCCAGCAGCAGCGGCTCCGCCGTTGGCGGCGGCTGGGCCTCCGCCAACTCCAGCGCCCTCTCCGTAGCCGGATTGACGGGCGGTTCTGTTGGAGGCGGGGGTGTTTCTCATCTGGTTGACTTCGGTCCAGATGTTCTTAGCAGATCCCTGAAGAAGAATGAGTCATCAATCGTCTGATAAAAGCAAATGAGGATAAACGATCGCAAAAATCAGCCAGCAGAGAAAAGTTAGAAGCCTTCAACTCACTTTGCAGTAGACAATTTCGTTGTGCATTTGCCGACGAACCGAGTGCACATAGTTGTAGACCATGGGCAAGGTAACGCACACCGAGAGCACGGCCACAACCGAGAAAGTGACAGCCGAGTAGGCGACAAAGCGGTAAGCCTTAAGGCGGTTTTCAACCTCCATGTTGAGTTTAGAGTGCTTTGGACAGACGCCGCTGCACTGACTTTCCCTTCCTCAAGTTATCGCTTATAAACCCCCAAGGCAAACGCATTCCGTGCGCACGTCAAGGTGAAAAGGCGTTGGGGAAGGTTGAAACTCGTTTCCTCACACTTTTTCGCACTTTTCGAGAGTTTTTCCAAAACTTTCATCCTTGTCCGAGCTGTGACGGCGACTCTGTTTTTTCTCCACCGACCCCGCGTAATAAATGGGCTATCATCTCTCACCTTTTTCCTCGCGCAGTAATCCTCCCTTGTTTCCTCATTCCTGTCTTTCGCCGGCCCGATGTTATCGAACCGAGAGTTCCACCTGATGTGAAATCCATCCTTTGTTGTAATATTTGCGAGCTGGTAATGTCAACAAAGAGCGAGTGCAATGTGTAATCTTGCAGGGTTTGGAGGAAAATTGCAACAATTCGAGTTTTGCAAAACTCTTGAGTTTTTTGGGGATTTTTGCTGTTAAAACGGCAAAAACCAGTCTCCCATACCAAGTGTAACGTTTTTAGCTTTCTGAAACTTTGGCCAGGTTAAGATTTCCACCGTAAAATCAACCGATTTTGAGAGTCATTGGCAACATACATATTTTTCTATTCAACGCTCTAAAAATTCTGTTCTCTCTCGGATAAAACTTTAATCGTGTAAAAATTTCAAAATGTTGATGACTTTATATGTCTTATGTACCGTGCACATGCAATTTTTAAAGTGGATCGACCATTTTTGGAGTATTCTACTATTAGGATTCTTTCGATTTATGACTCAAAGGTAAAATTTATGACATCATTTGACCCGGACATCATCTTTTTTCCATTACGTCAATTCCTTTGACCTAAACTTCAAAATTTAACTATAATCTCCTCAAAGAAGATTTTCTCAGCACTTGCCAACCCAACACTTAACACCAAACTATTCGCAGCCCCACCCAAATTAATTGACTTGTGCTTGTATTCAGTTCAAAACTTAGTGTATATTCTGTGTTTTTCATCCTCATTTTTTATGATACACATCATTTCCGTCTCAAAAATCTCCAAACAGATCCATAAAATCTTTTTATGCGCCCATGTGGGTGTTTTATAGTAATTTCGGAAAAAATCGTAATTAAATTTGATGAGAACTGATAAGAGTTCCACTAATTCGTCAGTAGTTTTTTGTGTTTTTTTTTTTGATATGGGAGACTAAAAATGGATGTATTTTTTTGGGGTTTTTGACGAAAGAAGAAGGTAAAATTTTTTTTTAAAATTTTTGCGAGAGACCCTCAGAATTCAAAATTCAAAAAAAAAAAAAAAAAAATAAAACAAAATAAAAAAAAAAATTGAAAGGTCCCTTGAAAATTTTATGAATTTTTCTTTCCTTTTCCAAAATTTTCCGCGAAAAAATCGAGCGAAAGAATAAAAAATCCCGCAAAAAACAGCCGGCTTTCGCTTTTTTTCTTCAATTCCCTCCGTTTTCGTCCACCGAAAAGCCCCCCACTTCCAACCATTCGCTTGCAGCCGGGCGTCGTGGCGGGCGCTTGTAAACCAAGTTTCTGGGTGGCTGAGTTCGGCGGCGCGGTGCGGTGGCGGGTCAACGGTCCTGTCGCGGTGCTGCTGTAGACCGAGTGTCCGTATCAAGGGCGGCGTCGACAAGGGATGGCGGCCGAAGGGCTGCGATTGCTGGTCGGTTAAAGAGAGAAGCACCGGCCCAGGCCCCACAGGGAGCAAGCCAAATTCTCCGCGCCGTTACAGTGAACGGATGGCGCTCGCGAGGCACACTCGGCAGGCTGCCGTCACGGTGTCGTCACTCGAATTTTTGCAATTTTTGGATTTGCAAATTGAAGGCGGATAGAGGAAGCGTTCTTTTTGTCACGCTTTTTGAGTTTGAAAACCCTCAGGAATTGTTGAGTTCCGTCTTAATTAGGTTGGCTTTTGGGACTAGTGGTCCACTGACTTTTTTATGGAATAAACATTTCCTCTGACATATAATGTCAAATTTCTATGACTTTTCTTGAACCTCTAGAACTCCCTCATCTCTCAACATGGTTCTCAAATACGTAATGCAATCACCATTGTCTTAATCAACTCCAAATCTTGTCTTCCCCCGGCCAATCCCTGAAATCTATTGCAAACACACACGATACAACTTCCAACCCTCTAATCCTCCTACCCTTCAAACTCCCCACAGTCTAAGCTTCACATGGCCTTCCAGACCTCGGTTCTTATCACCGCAACGGGCTTTGTTTTGTGCGACAATCCCGTGTTGTGATAGGAGGCCACAAGCTATAGTGGAAAGCTCCGCTTACAAATCTTTCCGGGTGTTTCTTTGAAAAACGAAACCTATGATGATAAACGAGCGGGTTGATTATGTGAAACTTTATTCGGAATTATACGGGAAAAGTATGCATGATTTGGAGAAGAGAAAAATATGAGATTTCGAATGCTTACCAGTAGGATTAAAGGATGTTGATAACGGGAAAATAAACAGAAAATAATAAGGAAAAGAGCGGAAAATACTCGTATAAGATTGGAAATTGAAAAAGTTGACATTATGTAGTGTGTACTCGGAGAAAATTACAATCAAAATTGGAAAAAAGAAAGTCATGGGAATTGATTGAAATTCGGCAAATATTGAAAGGACACTTTGACAAGCTTTTTTTGAAAAAATTTAAACCGCGTTTTGCAGAAATAACCGAGTTATGGCATTTTTAAGATCAAAAAATTTCGTTTTCTAAACTCTGCGAAATTGATGAAGAGAGTGGAAAAAATTAAAATAAAATATTTGTGACTAATCCTCAAGGTATTTTAAGACCGGCTACTGTCGAAAAAGTACAGTATCTACCATCTTCTCTCCAATCTGCACCGATAAAGCTCGGTGTCCGTCGAGTTTCCGCTGGTTTTCCGGAGTGTTGGCAACTCTTTTCCCGGCAGGATTGTGTACCGATTAAACAGGTTGGCAGTGATCAAAAACAGCTCCATTTTGGCCAAGGACTCGCCGATGCACATTCGTCGGCCCAGAGAGAATGGGATGAATTCGGAGGGGTTTTTGAGGTTTTGGTTTTCGTCGATGAATCGAGAAGGGTTGAAGCGCTGAGGCTCGGGGAAAACCTGAAAAAAGATGACTTGAAAAATTGTAATTTTTGTGCATCCTAACGTTGGTTAAATTTATGAAAATTTGAATATCCAAATTAAGATATTCAAATCCCAAAAAAATGTGTTAATTGTCCAGAATATAACCTTAAATTTTTCCCTTCAGAAAACTCAAAAATCTTACTTTTTCGTCCTGCATGATCACCGATACTTGCGGCAGGACCACAGTCCCTTTTTTGATCAAATATCCCTCAATTTCAATGTCCTCCTCCGCCACTCTTGTCAGGTTTTGTCCCAGCAAATTCGCACATCGCAATGCTTCCATCACAACAGCGTTGACGTAGGACAACAACGGCTTCTCGGCGATAGTAATCATTTTGTCCGAGCCGATGATCTGATCCAACTCTTCGTGGATTCTCTGCTGCACTTCTGGGTGTCGCAAAACAAAGGCAATTGTCCAGGTTATCGTCAGACTGGTGGTCTCCTGTCCCGCCACCCACAAGTTGAAGCACATGGATTTTAATTGGGCCAGGCTGAAGTCATTTTGTGTGGGATCCACTTCGTCCAAGCGCCTCTTCTCCTTCAGAAATGCGTCGATAAAATCGGTGGCCTCGAAGTCGTCGGTGTACTCGTTCTCCTCCAGATGCTTCTCAATTTGCTCCCCCATAAAGTCGAGGATCTCGGCGTAAATTGCGGCCCCCTCTTTGCCCGCATTCGAGAGGAACGAAAGATTCAGAATCCAGGGGTAGGAGAAGATCAAGTTGCTCCAAAGATTGGTCGAGACACTCGACACTCGCGCGGTCTGCTCTTTTATGTGGAGAAGACGCTTTTCCGAGGCCTGAAATTTGAATATTTTATAAGGTTTTCGAAAAATTGATGGGTGAGTGACATTTTATACGAAGAAATTTTTTTTGGTGAGAAAATTGCAAAAAAGCTATAGATTCCTTAAAAGATCGCTAAAATGTGTTTAAAATACGTTGTACTAAGTTGTGAGTAGTTCAAAAAAAAAAATTAAAATTCTACAAATTTTACCTTGGTGTTGGCCTTGTATCCGCAGATGATCTGACTAATAAGAGAGCCAACTGCCAAATCAGTGTGTTTGTAAAGCTGCATTTCGTCGGTTCCGGCATCCAAATCCGCATTAATCTTGCTGAACATTCGCTGGATTTCGGTGATAATCTGAAAAAAATAAAAAACTATTTTTCGATTAAATTTTTTTTTATTTTTCCTTTTTTATTTCCCAAGTTTTTCTATTCCTCTAAAATTTTTTTCAATCTAGGCCTCTGACCTCCATACTCCATTTTAGAAAAGTTTCTTCCCCCAAAAGCACGGACCGAATACAAACCTCAAGCTCAAAAATAGAACGAAAAGACAATCGTCTTGCGGGATCTTTTGATTGACGTCAACCTCCACATAATCCACTCTTAGAAGGGCCTTATCAAAGAAGGGACGACTGGACGTTTGCCTTTTGCCTACGGTAGGTTGTACTAGTGTCGTAAAAAACGGAAAGGTTTTTTCGCTAAGAGTGCGTCGCGTGATGACAAAAAATTTGCAAAAAAAATCATACGGTAGAAAAAATGATACGGTAGAAATCTCAGTTGTACCTACAAAAGGCGAGCTAAAAAATTTTGGAATTTAATTTGTGGCCTATTTAGGATCAATTGGCAAAAATTGTCAAAATTTTTCCTCCGCTTTTTTTTCCGGATGCATTCGCCCAATAAAATCGATAATGATCGAAAATTAAATTCCTCAATACAATTAATTACGATTAATATTTACCATCCGGGCGTCGGCTTATCACACTTTTTTTTATGGGCTTCTTTGAAAGTTGCATGTTCAACCGGAACAACCCACACATCGTGATAAAGGTCAATTAGCGCTTAGTAAGCGTGTGACTCAGACTTATCATTTTTCAGCAAAAAAGTTTTTTGGAAAAAATGGAATCTTTTTGAATGAAAATGTGTTCGTAGAGGCACTCCTAGTAAGATTTGGAAATTTGAAAAGGGTTTTTTCATTGTGTCTGGAAAGAAAAAATTTATTTTGAAAATTGTTTTTATGACCGGAAATTCTGAAAATCATTAATTTTTAAAGGCCCATTATCCCCATGCTGTACAAAAAAACCCCTTTAAATATTGCAGCACACAAAAAAAATTTCAAAAAGTCTCAATCTTGTCTCTAAAAATACCAAAATATACTTTTTATTCCCTTCCCACCCCTATCCCCTCCAAAAAACCCCAAAATCTTACATTTTGCTCAATCTGTCGTGTTCCAAATCCGAAGTGCTTGAACGCCGCCACCGCAAACTTCCTCTGTTTCTGTGGCACCTCAATAGGCGTCTGGATTTTGTCCTCATTTCCCAGGTACTTCAACAAGAACCTCGAGTCCAAGCGGTTCTCGAAATTCCCGCCATTTTTCACGAAAACCTTGTGCGCCAATGAGTGATCGTTGATGGCGACGAAGGGAAGATCGCCCATCCAGTAGGTGTAGATGGCGCCGTACCGCTTTCGCCACTGCAGGAATTTGTTTTCCCATCGTTCCTGACGCCAGAGGGAGAGAAGATTGCCGAAAATGGGAAGAGGGATAGGTCCGGGCGGAAGATGTCGGCGTTTCAAGTAGAATTGGTTGAGCAAATAGTAGAGCAGGCCGATTGTTAGAGCCAGTACCGCTAGCATTTTGAATATCCCGGGAAGTGAAGCGAGTAAAAGTGGATAGTCGCAATTATCGGCGATTTTTTTCAAAAACTTGAGTCTTTTTTCAATTTTCAGTAGAAAAATTCGATTTTCAGCGATTTCAAGTCAAAACTAGCAATCTCAGATTGCAACTTAGCAGTAGAATCGCAGAACAAAGCCTTTTAAGGTCAGTGGAGCTGGGAGAATATCGAAAAATTAATTCGCAACCGCCCTTTTCACACATTTCTCATCATTCTTGCTCGAGCTTTTATAGTACTCGTCCTTATCAATTCCTCACTCCCCACCTCAACAAGAAATCTTTTCCACCCCGCGGGATGATGACGTTGGGCGGCTGAGGTGAGGGTGTTACAAGCCTGGGCCTTCGCCTTATCGCCGTCCGTTCCGGAACGAAACCGCAAAGCGGTTTTTCGTTAGGGCTGAGCCGCCTTCGGATTGGCGGCGATTAGTTCGCCGGGGTTAAGCCCGAATTGACGTACATTCGACGAGGTGATTGGCTTAATCAGCTAAGCGGCGTGTAGGGGTCGCGATTAGCGTTTGGAGTTTCCGAACCGATCGTTGAGTTGTTAAACGTCAGGTCGAATGATGTCAGATGGGCGGAGTGCCTTGTGAGCCATGGGATTACTGTAGGCGCAAGAGGGTGGGTTCGTAAAGGAGGCACTTGCAACAATGAATCTTTTGAGCGCCTGCACGGTAAATGGGGCCAATGTTTAGAGCGCAGAGGAGGGACGGCCGCCAGATTTACATCTATGTTCAACTTTAACGATTTTTAGATACCCAGCGAACTGCTCTTGCTACAAAGCCAAAATTTCTTTCAAATTTTTAGCAATTAATCCAAATAGTCCACGTATCATAGCTTGAAAGTTTTATCCTGGTTTCTGCATCCACAACGTTGATATTTAACCACCCTTGACACAGGGGCGCTGTTCGGAGGAAACGCTTTTTTGTTAAAATATTCTTCCGATTTTTTGGTGGGAGAGGTTGACTTTTTTGCAACGAAATTGTTCGAATAAAACGCCTCTAAAAATCTCAAAATTTTTTTGGATTTTTTAGGTTCTGCGATCGAACAATCTCGATTATTCTCTTCAAAAAGGCGCGTTATAAATCTTAAATATACCTTAGCGACTAACTGGGACTGTAGCCATACATAGTTTGCTTCAAATTTTATCAAAATCTGCACTTGGCTGCCATAGAAATTTTGGGTTTGATCACGTTTTTTTGCAGCACTTTACTCGTTTGATAAGCACAAAGCGTTGGATATGCGTTTAACAAGGCTTGTCTAAAGAGCTTACGCCTTCACGAACCCTTTTTTATCACTCTTTAAGCGTCGTGTTATAGTCGATTTCAAGTAAACAATGCGGAATTACCGTACAAAACAATGAGCAAAACTGTCGTCTACGCAATTATACGGCTTATAAGGCGCGAGCCAATGCGTCAAGTTGAAGGATTATGGATTTTCTTGGCTGGCTTTTGATCGTGCAGAAACTTTTCTGTGACTTTGTTGGGACGTGTATTCATTTTTAAAGATTTGCCATCATCAACGAGAGGCAAAAAATGATTCTTCAATGCATCCTCTTGTGTTCTGTTGGGGTTTGTTGAATATATTACCTTAGATAAAAAAAATTACATCTATCGTATATTTAGCCCACTACCGTTAATGTATTAGGTTGGGGAATAAGTTCGTAGAGCTTTTTATTGTTTTGTTTTGTAAGGATTGTTTGTTGTTTGGCAAAGGTTATATATATTATTTGATACAGTTTTTTCTCCTCTACAAAACTGTGTTTTTAGTTTTTTTTGAAAATTTAATTTTTTATAATTTTTGGGGCTTAAAAAGTTTTTGAGGTCCTCTTCGCCATCGAATTTTTCACCTCGGATTTGGTTTGACAGAAGGCGGAAAAGGTGGTAATCGGTTGGCGCAAGGTCCGAGAGTATGGTGGATGCTAAATAACCTCCCATTCGAACTCATGGAGTGCGGTTTTGACGACTTGTGCAACATGAGAGCAAGATGACTCGTGGAGCAAGATGACTTGGCCTTGATTTCAGTCGAATAGCCCCATTTTCGAGGTGTAGTTGGGCATCATAGAGCTCCTTGTTGACAGTGGCGTTCTTTTGAGGCATGTCCCAATGCGCCATGCCTTCCCAGTCCCCCCAAATGCAGATCATGGCCTTTTTGGGTGGGGATCTTGCTTGACTGTCCCCTGGGGCCACCCACTCCAGGAAACAGTCAACATTTTGCTTTATATTGACGTACAGACACCATTTTCATCCCCGATGATGACTCGATACAAAGACCGCCGTTTGCGTCCACGTGCTGCTCGGCGAAAAAAGCAGGTGTCGAAACCGCAAATTTTTGCCTCCTAGATGGTTCACTTTTAAGCCCAAAAAATAATTAAAAATTAAATTTTCAAAAAAAAACTAAAAACACAGTTTTGTAGAGGAGACAGAACTCTTTCGAATGCATATATAAACTTTTCCAAACAACAAACAGTCGTTGCAGGACGAAGCAATAAAGAAATCGTTGCGGACTTATTCCCCAACCTAATACATTTCAAGCAAGGAGAGAGGAATTGGGAAATTAAAGCGACAGCTTGAAAATGCGACGATTTTTCACATCAATCACACATGACTACCGGGGCTTCTTGGACTGATAGCCCAGTCCCCGAAAGCGCTTCTCGTTGATTACAAAACGCGTTCCGAAGACGCCAACTATGCATCTCTCTCTCTGATCGGAGTGACGCACTGTTCAATAGAGAAAAATTGCCAATTTTGTAACGCGCCCAATTTAAACCGCAATTTGAGTGAGGCCTTTAGTGCCTCCCGCTCTCCAACCAATAGGATTGCTTTCGGCTCTCTTTTTTCATAAGGAATGTTTTCAAAGAAAGAGAGTGAGGCATCTGTCGGTGTCTGGAAGGCTTCCTGGAAGCTGTTTGAAGCAGTTTTTCGACTGTATCGAGTCCTGCATTGCATTAAGCCAGGCCAGGCCCGGCCCGAAAAAAATCTACTTTTTGCGATGATCCTTGCTCCAACTACAAGTCCCATTAAATTTTGAGCGTTGCACTTGGACCTCTTATTGAGATTTCTTGACCCAATGTCCAGAAAAATCCCTCACAAAATTTTTCTCGGGTTCTTGGCACTCAGCCAAGGTCTTCAAAAAATTCTTCCTACTGTAGAAAGAAGAAGATGGGTAGTTTTTTCATTTAAAACAATCCTCTGCCAGTGCGGGAGGAGGTGTATTCGGAGGGGTCTTTTGTAAAGTTACCGTATATGCCTGCCAAAAAGTCAGATCTTTTCCTGCTGACGCAAAAAGGTTCTGAGCGAAAATCGTCTTATGTCTGTTCGAGCCTCCTCATAATTTTGGGATAACCTTCTTTGTCGTTGGAAACAATCGACGTTTTCTGCCGTGACTTTGAAGTTTAATTCCAACTACAAACTTTTCGTTCTCAAATTTGCGTAATGGACACGCTGATTTCCTAAGGCATCAAGGGTGGAATCGACGATAACTTCGCTAATCGGAGCCCCACCCTCACGCGATTAGCCGTGTTTTGCTGCGTCCGAAACTCACAAAGTAATCGGAAACAACCGGCTGACGTTGTGGCCTTTGTTTCGCTCTAAGGTTTGTATCGTTATCGGCCATTGAGCGCACACAGTGCCCGCCTTTCCATGATATCATTGCGGCCGGTATCTAAGGCTACAGTCCGCACACCCAATTAAGAGGGCATGATTGCCACAATTCAGGTAAAACTACAAAAGGAGGGACGAGGAGTTTGGCGGTCGATGAGTCTTTAAGGAGATAAGACCGTACACATTTGTATAGTTTAAAATTGAGGGTCTGCTTAGGGTACGATATCAATTTCAAAAAAATCATTTTGCAAATTCTTGGTGACCGAAATTAAAGCCTACAAAATAGTTATTAAGAATGTAGAATATACGATTTTTGAAAAGGTGAAACGCCCTTTGAGATGTTTACGATCGCCGATTATGCCTGTCAGTAAGTGCGTAACTCCATCAACTATTGCGATGTATTTATATCATACTTATTTATGAGACTCCAGAATTTTATCCGTGTCTTCAAACTTTTTCAAGATCTTGGTTTCGGCATGAAATTAAAAAAAACTTGCACAAGGTAGGCTCCTTACAAATCTTCAAAAAATGTACATATTGCAACGGTTGCGTTTGCATCTGGATCAAGTTTTCTCCACGGGCCGCAAATATGTGTTTATCAGGATTTGAATTCAAGGGACAAACGTGGTATTGACTGATCTCCACCAGAGATGGTCAAAGAAGCGAATAGCTTGTGCTTTCTGTGGGACGTTGCTCATCAATTCGTAGGCAGAGCGATAAAGCTTCAACTTGGTCTCCCCTCACCATTCTTTCATTCGGCGCCTCCACCCTTCCCTAGCTACGCACATGATCAAACGCCAACTTGTACCGTTTTTCCGTCGTAGAAAACTGCCTTTATCTGTGTGTAAAGCATCACTCACACCTTCGTAAAGCATGACTGCTTGTAGGGGTGGTGATTCCTCAATGATTTTATGGGTAGTTGGGCGTGGGTGATGCAAATATGCTGCGACAAATATTTGAGAACGTGGGTGAACCAATGAAAAGGTCAAATAACAAACACTGTTTTTTCCACATTAATAAAATCCGGAATGTTGCGATGGCAAGGACGCTGGCTACAGAAAGTCAAGCAAGGAAGATTGGAAGGCACACGGTCATAAGGGGACTGCATAAAACTACCTGGATAGATGTGGATTCAGGAGATCAGTAGCTTTCTATTGGTGGCAAAACCAAGGCTGTAGAACACTAATTCATGACGAACTTGAGCATCATCAAATCTTATACGTTTTTTGCGGGTACTGTAATTTCAGCCTATGCAATAAAAATTAGCAAAAAACATCTTATTAACGATAAGATGTTTTTAGAGATTGAAGGGCCCTTCGTAAAGCCTGTAAAGAAATATGGGCTTCACAATTTGAACACTTCTC